CATTCGTTTAGATGGACCAGCGAACGTTTTCTCGAGGAAGAATGGCGGCGATGGAGGAACTCACCCTAGTAACATTTTAGAGTACCCATACCCAAGCTGTGGCATCAGTATTGTGGGAAATGTGGTGTCTTTGTTTGGTGTCGATGGATCAACACTTTCTGGCTTCGTTTGCATAGCAGTACCCATTATGGCCGATTGGTGGAAGGCCGGTCAAGCGAAGGTAAAAGGCAAAATTAGATTCAAGCAAGTTTCTCATGGTGAGGCAGTGGCTCTCAAGCAGCAGCAGGGAGGCTTTTTTGGACGAGTTGGAAAACGCAAAGAATAACTCCGCTGATTTACCTGTGTTTCGTGAGAACCTTCCTGTGGCGAATGAAATAATAGCTACGAAGGACACTATATTGTTTCATCGACCATCTGGCGACAAAGGTGTGCCATTTTTCATCAGGCAGGCAGGTGAAAAAATGCTCATTTTAGATTTTGGGGTTGAGGATTTCACATTGGTTAAAAATGGCCGCCAAAGAGTGCTCGAAATGCAGCTCAAAGAGGAGCCAAGAGAGAGTCTTTTGGCCAAAAGTTTGATCAGAATTGAGTGCTGCAGCGGTGCCATGGCGGTCATATACGAGCCGACAATCATCTCACAAACTCGTCTTGTTGAGATCTTGAGCCACATGGAAAGTGGCATCCCACCAACAGACAGCTTGAAAATTGAAAGTACACTTTACCGTCTTCCAATTTGTTTCGATCATTCGGCAATTGCACATTGCATGGAACGGTACATGCGTTCCCAAAGATCTCAAGCGCCATATTTGCCAGACAATACTGCGTATTTAATGAAGGCTAACTGCATCGACCTGTTAGAACAATTCAAAGCCAATGTTGTTGGCCAAACGCAAGTTGTGACAGCTGTCTCTTTCTTGTGTGCCAACACTTTGTCCGTGAATTTGGATCCTAGAACGAGGTTCAAAACTGGTAAATTCAACCCTGCTCGTACACATTCACTCCCAAAGGTGCTTTGGGATCAGGGTCTGTCGGTTACTCAATATATTCAATTGACTCCCCCGGTGGGTATCTTATCTGGGGCATGGGACTTCCAGACTTATGTTGGAACACTTTTGGTAGACTCAAAGTGAGCCATGGCAGACCCTGGTTTTTCAACAATTTTGACCAGGTTATTTATTACGAGGTCGACGAGGAAGAATTGACAAAGCTTAACCGTGACTTATTGTTAGGGAATTTGGACATTCCAGCAGAAAAGTCTGTACTTGACTTCAGCGAATACTCAAAGTTTTTAACTGATATTAAAGATGAGCTTGACGAACTCAATGATAGGAAAGCAAAAGTTATGTCCACACTTTTGGAAGAGGAGGATAGGTCTTTGGCTCAATGGATCAAAGAATGTGAGATTGCGAAGAATGCAAATTCCTACAGGGTGTGGCAAAATTCTTGCAAGATCCTAGTGCCATTAAAGTGACTTGTAATATGGCTGCAAACATTTTCAAAATCAACTATAAAACCGGTGAGCATGTTGGTGTTAGCGATACAATCATCATGCTTGAAGCAATGAAGATGGAAATTGCTGTAAAGCCTGTGGGTGGAGAAGATGATGAATCTGATGATGAAGGTGAGTCTAAGGCTGCCTATGATGAGAGCTCTCGCTTTGAAGTATTGGAGGTGGCTGTCAATGAGGGAGATGTAGTATCCCCAGGAACTGTGTTAGCATTTCTTCGCTTAGTCTAAGGGGGATTTGTTTCCTGTTTCAATCATTAAATAAATTGTTTGAGCATTCATATTCGAAATAAACAACTTCAGACTAAATTGAAATAACTCACATTCGCAAAAGCTTATGTTTTTGCGAAAAGTGTTAATTTTTTAGCAGTCATTGGAGGGCATAAATGGATAAAGCGAGACAAAGCCAGAAATATATTAAGACAACAGTAAGGGTGGATTAGAGAGCGTTTGAGACACACAGAGAATTTTATTTTATAATTTGGTTCGGAGCTGGTCTGTCCGCCCGACTATATGAGGATGCAGGAAAGAAGGAAAATATATAGAAAATATCGAGAAATATCGTATAAAATACGATTGAAGAAAAGGACACTGAAGTAATTAGCTACTACTCCAGCCGTCTCAACTGCCGCGCTCTAGACTCACCCCTACGTATTGTCACCACACCCATAGTGACCCATAGGAAGTCTTTTGGTACATATAAACCAACCCTGCATACTGCTACCCCCATCTTTACAATAATTTCGCACTAGACACATAGTTGAAAGAGACTTACCACCCACTTCAGTATACATTTACTGGAAAAGAAAGATTACGCATACTATATTTGAGTCCTCCAAATCTGTGCATGTTTATGCTTGGTTTGTTTCTAGTATAAGTGGTAATTCGAAATGAACCCTATCAATCAAACAGATTCTTTCCTAATCCCTCATAATTCCCATTATCCTTCGCCCATTGATAATGAAACAACCTTGGAAACGGTCCTTCTTGTGCCGAGTACTTTCGCAACTCAGAGCGAATGGGATCTTGTTGTCCCTTTTCTTTTGGCTAAAGGGAAGTACCATTTGATAGTCCCAGACTTTTCCTGTTTCAGAGAGAAAACCACACCAGGGTTAGCAATCGCTAATTTTTCTCAACCATTCACAATTCAGAATGCATCGTCTCTTTTGGCTCATCTTGTAACTGAGGTTGCGATCGACGGGAGAGCCAAAGTAGTGGGTCTAAGCTTGGGGGCTATAATAGCCATCGGAGTCGCATCTATACATCCCGAGATCGTGAATGGGGCCGTGTTTGTATCTGGATACGAGGTGTATCCCCATCTTTCTTCTGGTGGTATGGCACCATATGGGTTGTGGTTATTGAATAGATTAGAAACGCTCATCCCAAGTACGGTAGTTAGTTGGGCAATGGATGGGGCAGACTTACAGAAGAATCTGCAACCTGAATCCAAGAATGGTCTTTCTTTGTGCAAAGAGATTATCAGGTGTCTATCTGGGATTGATTCCTGGCCCCCAAAACCATGGCCCTCACGAACTATGGTGGTAGCTGCCGGAAAGAAGAATTGGTATCTTCCCTCTGCAGATCGAGCTGACGATGCAAAGAAATTAGCTGAAGTTGGAAAGTGTATGAACAATTCAACCGTAGCCGTGGTTCACCCACTAATGAGGCATCCCTGGCATAGACAAGCACCCGAACTTTTCGCTGAAGCAGCTTGGATCTGGTTCGAGGAAGGAAGAATAAAGGAGGGTTTCAACCTCTTATAAAGCGGCAAGCGCCAAAATTTGTACTTATTTGACTGTGAATGTCCTTACATCAATGAACAGGTTAATTGTACCTTCCCATTCTATCTACAAACACAACAGCCCAGCGGAAACAATGCCTTTGTCAAGAATTTCCATGGCTTCCCCTATTTCTTCTTGCAAGAGATAGTTTAAATGGTTTTCGCAGTCGTCAACAATGAACGAAGCATCTCTTTGAGTCGCTTGAACATATGAAGAAGTGATCTTTGATAAATGTCTGTCGTCTTACAGATATGGATGAAGATAGCTCATTTGCACTACGAACGCCTCGCTTTCGTTAACCCGGGACAGAATTGTTTAACATACTCTTCTTCCACTAATTCAATCTTGCATACTGTTGAGCGGCTCTGCAAGTTTCGGCTACGTCGTGGGTCTCCCAACCCCACTGCAGGAAGCACGAAAGAAGAACACTACACTCTTCTGGCGACAATTCGTTAAAAGTTAAAATAGGTAAGAAGCAACTCGTCTGCTGATTTCGCATGCAACCCTTCCTTTGAGCTCAAGTTCATCTTTTAGTGTCATGATTGCCAATCTCCTCAAGACTCTCTTGTGGTGTCAGAGATCGTCCATTTGAGGGACTGCTCTTATATCTAATATTTCATTTCGATAACCTTGAACCTCCTTTTTCTAACTTATCTTGGCATCATACTGGTCGAAAGTTCCCGATGTCGCTCAAAATCTTGTTAAGGGTTGCTGAAGGGCCCTTATTCTTAATTCAATTTTGCAAATCAAGTTTTTAGAATCACCATCATCGATCTTCATAATGAAAACAGGATCAAATCAAGGAATATCGTAGGCAAGCCGCATCGGGAAATCTTATATTGCTTTCACAAGGATGCGCTAAACGCTTGACCGCTTGAACTCGTTGGGGACTTTCAACCGAACTCTAATAATTGATTGGATACAGTCAAGGGTAGTGGGAATATACTCCGCTCCTGGAAAGGGTGAATACCTTTAAGAATTACGTGATTGAAAGGCTTGATCGAGCGTCCACAAACATAGAGCAAACGAAACGGTTACAATGTACAGCTCGTAGTTCTTGTAGGTGCCAGATGTTTTGCGTTTGCTATTACGTTATTGGGAGCTTGTTACCATGCCCATCCTTGGTCGTCAGTTCCTACTCTTGTCTTGATAACTCTCCCCGCTCGAAGGTGAGGTAAAATGTGGCCTGAATGAGTGAAAATTGTCTCATATCTTGCTTTTCTTGCTCAAGTTGTTTATTGATCTTGAAGAACACTTTGAGGGTACTTCATCATCAATGTGAAGACCTCAAATTCTTGATTAAAGCTTCTTCAACTGGGTATCGATAACTGACATAGAAGATGCGTTCTCACATTGGGAGAATGCATGGGCCGACCTGAAATTTCAATATATTCCCTCCACTCTCGTTAAGTTTAAAATCATATTGTATTGCAAACGAGATGAAGAGTCGAAGCGATCAGTCTCGCCCTTCGCCATGCTTTTGGCTACTTGAGCTCCATTGGATGCGTGGGGGTGTTTTCGGGGCCATTTGCGGCGGTGAGGGAGAGCGGCGGAGGGGCAGTATAGGAGAGGGTGCGGAGTGTGCGCGGTTGTGCGGGCAGCGGCTGCGAAAAGTGGGACAGAAGCTGGCAATAAATAGCCAAAAATACAATTTGCAAAGTATGCTTTTAGTTAGTTATCAGAGTAAAGTTTTCTTTCTAAGGACGTTTTCATACTAGGTAATTGAATCAGGTAAAGGGTAGCTGTTGGTCTGTATGTCATTGAAAATTAAACAATTTCAGTCACGTGCCTTATGTGGTGGGATCCACGTTTAAAGTAGCGCGCACGCAGTTGCGAAATTTACTTTCGGAGTCAGATTGCAAAAACTTTGTGGTTTCAAATGACAAGCGCTCTAGATCTGGTTTCGGTCAGCGAGGGCGGATACGACATTGAATATGAGGATAGCGATGTGAATACCGAGCTTCAAAGCTTCCGTATCAAATACCGGTCCAATTCAGTAATTAGTTTCGGTAGTGGAATCTCCGAGACATCGGGTGGATATGATACTCTTCCCACCATCAAGGTGCTTGGAACCGGTGGAACCATTGCTGCCAAAGGCGGAAGCTCTCACCAGACAGCCGGGTATCAGGTGGATCTCACAATTGAAGATTTGATCAAATCGATTCCAGATTTATCAACAACTTGCAATTTGGAATATGAACAAATCTTGAATATCGACTCAAAGGAGTTTGGACCACGGGAATTGTTGATGCTACACAACAAGGTGAAGGCCGACTTGTCTCAGTATGATGCCATTGTTATTACTCATGGAACTGATACCATGGAAGAGACGGCTTTCTTTCTTCAAATGACCATCAACACCTACAAGCCCATCGTGCTTTGTGGTTCCATGCGTCCATCGACTGCTATTTCATCCGATGGCCCTATGAACTTGTATCAGGCAATTGTCATTGCTTCCACCAGAGAATCGCGCAATAGAGGTGTTCTCGTGGCTCTTAATGACACCATAGGTTCCGGTTTTTATATCACAAAATCTAATGCAAACTCATTGGATACTTTCAAGTCCATTGGCCAAGGATACTTGGGTAGTTTTGTCAATAATGAGGTGCACTATTACTACCCTCCAGCCAAACCGTTGGGTCTCAAGTCGTTTAATTTGCCAACTTCCATTACCCCAGAAGACTTGCCTGAAGTGCCCATATTGTTCGGCCATCAAGGTCTCAATAACGACATCATTTCTGTTGTGGTTCAAAATATGAAACCAAAAGGATTGGTGTTTGCTACTATGGGTGCGGGTTCAATGGCAGACTCGACTAACAAATTGGTTGGCCAATATGGGCCAGAATTTCCAGTAGTGTATTCCAAAAGAGCTATGGATGGTATGGTGCCTACAGGCTCTCTATCCAAACTCAAAGACGATAAAGGAAACCCATTGCTAAGCAATGTCATTGCGAGTGGTTACCTTAATCCTCAGAAATCAAGACTTCTTTTACAATTGTGTCTCTTTGAGAAAATGTCGAATGAGGGTATAAGAAAGGTATTTAAAGGTGTATACGGTGGATAATTAATAATTCGAAAACATACGCTATATGCTAATAATAAACAGTAAACTATGGGGAGTCTGAATAAGCTGCATCAACCTTGTCTTTGCAGGATTCCAAAATCTTACGTCTTTGCAACTTCTGCGCAGAAGTCACAAATCCATTTTGTGGGGTCCACTCGGTATCCAACAATACCACAGCTTGAAGTAATTCAATGCCCTTCAAGCCCTGAGCTTGTCCTGTTTTCACAAGGGATTTCTGAACTGCTCTAGCTACGCGCTTGTCGTCACAAAAGTGCGAAAGATCCTTCGTCTTGAGTTCAGATTGCGAGTAGATATTTGTCTCGGCGACAAACTCTCTAAAGTGGCCCTCGTTGGGGATAACTATGGCAATAGGCTTAACCTTGGTCAGGTCAGCGTACACACACAAGTTCAAAACGATTGGGTTCGATCTGTATACAGACTCGAGCTTTTCTAAGGCAATGTATTCACCGTTCAAGGTCTTCACCAAATTCTTCTTACGGTCGATAATCTTGAGGGCACCATTGCTAGTCCATTCACAGATATCTCCAGTCTTGAACCAACCATCTGGGGTAAATGCTTCAGCAGTCTCCTTTTCATTCTTGAAATACTCTTTAGTCACACATGTTCCCTTAATCCAGATTTCACCTTGGTTATTGCTGGCAAAGTAACCGGCTTCCTCGACATCAACCAACTTGGCGGTGACAGCACCGGTCAATGTTCCAGCAACATGGTATTCAAACTTGTCTGGCTCGCAGACGGTTGTGTTGGCGCAAGTTTCCGTCAATCCATAACCAAGCAACATAGGTGCAATCAAGGTACTGATAAAGATTTGAGCATCCAGAGAGATAGGAGAGCCACCATTCATGGTGTATCTCAAGTGACCACCCGTGGCGGCTCTCACCTTTTTGAAAATGATATCAAAAGCACTGGCGAACGGAATATGGTAATGGGTCATGGTAGACTTCATCTTGTAAGCGGCCCAAAAGAGCTTTTGAGTCAAAGGAGGCAATTGCTTGACCTTTGCCAAAACACCTTTTCTCACCGATTCCCATACAGCGGCCACACCAACCATGACAGTTGGCTTGAACTCCACCATATCAGAGTCACAGTTTCTACACAGGGTGTCTGTGAGAGTCTTCACATTAGCGTAACCGATGCACGAACCCCACCAGAAACAGACCAACTCGAAAGTCAACTCAAAGATATGGGCCAAAGGTAAGAAGCCAATAACTCTGTCCTTTGACGAAACAACTTTTCTTGGAACGTTGCTTGAAACACCGCCCACACCACCAAGAATATTGGCATTGCTAAGCACAACACCCTTGGGTTCTCCAGAAGAGCCGGAAGTATACATGATACAAGCCAAGTCCTCTGGTTTAGCAGATTGCAAGGGGATATCCTTGTTCTCTTTACCAAGCTCGATGATTTCATCCATGGACATGAACTTGATATCAGGTCTCACCTTCAAAATCTCTTCCTTTGCCTTGACCGCATTCGAATAGAACTTTCCTTGCATACGCTTATCGCTTGAATCAATTTTATCGCCATGGATGACGAAACGAATATCCTTAGCCTTTTCCAATGGTTTGACCAATTGGTCGAGGAGAACGTTGTCGGTAAACACAGCATTGGACTCGGTTTGAATCATCGAGTGGGTAAGACCCGATTCTCCCAAGGTGTCATAGGCAGTGACAATGGGGATGTTTTGGGTGGCGGAAGCCAAGAAGGTTAGCATCCACCGGTGTGAAGTGGAAGCAAAGATATGCAATTTATCCTGCTGATTAGGCTTCAATCCCAACTTGACAAGACCACGGCCATAATCCTTCAACAACTTGACCATTTCCGGGAACTTGATGTACTTGTAATGGGACATCTCATAAAAAAGTCCACTCCTTGTCCACCTGTTTCTCTGTGACCATCACACCACACTTGGTGACCTTTTTCGTCTCGACATGGGTGTCGATGAGCTCTCTGTAACCCACAGCATTGATATTGCCGTGGATACCGGCGACCTCAAAAAAGTAGTCAGCAACATTGGTAGATTTTATGTCGGTGGGACGTTCCAAAGGTGCATCTTTTTGGGAAAGCTTACGTCTAGGAGCAGTTTCTCCAGGCTTAGCCTCTCCAACTGGTACTGTAAGAGGAGCCATAATCAATCAAAAATACTTGTTAGCGAAAATGTGGGAAAACTTTGTGATAAAATTAAAAATGTTCTTTGTTGGTACGGGTTGCCGCGCGCTGAGATCCCCCCGTAATATATGGAGCGGGGAATGGAATGGGAAGAATTTAATTCAGGAACAGATATGAGAGCCTGTGACCGGGTGGTATTTAAGAGCGTTAGCTTTAATATCCAAGGATAATCGGGAGGGGCGTTATTTAACCAATTGGTGTTGCCTTCCTAATTGGGTAATGAGCAATGTGATGGGAAATAAATTTGGAATTGATACAAAAACGTAACAATCTACTAAACGGTACGGGTGGATATATTCCCGAAGCGACTTGTTCGTTACTGCAACCTGTTATCTATATAAGGTCACGGCTGCAATTATCTCCCCCTCACCTGTGACCTGTGAGGGGCTCATGCAGGTGGCTGCGCAGATTTGTTGGGTGTACGATGGCAAATGTGATTTTACGCGGGCTGGTGCGCGACAATGTCGCGGCACGGCTGCGACAGATGAATGCAGCAGAGGAAACTGTAAGAAGGCTAAAATTAGACGAGCAAGAAAAAGGAATTAGGGAAACTAGACGGTTGAATGGCCATTAATTAGCTTATAGTTGTTTATTAGATCTCTATTACTGCAACCTCTCCTCGAATCTCAATTCGTTGTTGATTGGCAATCCCACCAAAAGACGCAACAAGTTCTCGATAGCTAATCTTTGTTTGTTCAATCCATTGATGGCCTTGAATCCTGGCTTAGCCAATGGGGCTTTCAACCAGTAACTCAAAAGTGTCAACACAGCATAGAAATCTTCGTATTTTTCAGCACCAACTTTCTTGTAGTTGACTCTTTGGAAGAATTCTGTCATTACCACCAAGTCAATAATCAATGGTGTAGCCAAAAGAGAATCCTCACACACATTGTGGATGGAAATCTTGTTGTGTCCTCCCAACATTAACTCGGAATAGTACTCATCCATAGCCACCTTGGAATCACCAACTGCAGGCAAGTACTTGATGACAATACAGTGGTCAATCTTGTCGCCCTTCTCCTTGTTGTACAAAATCTCGTTGGACTCGATGATATCATCAACCACGGAAGCCTTAGAGATCTCCTTGGATCTGAATTGCTTAGGGGCCGACAAGTTGTAACCATCATTGTTACCTAAATGGTTGTACGATGCAATGGAAACTGGTCTGATTCCGGCATCGACCAAAAATTGGGCCAAAACTGACTTGATCTTGGTCTGACCACTCTTGAAATCGTCACCTCCAATGAAAGATTGGTGTTTTTCAGCCAACTCGATCACTCCAGGAACGAATGTGTTTTGTGGTGAACCGTTGATGTATGGAACTTGTTCCAAAATACAAGCGACGGCGAAAACAGTGGAAGGAGAAACTTCGTCGTGGTTTTCCTTGATCGCCTTGAGCAAATTGTCACCGGTATCGTTGACTCCGTCAATTAATTCAGCGTATCTTTCGGTATTGGCAGTCCACAAGACAATCACCTTGTCCAAATCATTTTCTTTTTTGAAGTCCTGGATATCCTTTCTGATCTTCTCGACATCTCTCCATTTATTCTTGGTGTCAACTTCACCATTGGAGTCAACATTGAACACATTGTCGGCTCTTTCCTTCTGGTTTAAGGCAATGAAGTCAGGGTAGTAGATGGAGCTTTTGGGCTTGATCTTGTCGATGTAAGGGTACAATTGGCGCTGCAAGTCCACATCCAACACCTTGGCTCTCTTCATGGCATCGTCCAATTTCATCGAGCTGATATCCCAACCATCAACCACCAAATCGTTAGGGTTGACAAATGGAAGAAGCGAGTTAAATGGAGCATACACATCATTGCCCTCACTATCAACTCCCAATTTGAGAGTAGATGACTGGGTCACCGAGCCATAGTAGTTAGGCTTAATAACACCTTCCTTGTTCTGGAATGAAATATTGTGCTTGTTAGCCACCACCGATCCTACCAAGGTGGTACCATTATTACCACCCAATCCAACTAAAAGCAAACCGGTTTTAGGCACCTTCAAGTCAACCTTGAAGTCGTAGTCCACCGCAGTGGGAGTGACGGAAAGTGTACCAGCACCGTCCTTTTCAACAATGGCATTCTCATAAGTGAATGTAGTGTGCAAAGCGTTGTCCTTTTTGACGGTTTTGTTCGATTTGATGGACACGGTCATTTTTTGATGGTTTTCTTTCGCTGGAAAAAGAGCGAGAGGGAGACCTCCTTTTATACTTTTGGCCGCCAAATAAGAGGGGGTGGGAATAGGGGGGACGCAGCCAAATTATGCACGAGCCGCGGTTTTGTGTTATGTTTTCATGCGCGCCCGGCGAGATTTCGGCGAAAATTAGCACGTGAAGTAGATTGCGACGCTACCATTGGCGGAAGGGAACCCGATCTGGTAATGGACTATTGTTGATTTGAACACGTTAACGCAAGTACCAATCTGGTAAAATGTGAAATAACTTTGTTGATCTAAATGAACTAGAAGGTGTGATTAAGTATTCTTCTGTATTTGTTTTGTGTCTAGTTCTAGTACTCTGTACTGGTCTGTAGTAGTCTGTACTTGTCTGTGTTCTGCGTAGATCTATCGTCTTTGTTTCACAGCAAGCCTGCCGCTCAGCATCCGTTTACGCGGGCTGTGGCTCATTGTCCGTTTCGCCGGATTATGTAAGAATGTAAAACCCGAACCCAACGTTTGTCAATTTGGTTGGGTCTGGGCCAATTGGGACTGAATGAGGTGTCAATGAAGCGACTCTTTTGTGTATTGCATCATATTCTTTTAAGGCATACAGAACCGAGCCTTTTGGCAAAACTTTTTTGGGTGTCCAGAAAACAGTTTTCGTTCAAAACCAACCCTTTTATGGCATATTAGCAGCTCAGTAGCAAGAATTGCCAAGGTAACCGAGCTCAGCTTATAATATTTGCTAGGATATGTAAGAATGGCTGGTGTGTCCCATTTGAGAAAAGCACGTGATCTCGATACTAAATCTCGATAAAGAGGTTTCAAGACAGAAGCAACCATAAATCGCTGCAAAGATGACCCCTGCAATTTCGCCTACATGTTTCCATTATCACCAATGAGTTCGGTTCATTGGCTCAATTGTTCATGGCCTTTGTTCAGGCTCTTTGTCAAATCCTCTTCTACCCCAGATTTTCATTGTCATTATGCAGGATGGCTGGCTGCAATTTCCAAACCGTCCAAAACGTCCTTGAATTGGATATATTATCCCAAATTGGTTAAAATCGAGTCATAAAAGTACACAAATTATGCACCCTGCTTCCCAATTAATAACTTTGGGTGTAGAAATTGGGTTCAACCAGCCAACTTATGTGTCTTAATTATGTATCGCATGCGTCATCATGTCAATTATGCATCGCTTCAACTTGTACCCTTTAATTCATCATGCAATGGGCAAAGGAGTATATAATTGATGTAGGGGCCATACAAGAAACCACCACGAAAAATTTGATACCCGAGTCCAACTCAAGTCTTTCCTTACCTGACCTTAGTCCTTCCTTACACTAATGCTTCCTTCTTCGGTTCTTTTTCTCGTGGCTAGTTATCTTGTCAGTTTAGTCGCTGGTTTCGATGCACTGTCGAAATCCAATGTTGCCGTTTATTGGGGACAAAACTCATACGGTGGACAACAACGGTTAAGCACTTACTGTGAATCAGATGCAGTTGATATTGTGCTCTTATCTTTCCTTTACTCATTCCCAAGCAATCTTCAACTTGATTTCTCCAACGCCTGCAGTGATTCTTATCCTGATGGCTTGAAGCACTGCTCAACGATTGCTCAGGACATCAAGACTTGTCAAAGTCTTGGAAAGAAGGTGCTTTTATCGTTGGGAGGTGCGCTGGGTGCGTATGGATTTACCAGTGATTCCCAAGCTACCACTTTTGCTACTACGTTATGGAACAAGTTTGGTGGAGGTAGTGACGATGAACGGCCGTTTGACGATGCTGTTGTTGATGGTTTTGATCTTGACTTGGAAAACAATAGTCAAACCGGAACGGTAGCTCTTGGAAAGGCATTGAGAACCAACTTTGCCAAGGATACCAGTAAGACGTACTATCTCTCGGCTGCTCCTCAGTGTCCGTACCCTGATGCATCAGTAGGAAATTACTTGAGTGGAGTTGATGTTGACTTTGCCTTTATCCAATTTTACAACAATTACTGTGCGTTGGGTTCGAATTTCAACTGGGACACTTGGCAAACATTTGCTTCTGGAACTTCTCCAAATAAGGATATCAAGCTTTTCTTGGGACTTCCAGGTGCTCAAAGTTCTGCTGGTTCTGGTTATGTGACTCCAGATACCGTTAAGCAATATGTTGATCAGATCAAATCCACTAATAATTTCGGAGGTATCATGTTGTGGGATGCATCGTCTGGTTTTGGAAATGTTGTCGATGGAACACCGTTTGTGGAACAAATGAAGAATATCTTGAGCGGTTCTAGCTCGGGTTCGGGAAAGGCGGCGACGACTAGCGTGGCTCCAACTACCCTGGCTTTGGCTCCAACAACCCCATTGACAACCGTTAAAGACACCACCACACTGACTTCGACTTCTGTTCCAAATGTGCTCACCAAGGTTATTACCCCAACTGCATTTGAAACCTATACGAGAATTGCTACCACATTCATCGTATCGACGGTAAAGGGACCTCAGACGGCTACTTATGACAACGGACAGTACCGTGCTGATTACTACTAGCTTCATTGAGTCTTTTAGTGAATAATACTTTTTCTTTTCGAGTGTGCCTTTAAAAGTTCCATTTGGGATTCGATTTGTAGACCTTGAAGGAGGGAACGGGAGACTCCGTTCATATATACCGTTTCTAGTATTCCTCCGCCCCAGTTTTCCAAGTCGTAGATGTCATTTTTCTTGGTCAGATACGGTAGGAGAGGTGTTAATGTGCAATGTACAATAGGAATTTGTGCAGTATCCACTTGACGAACTCCTTGTGGAGTGAGCGGTTTTGGAGATATGAGAAACATAATGGTGCGTCGCAATTCCTCTTTCTTCGTTACATGATAATGATACACTCCAATCATTTCCCTAACAACCAGGGCGGGGATTTTTGTGTCGTGGTTTTTGCATTGCACCAAGATATCGATATCCAGTTTCAATGATATTTGATGTTTGGGTTGTTTGACTCGACTAAAGTGTTCGTAAAACTCGCGAGATATTCGGAGAATTGGCTTTGTGCTTTTTTCAAACATTCGTGGACTTATGAGCAATTTTTCTTTCTCACTTATTTTGGATACCGAGTGGTTCCAGTACCTAGAAAGGTCCCATTTGCCATAAATATCGACCCCGTTATCGTAGGCGCCTCCTGCACGCACCAAACTGTTACAATTGAGCTGATTTTGGAGAAACTTTTTGGTTACAAGTTCGTAAAACGTGCCTCGAAAAATGGTGGATTCGATACTGGCTTCGTTAAACCTGCAATGATCAAGATATGATTGGCAGTCTTGTATATTCGAGACAGGAACCGAGGTCTTGATGCCTCTGATAAGTCCTGGGCGCCATAGGGGCATTGTAATTGTTTCAATGAATGGTAGCGAAAATGCCCTGGGGACGTGATTTGGTCGCGAGTCGCATTTTGTCTGTCGCGAATAAATCACCACCACCAGACTTATCGAAATTTAGTGCGACTTTCACCATGCGCTACTCCACCACCTCTGTCACTCTTGTGTGGATTTTATCATTTTTGCATGCGGTGAATGCCGTTAGCTTGTCGCTCACTGCTCAGGGCGCCGACCATAAGTTCCACTCCTTGGGAACTGTCGAATTGACTCCTGAAAAATCAGAATTTATCGCTGGGGCCTTGGCTTTGGAACCAGGGTATTACTGTGTGGGCACAAAAGACCTTCCAGGACACGAGTGTTTTACTTATACGTACTTGGACGGGGGAATGGACCATAAAGCGGTTCAAGTCACTGTTGACAATGGACAAGTAATGCAACTAGCATTGATCCATAATGAGGACGAAAAAGCTGTAAAAATTGTTTCAGCTGCGGTTGGTCCCAATCCCAATATGGACCCTGTTCCGCTTCAGCTGAAAAAGAAGAAGGCAGTACAGCAAGAAGAAAAAGAAGATGGAGAAGAAGTGGAGAAATCGTGGATCCAGAAGAATTGGATGTATATTGTTCCTCCATTGATGATATTGATGATGTTGTTGCCAGCTGACGAGGAGAAGAAGTGACGAGAAATGAACGTAGGATTGAAAATAAATGTAGACATCATAGACGCTTATACTCGAGACACTTATTCTCGTATTATGACAGAGCCAAAGGCCTAGAGCCCATTTTGTTACAATACAGTAATCCATATACTTATGTTAAGTCAAGTTGTGCTTTCGTACTTCAAATTGTCCAATCTACTTTACTCTTCTTTTTCTCATTTTCATAATTTTGCAATTTTGCAAATCTCCACAATTTCACCGTTTGTTTATTGTCACTTACGAGCCTTACATAAGCCCGTAAACGCGCCAAGACCTCGTAATGTGCTTCCACGTTATTTAAGGTCCTACGTCCACTATGAAGGTTAATGAATAAGACCAAACCACTTTTGCAATCACCCTTTCCACATCCCTTTTGGGAGGCGTTCTCGGGGATCGGTGCTAGAGTATTGTGCAAAGATGAATGGAAGATTATTGAACTTTCAAATCTGATTCGAGAAAAGACAGATTGGAAAATAAAGTATAAAGACCCAGTTATCGCTGCCAAGTGGAAAAAGGAGTATATTCAACAGATTGAAGGCAAAACCAAATATGCGTCGGAAATTGTCGATTTTGTGTTGAAAGAACTTGAATGGTATGAAAAATTGGCGGACAATGAAGCTGGATTTGAGTGTGGATGCAACGAATCAATTGCAATTAGTGACACCGCCATTTATAATTCTATCAAAGACAGCTTTGTTGAGAATGCCAAGAAATTGGAAGATCTGTTCGAAGGCAAGTTTGACTATCATCCAGGTTCAAATAACCAAGTGATTGATTTGGTGCATCCATCTTTGTTTCCGCTTCAGTATGGAACAACACCAATCAAAATTGGCTCTGAGTACGCCATTGCCGAGTACACAGAAGATATCAAAAATGTTAAAAAAGGAGTTGAGTCGTTTGGCGTTTCAGAAAACTTTCAATGGCTACCCGCCATAATGAAGCTTGAAGATGGAAAGTTTAAATTTGACTCTTATATTAACAATCTTAACCCAAAGAGGTTTAAACTGCTTTATGGTGACATTTCTGACATTTTTAATGCTATAATCCCCGGCTTGAATCTCACTTTATCGAGATATGCGTCTGACCAGTACATTCGGGTTCCAATTCCTTCATACACAGATGCGTATACCAAGGAGTATAACGACAAGGTGGCACAAATATGGGACGACGATGACGACGATAACGATATCGATCTCAGATATGAAGCTCTTGAAGCAGAAAAGGCCAACTATATCAAGCCTTTTCCTCCAGTTTATTCTGAAGAACCCAAAACTGTCGAATTCGACATAAAACTGTTCCAGAACTTGAAAGTGATTGTGAAAATGGCCTCCATTGATCTCACTCCAGAAAATCCTAAGTATCCTGGAGGTTCGTGGCACGTTGAAGGTACGATAAACGAGGATATCGTGGCCACGGTTTTATACTACTACGATGTAGAAAACATCAGCGAGTCCAGATTATTGTTCAGGACCGCATTTGAAGACCCTGAATATGAGCAGGGAGACGCATTCTACTGTGAACACTTCTTTGGAATCAAAGACGAACAACCAATGACCAGAAATATGGGCAGCATCATTGCCAAAGAGGATAGAGTGGTGGTGTTCCCCAATTGTTTCCAGCACCATGTCGATGGCTTTGAATTAGCCGACAAGTCCAAGAAGGGCCATAGAAAAATCTTGTGTTTCTTCGTGGTGGACCCTCATAACCACCTTGTTAAAGCGACCAACGAAATTCCTCCACAGCAAAAAGAGTGGTGGGACGAGGAAACTGGAGAACTTACAGACGAAATCAAAGCAGAAATACTCAAGATTAAACCAGACTGGCCCCAGAAACTCGAGGACACCAAAGGGGTGCGACTGAAGTTGATGGCAGAGCGGTCAGCTTCGGTCCAAATGGCGATCGAAGATTGTATGGGAGCGTTCACGAGAGAGTTTTCGTTATGTGAGCATTGAAGTGAAAAATTTAGACTTTTTTTTATGTTACTGGTGATAGACACCGTATAAAATCGCAATGTACGAACACTAGTTTAGGCTACCACGTTTACTCTACCCCTTACCTTCTCCTTACCTTGTACCACCTTACCTTTTCTCGGTGCACTCATCCAATGCCTGTGCGCTACATCCGCCAGCGAATCAGAGGGCTTATTTTCGCATTACGAAATACTGCAAATAATCAAAAACTCAACTAAACCTTCCAACCCACTCGATTACAACTCGTTTGCACCACCATGTTGAGAGCATCCAGAGCGTGGAAACAAGTGCCCACGGCAGCCAAATCATGGAACCGTACTTTGGCTGCTTCAAGTCGTCGTTTAGCCGATGTTTCTGTTACCATCGATGGCCGCACCGTCCAAATCGAAGCTGGAAGTTCGATTATTCAAGCTGCTGACAAGGCAGGAGTTACCATACCTCGTTACTGTTACCATGACAAACTCGCAATTGCAGGAAATTGTAGAATGTGTCTTGTGGATGTGGAAAGAATGCCCAAATTGATTGCCTCTTGTGCCATGCCGGTTCAAAATGGAATGGTTGTTCACACCGATTCAGAGAGAATCCACAAGGCTCGGGAAGGAGTGACCGAGATGTTATTGGAGAACCATCCTCTTGATTGTCCTGTTTGTGACCAAGGTGGAGAGTGTGATTTGCAAGAACAATCTCAGCGTTACGGGTCAGACCGTGGCCGGTTTAGAGAAGTTGCCGGTAAGAGAGCGGTTGAAGACAAGCCAATTGGGCCCTTGGTCAAGACCCTGATGAACCGGTGTATCCACTGTACTCGTTGTGTACGTTTCATGAACGATGTTGCAGGTTCTCCGGAATTAGGAACCGCCGGAAGAGGTAACGACATGCAAATCGGAACATACATCGAACGTAATATCAACTCGGAGATGTCCGGTAACATCATCGACCTTTGTCCCGTTGGTGCTTTGACTTCCAAGCCATATGCTTTCAAGGCTCGTCCTTGGGAGTTGAGAAGAACTGAAACCATCGACGTTATGGATGCAGTGGGAAGTAATGTTAGAGTTGATGCTAGAGGAGCAGACGTCATGAGAGTTCTTCCTCGTTTGAACGATGACATTAATGAGGAGTGGATCAGTGACAAGAGTCGTTTCGCTTGTGATGGTTTGAGAACCCAAAGATTGACCCTTCCATTGATCAAGAACGGTTCCAATTTTGTTCCTGCTACTTGGGACGAAGCCCTCAGTACCATTGCTGCTGGATTTGCCAAGGTCAAGCCACAAGGTGATGAGGTCAAGGCAGTGGCTGGTGCGCTCGCCGACGTCGAATCTATGGTAGCTTTGAAGGATTTGATCAATCGTTTGGGCTCTGAAAACGTTACCACAGATGTCGAACAAAACGTCGATGTTCACGGTGCTGACTTTAGATCAAACTACGTTTTCAACAGCACCATTGATGGCATCGAAGATGCCGACCAAATTCTCTTGATCGGTACTAATCCTCGTCACGAAGCTGCTGTGTTGAATGCCAGAATCAGAAAGGTTTGGTTACGCTCAGACCTTGAAATTGCCCAAGTTGGAGAACAGTTCGATTCCACCTTTGATGTCAAGAACCTCGGTACCGATGTCAAGGCATTGGAAAAGGCTCTCACTGGTGCTTACGGTAAGAAATTGGCTGGTGCCAAGCGTCCATTGATCATTGTTGGATCTGGAGCTGCCGAGTCAGAAGATGCCGCTGCCATTTACAAGACTGTTGGTGACTTTGTTTCGAAGAACTCCAACTTCAACACTGAAGAATGGAACGGTCTTAACCTCCTTCATCGTGAGGCATCTAGAGTTGGTGCCTTGGACGTTGGTTTCAGCACTTTTAATGAAGAAACTAAGAAGACTACTCCCAAGTTTGTCTACTTACTTGGAGCCGACGAAGTAAACCCCGGTGATATTCCTAAGGATGCCTTTGTGGTTTACCAGGGTCATCATGGTGAGACCGGAGCTGCTCTTGCCGACGTCATTTTGCCAGGTGCAGCCTACACTGAAAAGTCTGCCACCTACATCAATACTGAAGGAAGAACCCAGGTTACTCGTTCTGCTACAAACCCTCCACAATCTGCCCGTGAGGACTGGAAGATTATCAGAGCACTCTCAGACTACTTGAACGCCCCATTGCCTTATGACGATTTATATGCCCTTAGAGGACGTTTGGGCCAGATTGCTCCTCACTTGGTGAGACATGGAGTGGTGGAACCAGCATCTTCTGATGTGGCAGCACTCGGTGTGCAAGATTTGGTGACGAGAAACAGTAAGGCATCTCCAGTTGGAATCCAATTGAAGAACCCAATCACCAACTTCTACTTTACCGATGTCATTTCTCGTTCTTCTCCAACCATGGCCAAGTGTGTCGCTTCGTTTGGACCTCAAATCGAAAAGGTTGTCTCTGACGGACCTTCCTTGTAAGCATAGTCTTATGACCCCATCACATAAGAAACTCCATGGTCAGTAAGACGTGGCCATTGTATCCGCAATAAAATATCAGTTAGAGATCTCGTAGATATCTTGCAGATAATGTTGTAGATAAGCGATAGCGCGGAGAAATCCGATGAGAATTAAGTTGTTGTCATGGATGCTACTCCGCTCAATGGCAGTCCAGACCCACTCTCGGACTTTGCCAGTCGTTGGCGCCAGGTAAGGGCATGTGCAAGATGTCATAGGCTCAAGATGAAGTGTATATATGACAATCCTAGCCATTCGGCGTGTCGACGATGTTTCAGTTCAGGTATCGCATGTTCTTTGGATAATGATCCCACGGCAAAACAAGCCAAGAAGAAACGCAAGCTACCGAAAAAACTGGAGCCTACGTTGCTCCAGCAATTGAGACAAATTGAGGAGTCGGTTTATGAACAAGAACCAGATGAAATTGAAGGTTATGAAGCTCGCAAAATTATTGATTCAATTTTGACCCGAATAAATGGCAAAGTTTCCACTAGATCACCAAGAAATAGCACAAATACACCTCAAATGAGGTCAATCAGCCCCAAATTTGCAGAAAATTCATATGAAATCTCGACTGATGATAACCTTGCTCGAGAGCTCATCGCCAATAATATCATAACGAAAGAAGTACTCCGAGCCAGATTTTCTTTCTTTCTCGAGCACATGCTTCCATACTGTCCATTGGTATCATTTTCCTCGAACCAGCTGGACTTCGAATTCCAACTAGAGAATACTCCCCTCCTTTTGGTTTCATGTGTTTTTGCAACCACCATCAACAATAATACAAGCGCAATGAAACTTGCAGGTAATCTGGAAACCAATCGAGAATTGCAAAATACCCTTCTTCATTACCTTGATTTGTATCTCGCAAACCGTATATTTTTCGAAGCTAAAAACTTTCTGCTTCTGCTCGTCACAGCATGTTTGGTGCTTTCGTTGTGGTGTATCGTGCCTAACAATGGTAACCACAAGAACCAAATCAAACTCTTGTTGGCCTATAATGTTTCACTTTGCATGGGTTTAGGCGACTCATCCAAGCATACAAATACCCAATTGGAAGAAGAGAATGGTGGATTAAGAACATTTTTGGCAGTATACTGCTGCTGTAGCTCCTTAGGACTATCTCTTCCTCGCTTCAAACTTCCCACCTGGTCCAAAGATCATGAATATGCTTACAATGTTCTAGCTCAAAATCGAACTTCTTCGATGACTGATAGCTGTCTCTGTTCCATTTCAAAGCTAGTAAAGTCAGGACACGAAGCACTTGAAATATTAAACCCTGAGAGAGCAAAAATCTCCGGCAGCAATACTATGCTCATAATTGATGCTTATGTACATCAATTGGTTGCAATATTGAAGGAGAATAATATTAATGTTGACGGACACCTCAAAATTGTTCATAAAGAAAATCGTGAGGAGTTTCTCGTTTCTTTCATTTATTATCAGATATTGATGAATATTTATGATAATTTTATCACCACAAATATGACAAATCTGCCCATTAACGAGGAACTCTCGCTACTTGTATTCGGGCTGATCATCAAGTTGACTACAGTATGCGAGAACTTGCTTGAATGCTTTGTGGAATTGAGTAACGGGTCGATCAACTATCCTACATTTTTCTTCTACAAGCCGTTTCACGCATTGGTAATACTCATCCGACTAAAGTTGATTTTGAAGTCAGGGTTCTTGAAATTGAATTGCAACTTAACCACGTCTAGCGATGACAGTACTGTTCAGTCATACGTCAACCAGATCGACGAAATTATGAAGGAAAATGAAAGCAAGTGGGATCTGAACATTTCTGTGAATATGTCCTCAGTATTGGCCAAAGTGAAAAAGTGGATGATTGTCTGTTCCAAGTTCAAAGGAAGAAGTGAGCATAGTGCAAGCGACCCTTCTGCTCAACATTTATTGAGCTTGATTTTGAACTCGAAGAATAAGGAGATTGAGAGTTTGGAGCCTCCACAAGAACAGAGTCACCACCATCAAATAGAACCTGTGATGGAAGCATCTTTCGAGAACACCATTGAAGAAATCTTCAAGGAAATGGACCTGGACCTTAGTAGGGCTCTCAATCCTTTTGAGTCCTTGATGGCTACATCGGACTACCCTTTTGAGAGTCCGTTTGTTTAATAGTAGTTTGGCATTAATGTACATGATATATTGTGATGCAAACGAGCAAGCAGACATAGCAGTCAAAATTTGTACTTTTTTCGTTGCTTGACCTCTTCACTGGCAGGATTCTTCTCCGTTTTTGCCTTGTCATTGCTCCTCAAGTTATAGCCTTTTTGAGATGGAAGAACCTTATTTCCAGAAGAAAGTGTAGTTTCGTCCACAACAGTATACAACAGTTGATCCTCCGAGACTTTAGGCTCATTGGCAACAGAGAACAGAGGTTCCTTGGTGGTAGAAGGTCGAATTCGCAGCTTCGATTCCTCGATAGGAATTGCACTGGTGACGATCTGGGGCAGGTCTTCCGCTTCATTTTCAGATTCAGCCTCTTCATCACCTGATTCTTGTTCGTTATTTTCTTCGTCTTCTTCTTCTTCTGATTCATCAACTTCCTCTAGTTTACCCCAGAGTTCGTAATCGGTAGTTGGTGGTTCAACCGTATTACGGTATCCGGAGTTTGCATAAGGAACATCCACACCAGGTAGTATTAGATCTTTATAAGCTGGAGGTTTACCGATAGTTGCCATAAGACCCAACCATGGAGGTGGGGTTCGATCAGAGGTCAGAATCCCAAGAGCTTGGCGAAGCTCTTTCGATACTACTCCCGGCTTAATCAGTTCTATGGCATCCGAATGAACATCTGAAAGTTCTCTACCCTCGTAATATATGTCACCAAACCCAAAGAGGCGGGGCTTGGATTGTTTTTCGAAGAAAGCTCGATGCAATTTGCGGTAATCAAGATCTAGTCGGCCCATTTTAGGTTGGACTCGGTCCCTCTGCAGTTGTTTTAAAGTCTTGTCAGCATCTCCGTTTCGCATTTCCTGAATGCCTGTTTCTTGTATGTAATGAGGAAGCTGGAATGGTGGTTTCTCAAACCCTCTGCGGTTGGCAAGGTAATCTCGCTTAGAAGACCAGTGGTCAGGGACTTGAACTACGTTTGGTTGCGACTTGATGGAAACGAGAAATACTGGATCTCGTGCATCTTGGTCGTGCCATTCAACTACCTGGGGCCTCCTAGTGCCGGCTTTAAGGTCAGCAAGTGGAATTTTCTCTCGTTTTACCGCTGGTTTATGAATTGTTTCTGGTTCACTTTCCTCTTCTGACGATAATGAGTGAGAAGCAATTTGTAGTTGACTATTTCCATTCAGAGTGACGCGGTCGCTCTTTCCCCATTTACTGAATACTTCTTGGTACTGACTGAACAAAGGATCAGATTCTATTTCTTGGGTTAGTGTAGTGGAAGGTTCTTTTTCGATGGATTTAGGCTCGTTTGAGTTGTTCTCATGACTAGATTTTAAGGTGCCTGCATTCTGCAGCGAGGTATCGTTTAGTTTTCGCTGCTTCTGTCGCTCCCTCCGGATCTGGTTCTTACTTCGCTTTCCTGATACCATGAACCGATGAGATTTTTGCCAGAGCTGAAATATAAAGACACCCAGACACCCACACAAACGACTAAGGCTGGTCAATTACTGGGGTTCTGTTTCGAGCGAAGATGGAGCTTGAAGCTTCGATTCGAGAGCTTCCAAGGAATCAAGTACCTGGTCAATTGCCGAATTGAGCTCGTCGTCGTGGGATTTGATTTTTTGGCCGATTTTCGCCAACTTGCTTTCGATTTCTGCAGCCAAATCAAACACAGAAACAGCATTACCGGCGCTGAAACTTATATCGCCTTCAGCAGCATCTTCCATGCGCACCACGGGAGTTTGGTGCTCAACAGAGGCAAATTCCTCGTTGCCGTTGAGATGGGGTGTACTAAGAGCGGCCACTTGCGATTCAGACATTGTTGATAGAAGAGATTTGGAACTGCAAATAAAATATGTTGTTCAGCCGGACGAGAGTATATCGTGTAATGGTCTTTTTAGTGGTGAAAAAGGTATTTGTGTGGACTTCAATAGACCTAATCCTGGTAGTAGGAAATCGAATTAAAATAAATTCGCGAGATTTCATTTCAGTAATCACTGTATGAGGTTCAACTTAAGCCATGTGTTTCTTTTGGGACACTTATGGTTCAGCGGCATTGTGCTTGCTGACAGCAACTCCAAGCTCGCTATACAATTCTCAGATGCTGAAATACCTCCTCAAGTGGCCCAAAAGCTAGAGAATTCAATGTCCATTCTGAATACGTCACCGTCGATGTGCGATTATAAAAGCGATGTGGGATCGTATGAAATTCTCCGGTCGAATAATCGACAGTATCTATGCCATATTCCAGAGAAAAGCCTGTACTGGTCAAATAACACATTATCGGTTCCATCTTCCAATCTCACATACGAGCTCCGCAACGATGCCAATTTTATACGTCGAGCCATAGATCAGATCTTTGCGTCGTTCAGCCTCAAGGAATGTGTTTATGTGTACAATTTCAACTCGGGATACTGGACGTATGCGTTTTGTTTTGGTGATAAAATCATCCAGTTTCATGAGAACTTGCAACGCTTTTTCAAAACGGGCCAACACGAGCCTGAATTCCCAGACTACGTGTATGTCCTCGGACGATTCAAGAACGAAGACAATTCCAAATGGCGGTCGAATTCCAGAGCCAATGAGAAAATCAAAAACCAGTCCCTCTGGAAGGGTAACAATCTCGATGTCTCCGAGTTCACCATTATCGACAGCGATGTCAGCCCATTCACCAACGGACACTTGTCAGAATCGCGGAGCCAGCGATATATCCAGCACACGTTGAAAATGGGTGGAATTTGCGATCTTACCAATGAGCCTCGTTCGGTCGATGTGATGTACAAGTGCGACCCCAATAACCGAGGAATGGTGGAGATTGTTGACATTCAAGAGGTTAAGACTTGTCATTATCAGATGACCGTGTCGCTTCCACGACTCTGTAGTATTCCTGAGTTCCGCCCTAATGATGTTGAGGACAGAGTCACAACCATCAATTGCAAAAGTATTGGTGAACAGCATGAAAACTCCACTGAACTCGACTTTTACCAATACAAAGAACACCATGACCTAACGTACCAGTTCCCCGTTCGAAAGAGCTCCAAGATCTCATTTGCGGATGTTCAATTGGTACCACTTGGCTTAGGTTTCTCCATTGCTAGTTTCAAGAAGGAACTAGATACACCAAGCTTATATTTGAAACACCGTCACATACTCATTTATAATGGTCTCCCAAAGAACCAACGTGACTTCATGCGGCATATAAGTCTTGCTTTCGAGCAGCTGATGGGTTCCATAATGCTAGCACCGGTTTTCGATGAAGATGTTCAGCCTCCACTACAGTTCCTGGATACCTTCATTCTCTGGTTTGAAATCTACGACTTTTACGGCCAGTTCCTCACCATGGTGAGAGTAGAGCGGGACGGCACAGAGGAGAAGAAATTGCTCTACATTTCCTTGGTAGATCCAGAAACAATGCTTGATCAGGATGGAGACTTGGTGGAGGTGAAGAGTATGCAGGCACCTAATGGGGCATGGAACTATGAACTATTCACTCGATTATTAGATACCGCTACGTTTACAGAAACGAGCACTGTGATTGTAATAGAGACAGCGACCGGGGTACCGGAAAATGTGGCAGCAACACTGGAGCTAAATCACGATGAACTATAGTATATAAATGGTCAGATGCATGGGTGCGAAATTTGTAGATTTGTGAAAAATCGTGCGTGAGCATTTTGTACGATAGTCGATATGGTAGTTTCACGGGTCACCCGACTTCGTTCTGTGAGAATAGAATCCAGGAGAAATGCCAGTTTCTTTAAGAAGCTCTTGTTTTTGGACGATTCTGATTCGAAAGATGCCAACACCAAATTTTACAAATGGGACGAATCTCCCTATGATGACATTCGTACCCGAGCAGCTTTCATCAGGACCAAGGCCCTATGTCCCGTGACCAAGAAGCCGGTAAACTTTGTGTGCCCCTACTCAGGCATCCCCACGCATCATTCGAAGGAGGCATGGGAACAGGATGAGGAATATCATAGCAAGAAAAAGTATGAGCTTTTGAAGAAGGTCAATTTGTACGAGCACGATTTGCGGTCGGGTCGTCAGTTCGATGAGTTTGTGTTTCCCGGCGAACAGGAGCACGATTTCACCATAAACATGTCTACTTGGGATACGTTTTTCTACACGAGAGATTTCAATCCGATGAATACCGAGTTCAACTTGGCGGCTGCCTCCAAGGTGTTGACATACCCCATTACGATGGCCTCGGTAATGACGCATTTCTCCCCATACAATTTGCAACCTCATGGACCAATAACACTTGAAGGACTTCGGTCTTTGTCTGCTTTACGGTACACTCTATACCCTCCCTATAAACAGACTAGAGACACTAGTGCCGTTCTGTTCAAAGAAAGACCATTGAGAATCTTCATATTGGGAGCTAAGATGGAGGCGATGTTGCCTGGCTACGTTTGGAAACAATTTGGCTACTTGTTTCCCGATTCTAAATTCGAAATCCACTTTATTGGACCCGAGTGCTACTTTAATCCTGATACTCGCTCGTTCACACCAACCTCAGAACCATACGGCAGGCCCCATGTCAAGAGATATGATGAGCAGCTTACCTTGCACTACCATACCAAATACTTTCACGAAGTTTACGATATGGGAGACCTCTTCCCATTTGACCCATACCTTGATATATTCTTTTTATTCCACCCTGGATTCCAAACTGCCAATAAGATCCACTGGGATCAGTCGCTCAAGGGTTTACTTGAGTCCAAGTGCGCGGTGTTCGTCACTGGGTACCACGAAGAAGATACTAGAAGAGAACTTCTGTACCTCCAGAACCACCCGCTCGCTGACGAAATCGATATTCTCATGAACCAATCCAAGAACATTTTCGGATCCACCAAACTTGATTTGGTAGACTCGAACCCCACGGAGACATTCCAAGCGAACAACGAAATGTTTGCTTTCAGAGGTAAGAGATACCATGCCATCAAAAAATAGTCCCTATATAAATCTTGTATATAAGCAGTGCACCTTATTTTACCCCATAGTTATATTTCGCACCTTACTGCCAAGTCAGACTTTCAAGTTGTTTTGCCACGAATGAATATTCCATTCACCCTTAAGCTTGCAGTAGAAGAAGTGAACCGTGGTGTTGCTCCGACCTTGGACATTGACAAGTACCTCGTTAGAATAACTCTTTCTCATACTATAGGTGACATCAAAGGAGTGATATGGCGACAGTCTGAAAATTACCGAATAAAACCAATATTTGTGAGCATTTTCTATGATAACAAGAAACTATACGATGAGCAGAAGCTTGGAGATGTCTTGAATACCTTCACAGAACCCCAAAGTGAAATTTATTTGAAAATGGTCATCGATTACCTGTTGTACAATCTGCCAGCTATTCCTGTTCGTGATCCACCAGAAGAGTTATTTGATATCTTGATTCAATTGGAGGATAATAGAGGAATAGAAAGTCAGATTCACATACGTGAGACCATTGATTGCACAATTGGAACCATCCAAGATTACATCTCTGAAGAGCGAAGTAAGAGCCTTGACACACCAAAAATGAACAGAGAATACTTTGGTTTGGTGCTCCAGTCCTCGGGGGATTATATTTGTGACAGCAGCAAGAAGTTGCGAGACGTGTTGGGACTCGATGTTGCACCACTTCTGCAAGTTGTATTCCGAGTTCGGTTCAATTTGTCTGAAGAAATATCATTTTGTCGGTTTCACATCAAAATCAACTCCGACGTACCCCAGCTCCAGCATTTTAACCTTATAGAAGTGAACAACAGAACCACAGTCGAGGAGTTGAAACAGCAACTCGTAGCGCAAATGGACGAGTCTTCGGTAAGACGAACGTTCATCGAGCAGATAGAGTTGTCGTACTCTGCGCATGTACTAGCCAACACCCCATCTATCAACCAATCCCGTTTATACGACGTCCTCAGCTTGGACCTGAACATACTCTATGAGCATGGCAACATAATAACGATGGACTTGAAAATAACTGACGAAGATGGAATCTTAAGCCGTCTGTTCTGGAACGATCTTCGGTCTTCTGAAAGATTCGAGTTCCTCCCGACAAGAACGACTGAAAACGAACCGAGCGAGACACAGCCAAACCAACCAACGGAAGCTCAGCCTCTTGCGGTGGAGCCCATGAAGATTGTGTTAGATACGGGAGAGGAATGGCAGTTGACGGGCGAATCGTATGAAATGATCAAGAAGACCCATGATTCTCGTGGCGAAAACATACATGGGGGATCATCTCTTCTTGTAAATCAATCTGACTTATCGTCAATGATGTACGACTTTTCATTGGAAGTTGACGGTATTCAGAAAAAGGTGCTGCTTAATACTTCACAATGTATCATAGTGAACAAAGGAGACCACCCTCCATACGTTCTTTTGAGTCCGGCAGGCATAGCTAGGTTGGACTCGGTTTTCCGTGATGATAATGGCAGTATGATACAACAAGTGAGGGTTCTACTCCATCCAGCGGAACAACACCGGCATCCTGCGGTGGTCCACGTTCAAAATGAACATCTCGGCGAAGTGGAAAACAATGCTAACCAAAACAGGCAGCAAGCTAGAATGATCTTCAATATCTACCCGCAACTTCGAAACCATATGAGAGGCACCGGACGCTGGGCATTAACGGTGTTGAGGTATGCGTTCATTTTACATTTGATAGGTATTGATATTCTCTTGCTCAAAATATGGCAAGAGGTATTTACCATTGGTGTTCTCGTGGGCACCATCTATGTCTTGTTCTTCTCAGGAACAAGAATCACCGACGCTTTGATCACATTATTACCAGAGAGAGAAAATGTGGCAGACCGTCGATACGACGAGGTGATTCTTGCCGGAATGATACAAGGTCTTCAGATCACAAATAGCATCCTAGACACCGGGCTCACGTTGGTGAAGAATGAACTCATCATGACTGCGGTTAAAAGAACGAGAGAGTTTGACTTGTTTATGAATCGAGTCGAAGGTAACGATACTTATGCCACTGCGATTGGAGAAACATTCACAAATTTATGGAAAGATGCATTGCTTTACACGCTCTCAAGTATCCCCAGGTTGCAATCCACCATTGAAGAGTCCATTGAGATTTGGCGACAGACGGAAATTGAAGATCTCGATACCGAAGTCAAGATGTTTCAAGAATTGATAATCACCATAATATCGATTTACGACAAGAAAAAATGATATTTCTAATGGCGAGCCCGCCCGCAATGTTTTGATAAGAGAAACAAGCATAGACTACGACCTGATCCCCCCGGCTGGAACCTTGGAAGAAACAGAAATTCGGTATCAGCAACTTCTTCAGTACTATATCAAAATGCAACCTGTATATGACAAGTTTGATAAGTGTGTTCGGCAAGGAGCCGTTTTGGAGGAAGGAAGAAGGTTACTAGACGATGAGGCTGAATCAGGAACGGTGGGATAGAGAACAATAGGGGTTGTGCTGGTTACTACTATTTTTCACCTGATGGTTAGAGCCGTTGCTCGCACGTGCATATTGTTCGCAGCAGTTTCAATATTGGCAGACCGTATCAGACGACAATGTATGGGTAAGCGGACCCGAGAAAAATTTTCTCCCATGGAGGAGAATCGAGCTGAATCATCGCTGCAAACACTGAATGACTTTGTCCCACATTGTTACCGGTCTGGGCTGATTGAGATCATGGCGCTCCGCGGTTGCCCCGCCCTTGGACAGTGATCCGCAATCAATCATGCTGGATTTGGCCTTTTTGATCCTCATTCAGCATGGAATGTAACCATCGGTACAGCTTGTTCCTTCCGTTTTAGGCGCCGGACTCCAAGGCGATACGCGATGTTCTGGCGCGGTGCATATGAAAATAGGCTAATTCGGCTGGATCTGCCGAAAGGGGAAGGCAACCTTCCTAATTGGGATGTGACAGTCGAATATGCATAGCAGTCGCTGGACGCAAAATTCTGTCTAGTCTAGGCTGTGTTGATACGGAAAATTATAAAAGGCTGAGCTCTTGCGGTCATTTTTTTTCTTCATCCTATCTTACCTTAGTCTTTCGCTTTTATCAACTATGCAATTCATCGCTATCGCCCTTTTCGCCGCTGCTGCTTCCGCTGCCACTGTCACTGAGGTTGACACCCAATCCACTTTGGTCACCGTCACCGACTGTGCTTCCACCGTCACTGACTGCCCAGCTCACTCCACTTCTGCTGCTCCAAACACCACTGCCCCAGCTAACGTGACCTCTTTCGAGGCTGGTGCTGCCAGAAACCAATACGCCGCTGCTGGTGCCGCCGCTTTGGCTGCCGGTGCTTTGTTGGCTTTGTAAGTTAGTTTACAAGTCTAAATAGTTAACATTGTACATTAGTGGTTTATTCACCATGAATATATTGGGTAGAAATTATATTTTGTAGCGCGAACTTAACTAATTTATGAAAGATGAGTCAAAAGCGATCCATGCGGCGGTTTACCAAGTAGTTAGTACGATTCCGTATGGACGTGTGACTAGCTATGGTATGTACTATGTTTGTATAGCGTAGAATTTGCCCTAACCACAGGCCATATAGCGCTTCTTTTAGGTAAACCTCAAAATTCCCGCCAAGTTGGTTCGGCAATGAAAAATTGTCGAGTTATAATTGAGTTGCTAAACCTGGAAGCTGGCCCAGAGGAACAAATTGACGTGGGAACTTTACCTTGGTGGAGAGTGGTACTGAGTGCTGGAAAAAATTTCTCCTAGAGAAAATTCAAGCAGTGAGTATTTGCAGGCAGAAAAGTTGAAGCAAGAAGGTGTAGCAGTACTGAAGGGACATTCAGTAGACATCGATGAGTATGGATGGTTTCCAGACGAGGTGGATTTGTAGGGACCCATGGGGAACATCTATTAGTTTATGTAGTGATGTATAATCATTTCTTGGATTGGTTTTTCTTTCTTCTTGGTTTGCCATTATGAGGCGGTGGATTTTGCTGGCGCTGAATTCTCTCTGCTTCCTCCTGCCACCACTTTTCAAACATCTGTTCCTGCTGAATATCTTGGAGCGATCTCTTTTCCATGTCGTTTGCCTTTGCGGCTTCGATTCTCAGCGACTCTTGAAGCATAATGCTCGTCAACGATGGTGTTCTTCCGTTACTAGTTGGTGATGAGGTAGTCAGTGACCAGCTACTACTTCCAAGAATAGGTAAAGTTTCTAGGGGCAGGCTTTTCCCTGGTTGTGTTGCTGAATTCGTCGCTTCACTTTTCCACGGCCCAGAAACACTTCTGCTCTCCTCTGACTTGACTGAGTTCGAAGACGTTCCTACTTGATGTTGCATTCTTCTTTCCTTCTGAGAGGGACGCTGGCCAAATTTGAATTTGACAGAGGCGTTCTTCTTAGTAGAAACATCTTGGGTCTTTTCCCACTTTTCTCCGAGAACCGGCTGGAAGCCTAATGTGGTTGGAGCTGGTGGACCTGTGCTTTTAATTTCTTTAGACTGTGAATTTGATGTGGATGGTTTAGGGCTCGTCAAATTAGCACTAGCATTTCTCACTGCTGATTGCGATAAGGATGTCGAAGACAGATTCAAAGATTGCACAGCTGACACAGAAGGTGAGTCTGTAGGACTGACACTAGAGGGAGAAGCAGGCTTTATGCGACTCAGACTCTTTTGACGTCTTCTCGAAACAGGCTCGAAATCCTGATCATCTTCTTCAATAGCTGACTCGCTATATTTGGACTCGTTAGTCTGCAGCTTAGTATCACTCGACCGACGTAACTTGGCCATTTCTTCATGGAGCTCAAGCAAAGCTGAGTTTTTTCTTGAAGTTGACTTCCTCGACAGCCTACGCTTGTCGGAAGTTTTTACCTTGGGAAGATATTTTTCATCCACCAATGGTGTGAATGAGGTTCTTCCAGCCTTCATGAACTTGGGATCATGTTCTTCTGCCATTGAGAAGACAAAGTCTTTGACAAACTGACCTGAACTTTCTTGCATCCAATTGTACTCTAAAGCTGGGTTGATCTCCTTTTTTACATTCGCAAAGTCGGCCACCTTACAGTGGTGGAAAAAGAGGATGTGCTTCTCAAGCTTCGATAAGACATCTAAAGTGAGGTCCTGGAAGGAGTTGTCAAGTAAATACATCTCCAAATTATTGTAGATATACCACGAACATGCCATAAAGAGTTTCTTAGCATTTGAACTTTCAGCAAATTTGAGTAGCGTCAATGCATTTTGCAAGTCAATAAGATCCTTGATGGCTAGCTGGCCAATAGCCTTGAGTTCTAGTAATAACAATTCGTCGGCAATCTCGATAATTTCCATAACAAAGTTGATGAAATCTTCATGAAGATGGGTAGTTTCTGATTCAAACTCATCAAAGAGATTAAGATCATTTACTCCGTAAATGTGACGCAAAATCACGTCAAAGTGTCTCTTGGTTATTCCCTCCAAGCTCAAGGTTTTGGTTCCATTCCACGAATCGGATAATACCGTCTCAAAATACGCAGATCTTGAAGATAAAAGAGAAGGATGGCATACGGCTGAACCATCAGAGAGAACAATGGTAATCAAGTCAGAGTCGTCACTAATAGTTGTACTTTCTGTGAGCAGCCGAAGCTGAGCAATGGCCCTGGATTCATTGAGGTTTGTCATTTGAAAAGCACCAATCAACAGGAAAAAGTCTTTCTTGATGGCTAAGACCACTGCTGGACAATCGGAACGGTTTGGGAAGCTGTCCCATATAGAGACAATCTTTCCCGTGTATAGATAGTGAACAAAAATCAATAACGACTTTAGCTGCAATGATGAGTTGAATGTAAGTGAACACTCTTTCTCATTATATTGCCCATTTATGTTGCCCTCCACAACAATATCTCCGTCAGTTAAGCTCCGAAAAACTGGCGATCGAAGACAGAAAAGGTGCCTGTGGATGGGAATTGAGTGCTGGTAAGTATCTTTGGACAATTTGATAGTGAAATCTGAATGATTTGATTTCGCAATGCTCTGTGGTAGCCATTCATCATCATCAAGATTAGAAAGAAGCAGTTTATGAAGATTCTCTTGAGGTCTAAACTGGTCAAAGTCCCCATCAATGCTATCAGAACGAGAATCATAGGTATGAAATGGGTAGTAACGTTTGTAATAACGACTCTGGAGTATATCCGAATCCGGAAAACCATCATCTTCAGAATCGCCTATTGGCCCACCATGATCGTTGATAAACGTACTGACGCCCAAAAAGTGAGCGTAGTAGTGATTGCTCCACGAATTTCTGGTGTGGTCTGCCCCTAGAAGTTCTGCCTGTTTCCTAGTATCGGTAGTATCTATCATTGGACTCAAGTATTGTAAGTCATTGAGCATGCTATTCTTTGGTAATTCAAATGGTAGAACGTCGATGTCATCTCGCATGTATGCAAAGGATGTGAAATTATTGTCACACGAGACCTTTATGACTCGATTAATGTTGAAAACTTTCCGGAACTTGTTCTTTTTAACAGGAATAGGCAAACGAACGTCGTTCACTGAACCCCTTCTCTGAATGTTTTGTGAGCTCTTGATGAATGTTGAGCCGTTTCTAGTACACAAAATGACTGAACCATCCAGAGAGACATCCAAATCAACCACCTTCATATCTCGATCATATGATTTCCATAGAGTAGAATACTTGATATTTTTTAGCATATTGGAGTTTGTGGGGTCAATACTATAGCTCATGACGTCTCCATTATCCAAAACCAAGCAAACTAGTCGGTGACTCTTTGCACAAAGTTTGATTATATTGGGTTGCTTGGTGAGCTTTGTTGGTCTGAAGATGTCAAAATGTTTCTCCGATGTGATATTTACAGGCAACCTGGGGAGCTTAAAGTGCTGGTATTGTGTGAACACATGAATGTTATTATCCGTAGTGACCACAAATGTGCACAAAGGAGTTGCTTGGACAAGCTTGATTGTATCGCGAAGCGAAACTCTGTTGGGTGAGCACTGGATACTGCCACTGAAAGTTCCTTTAACGGTTTTTTTCGTAGGATCATGAGGAATACCCATCTGACCGGTATTCAAGCCCCAAAAGAAAAGACTGTTTTCAGACCAAGCTACTGAGCTCACTTCTGAGACAGCGAGACCCAAAATAGGTTCAAAGTTGCGCCTTAAGTCTCCTGCAACAGGTACTGGTGTAGGTTCGTAATCTTCGTTTGAGGAACTAAGACTCCTGATAGTACTAGAAGTCCCTAGTTGCCCAAAGGTGTTCAGTCCAAATGCATAGACACAATTATTATTGGCCAAAATCAACGAATGATTATCTGAAATAGCAAACTTTTCAACGCCCATAATAGACAGGCTAGCCAAGGGACCATTCGCTAAATCGTCAATGACTATAGGATTGAACCGATATGGGTTTTTGTGGTTTTCAGAGCCATGGTCAGACCGACCACGGCGAGTACCTAGTCCACTTGAGTATAGTCTCATATCAGTAGTAAGTACCAAGGTATAATTCTTTGAAATTCCAACCTGTTTGAATCTTGGGCGATGAAGTCTATCCCTAATAGTTGATCCACGTTTGGGAAAATCAAAGTGTTCAAATGGTACTTTACTAGGATTTGCGACTTCCGAAGTATCTCCAAGACCCAATGTATAATTTTTGTTAGAACCCAGCATATAAAGATCAGAACCTCCTCTAGCATCATCCCACCAAATGTGGTTGAAATCTATGTTCGATTTTCGTAGTCTAAATTGTTGAATTATTGGTGAGTTGGTGGTCCATTCAGATTGGATAACATACCTGTAAGTCAAGTGAAACCGATCATTATCGTCAATATAGCCAGGAATCCATATCAAGTCCTTGAGGTCGTTATCAAGAAGCTGGAAAGGAGTATATTTGTTTCTATCCTTGCATCGAACAAGGTCATACATCAAGGAATTGGGGACCATATAAGACCCGGTTTCTCGTCGTAAGTATTCCATAAGAACCTTAAAGCAAAGTATACGCTTGTGGAATATAGCGTAGTGTAGACAGTTCCAGCCATTTTCATAGTCAGTAAGTACGAGAACATCCTTGACATCGTTGTTTTTTAGTAAATGTCTCAAAAGATCATGGCGATTACAGAGTAGCAAAATATGCAAAATAGTGCGACCAAACACATCCCTTTTAACTAGATCTTGCTTTGAAAACTTCAGAAGTGTGGCCGTTAGCGACTGCCCGCACTGGTGGGAGTCTGGAGCCATATTCAGTACATTGATAGTGGGAGATATTCTGATCGATGTCTTCTACTGGCGCCGCGCTCACGTGGGAAATGGTGCAAAGAGGTCTACTTTAATACAACTTCGATCGTGATTTGAAATATATACCACATTCTCTGAATGCTCTATTAAGCTACCTCGGGTAAAAAGTAGCCAGAAGAAAGTGGCTTCTTCTTGGTTGAGGAAATCTTTCCTGTTGGTGGAAGTCTGGGGCGAACATTCCTCTGTTTCTGAGGAAGCTCTTCATCCTCTATAATGTACAATTCTTCGTCTGGTGGTAGTTCGGTAGATTCTCCTTTTTTCTTTTGTGATTTGACGTAATGAGACTTTGTTTTCTCCACTAGTTGCTGGTAAAATGGTTTTACTAGTTCGATTTGGTCATTGATGTCTGAAGCCGCTAGCTTGATTGGTGGAAGGTCTTCAAGGTCGCTATACTTATTTCTCTTCAATTCGTTTCCAGTACTAGAGTACGAGTTGTGCAATCTCGAATGAAGAAGGTAGATGGGAATCGACAGCGAGAGCATTTTGAACTCTTTGTCCAACCCAAGCTCTTTGAATCCAAAGAAATCATCACCCAAATCACTCGAGAAATCTCCCGTGATAAACTGCTCACTGTTGTCTTCAAAGCTCCGTTCATTGAAATTTTCCAATCCGGGCCGCAAGAGGTCCCGTAAGAAATTGGACAACTTTTGACGAAGATCTTTAAGCTTGGCTTGTTGCTTCAACACTCGTTCCTTGACAAAAGTATAAAGATCATCGGGTTTATTGACCCCATTTTCCACGAGAGAAACCAAGATTACCTCGGCGTTACTCAAGTGATTCAGAGACACCAGCTCACAGTGAGTTTTGACGGTTTTGATCAAATTGCTCATGTAACGAGCAGCCACCTGAGTCAAGGTATTGATTGCAAATGGCTGAGTGGTTTCAAACCCGGTTTGCATTGCAATCTTTGCAATATTACGTCGAAGAACAGGATATTGAATCAGCTCGTGAAATGGATCGTGGTTGGAAAGTTTCAGAATCGGATCAATATCAATCTCTTTGATAGTTTCGATCTCGGGCTGCTTCATTTGCGAGTGGTGAACAAACGACTGAGTCTGCATTTGTCTAACAAGAGAGATCTTGGAGCAAATCTTTCTTACTTCTTGTATCTCGGTGATTGTCTCGGTGTACACTTTGTTTAAGCCAGAGTCCTGGGATAAAGCAAATGCCGATTTGATACTATTTGCATCTGCTTCGGCGACTTCCAAGAACTTATCCACAAGTTCCTGCTCATATTTGTCTTGGTCTTCGGTGCTGACTCCACGATACTTGATGCCAGGCAAGCCACCAGCGACATCGTATTCCAAAATGTATGGTTCCTCGTTTTCCAACAAACTATTGGATTTCGAAACCGACTCATTTCCTGTCAAATAGTGGCTGAAATTATCCATTTCATTGGACTTTCGAAGAATAGCTGGGGCATCCAACCGGAGATGGTTCTCACTATCAAAGAGAGCAGCACGCTCGGAACAGTAGTTTGCTCTGGATTTTGCCGTAAGTAGACGCCAATCCTGGTCGCCTTCATTTTGGTTTTCGGTATTATCCACTTCCATATCAGAATCGCTCTCATTACCGTCAATTTGACGAGAAGTGTCGTCATTATTTTCTGCATCCGGTACGGGCGCTGGATCACTTTCAGCCTGAGGAACCGTCAGCGACGGTTGATTGTCATTAGTTTCCTGAACTTCCTCAGGAACATGTTCAGGATCCTCTACCGTTTCAACCTCTGGGGTCTCTTCGGCAACTGAGAGCCTCTGCCTCCTCTTTTATGGTATGTCGCTGAAGACCTTTTCCAGCACCAGCTCCAGATGAACCCTCAGGGTCTATTGAAGCTTCGCGATCATCCTCTTCCTTTTCAATTTCCAGCCGGTGCTTAATGGTGATATCTGGAATCGTAGGTATGAGCTTTTGGGTGCGCTTCTGCATGGCTATAGCATGGGCTCGCAAAAAGTGTTTGGGGTCTGCGTTATAAGTTAAGCAATTGCTCCAGATGAGCATTAGATCGTCGACAAACTCAGCTTTCGAATTATAGGAGAAACTTTTCAATTTCTTCATGACAGTATTCAAGTCCATTGGCTTTTTGATAATAAGACCATAGTTTGGGGCTTCTCTCTTGCTGACTTTGTTCAAAAATGGCGTTGAGTGTTCAGTATATCCTCGCAAGTCCAACACCACTCTCTCGCAAGCCTCATAAAGTTCTTCTTGCCCAACTCTTTCATCGTTAGCCCACTTGCTTCTGTTTTTGCGAACGTCCATGAAAAGCATTCGAAGCTCATGTTCATCTAAGGGAATTTGGTCTCTGTGACTTTGAATGGTATTGAGAAGGTTTCGTAACGAAGTGGTTCCAACTCCAAAAGAGGCCGGAGCGAGATTAGATTCACTTGCTGCTTGATTGGTTGACACTCCATTCTCGTCCGTTACTGGATCGTTATCCTTTTTGATAGCTTCTTCACTTTTAGAGTCTGAATCAAGCTGCTGATTAGATTTTTCCAACTTTCTCCTTTTGAAAAGCGTTTCTCGATCGTATTCAAACGTATGATATGCCTTGTTGAGCTCCTTTATGAGCTCAGACGGTACTTCTGCTACTGAATTTTCGTCGTCTTTTTTCGTGTCCTCTGCTAGTTCTTGGGCTGGCACCTTTATAACTGCTTTGTTGTCTGAATAGTTGGTTTCTGCCATTTCAACGTCTTCTTCCTGACCTTGAGCGGAGTCTTCTTGTTTCTCTTCTTCTTTGTCATCTTCATCATCGTCGTCGTAATCATCTTCCTCTTCTCGAACCGGCGCTGCGGGCTCTTCCTCCTCATTTTTGGTTTCCTCTGCAACATTTTCGTCCATTTTCAAGCCGTCAATAAGCTCAAAGTCATCAGTAACCTCCTCAAGTCCTTTATTAAGCATAGACTCACTCAGATAGTAAAAGTCAATGGCCTTTTCCCATAATAAGTATCGCACCTTCATGACAAGCTGAGTGACGAAATCTTCATCAAATTCGCCCAAATCCGCATCAGTTTCTGCCTCGGCAGTGTCCTCGACTTCAATGACAATTTTGCCTTCGAGAAAATGCTTCCATACATTCAAATCATTCGACTTGACAATGCGAGTCAATACCTTCAGCTGCGAATGGGTTAAGAATGTCAGAAAAAAATCTCTCTCTATCAATTGTTTTGTCAACTGTAGTAGAACAGCAGGATCGTTGTTTTGAAACGAAGCTAGTTTTTCCATATTGATCTTGTTTTAAGTTGAAAACTGGTGGTATGGGTGGTATTGGTGGTATATTATGTGACAATGGTTGAAGTGAAAAAAGATGATGATGTAATTATAGCTTATGGAGTAAGATCCCCTGGGTGTGATTGGGTTGGAAAGTCCGTGGAACAGATAAATTAGCAATTTTGGTGCTGCTAGTACGTGGATATAGTTACTACTATAATACTTAGTGATGTTCGGTTAACGCTCAGTCGTGCGCGAGCCGAGTGTCTACAAAATCTACAAGCCGTACCATGCAACTGTTTATATATGTATACGTATACAGGCCTTAAACAGCGTATTTCTTGGTCCATTCCTTAGCAGTGGCCTCATACTTTGCTCTATCTTGTTTGTAAATGTGAGCGATTTCTGGAACCAATGGATCATCGGGATTCGCATCGGTCAACAACGAACAGATGGACAACAATACCTTGGATATAGTTAAAGCTGGTGACCACTGATCCTTCAAGATATCCAAACAGATATTACCATTGGCGTTGATATTTGGGTGATAAATCTTGGTTGTAAATGCGATCTTTGGGGGCTTAAATGGATAATCAGTAGGGAAATGGATCGATAAGAAGAATACTCCTCCGGCATATGGCGAGTCTGGCGGACCCATAATCGAGGCTTGCCAGTGATATACGTCATCTCCGACTGGGCCGGCTGAACATGATGATGGGGGATCTCTGCAGTTAGTACAAACACAAGAATGGAAGTAAAAGTTTAATCGAGTAGAACGGACCAAGAGAAAGACATAGAAAGGAACAAGAATAGACAGTTGCTGGTATCGACTCTAGTTCAGGGCTGACGATGATCAATAACTCTCTTGCTCAGGACTTTGATCGGTGACAAATCAGTGATTCAGATCTGAAACATCCGCAAAACAAATTCAAGAATCACACTCGGTTTCCTCATATTTCTGGGCTTCCACAGTAACAACTCATCCCTGAATGTCCACTATTCGTCCATTAAGTCATTTCGTGCTTTCTTTCGCCGCCACTAAAAATTCCTCCTTTGTTCACCGATGACCAAAAGGTCTTTAACCACAAAAATGGCCCTTTCACAACTTGAATGAATCATACATACCTTCCCAAATCAGCTAACTCCTTGCTAATCCGCTTGAACGACATATTTATATATTACTTGAGTAACTTCAAGATTGTAATCTTGCGAGCGTAAAGAATGAAAACGGACGTGGCCCACACCAAGTGACGATTTCCTGCAGGATAGCAATTCCACCGGGTTCTACCGGATTCCACGTTTGGGGCAGAACCGACGGTGGTGGGGACCCTCTGAGTGCAGGAAAAAGGTGCACTGGTGTACCTCGGTTTGGTATCATCACGAGATCAGGTGCAGCAGGTGTGCCCCACTATCTATAAGGCGGCATTTGATTCTACAATTTTTGTGAGATTTTCGGCTCAAAATGCTCGTTACATTTGACACCAAAGTCAAAAAGAAGTCGAAACCAAAGTTTGCCGCTTCATCGACGAAAAAATCTCAGTTTCTGAGAGACAACTTCAATGTCATCGAAGACCCATTGGAGCTTCAAACTCTATTAAAGAGCAATAGGTCCAAGAACGGATGCTTAACGTGTAAAACCCGCAAGAAGAAGTGTACTGAAGAGAAACCAGCTTGTGCTAATTGTGTAAGGTTGAAACGAGAATGTATTTGGATCGATCCACTGACCATGACCCAGGAACAAATTGAAGCAAAGAAGAGAGACATTGAACAAAGCAAGAGTCGACACAAACGAAAGCAGCCCGAAGGTCCTCCTACTGAAAAACCACAAATTTCTGCAAAAAATGACACTTCTCCCAAAACATCTGCTAGCTTTCTTGAACTACAGTTTTCCACCACTCCACAAATTTCCACCACTCCACGGTTCACCATGGGCACACCATCTCCAAAGTTGAGCTACTCGCCAGCCCCCGATCTTCGAGCGTCACCGATTGAAGAAACGGAAGAACCACGAGAAATACTAGGACACCCATTGGTTTCTCTGTCTTCACAAGAACTGCTTCTGGCTTTCCATATGTATCATGTCGACTTTCCGCCCAAACAAGAGTCTCTGGAAGAGCCCCCAGTAGAAGAGTATCTGTCTCTGGAAACTCCTCTCGACATCCCGAATGCAACCGACCAGCTTGTCACCTATACCAAAGAACTCACATCCACCTCATTGTACGACTTTCTTCGAGATTTTGGGTACCAGACCAACGGAGACGGAATCAAACTGTCGGCACATCATACCCACGTAATCTCAGCTACATCCTCAGCTATATCTTTGCCCGAACTTTTGGAACAGGCAGGTTCTAAATTATCACCTTCACTTTTCGACCAGTTGGTAACTTCATTTGCACATAACGTTTCGACTCCACAACACAGTCCATCGGTGATTCCACTTTTGAACCAAGAGGGCTTCTACTTGTACGATTATTACCTCAATACCTTATCGCGAAAGGTATCCATTGCACCTTCTTCGCAAGATGAATCCAATTCTTACCAGAAAGTATTCTTACCTCTCGCTCACAAAGACGATGGTGTCCTTTACGCTATCTTGGCATGGTCTTGTTTTGACCTTAATGGCTCATGGACTCGGAAAGGAATGCAATATATTGAGGCTGCTCTCAAACATTTGGAAACTCATCATAGCGAAAATTTGGGCCGACATCGATCCAAGAGCAGAGATTCTCTCATATTCAAATTGGCATCGCTCTTAATCATGTGTAGCGCAGAAATTTGCCGAGGCGATGTGAAGAGATGGCCCTTATTTCTCTCTTGGGGCTCCAAGATTCTTTCGGAAAATGGAGGTATTTTTAACTTCAATAATGACAAGGAAGAGCGCTGGCTCATCACAGATTTTGCGTACCACGACTTGCTAGCAAGCTCGTTACGAGATCGTCATCCTTACTTCCCAACCCCAGATTATGCCAGATTTTTTAAGACCCTGGAGGCAGTTGGTCAAGGCGGACTCAATCCACTTTTGGGAATTTCAAAAATGTTGTACCCTATAATTGGTGATATTAACACATTAGCTTTCGAGAGTCGACGTGCAAGTAATCAGTTGCTGGACAGCTTTCAATCAGACATTGTGGACGTTGATGACGACTTGCGTAACCGGGTTATCTTGCCTGTCCAAGATGTGCTCATGAAATGTCGAAGACTTGATGCACAAATTGATGGAGCAAAACCCGAACCAGAAGATTTGGTGAATTTAACCGATGAGGAACTCGAACATCAACTCACGATTTTTGAAACTTTTCAATTGACTGCAAAATTATTTCTACGTCAAGCTGTATTGCGTTGCAGCCCACGACATTTGGAGAGTCAAGTGCTAACGGTTGATTTACTAAAATGCATTGATATCTTAATCGACACTCCAGCCCAGGCTTCCTTAGTGTTCCCAGTTTTCATGGCAGGAATCCATTCTATAACTGAAAAAGATCGCCAAAAAATGAAGGCTCGCATCGATCGATATATGCAAAGTTACGCAGTCACGAGTATAAGCAGAGTCACCACATTGATGGAACGGGTATGGGAACTCAATCCAAACGGCGATGCAGCTATGGACTGGTTCAAAACCCTTGAAGAATTTGAATGGGATTTGAACTTTTGCTAGCGGTTGCAACCTATAGCCATCAATGTGCGCTGATGTAAGCGTTCGCACATCCACACATCAGTATTTTCGATGAGATGAAAATTTCGCAGAAAATTTCTGAACCTCATCCGTAATGGCAGTCGACTATCTTCTCTTCGAAGAGGCAACTGGTTATGCCATCTTCAAGGTGCTTATTCAGCACGACGACATTGCCGTGAGACTACAAGAAGTCCAAGAAGCTGCCAATGACTTGAGTAAATTTTCCAAAATGATCGAGCTTGTCTCATTCGCTCCATTTAAGGGAGCCGCTCAAGCTTTGGAAAATGCCAACGATATCTCGGAAGGTTTGGTTTCTGACTACTTGAAGTCGGTGTTGGAGCTTAACTTGCCCAAGGGCTCTTCTAAGAACAAGGTTACTTTGGGTGTAAGTGACAAGAATTTGGGTCCATCCATCAAGGAGATCTTCCCATGGGTTGACTGTTTGTCCAACGAAATTGTCCAGGACTTTTTGAGAGCTATTAGAGTTCATGGCTCCAAGCTTTTCAAGGACTTGCAAGAAGGAGATATAGAAAGAGCTCAATTGGGATTGGGACATGCCTTCTCTAGAGCCAAGGTTAAATTTTCAGTTCAAAAGAATGACAACCATATCATTCAAGCTATTGCTTTATTGGACCAGTTGGATAAAGATATCAACACATTCTCTATGAGAGTCAAGGAATGGTACGGATGGCATTTTCCTGAGTTGGCTAAGATTGTTCCTGACAACTACTCTTATGCCAAGTTGAGTTTGTTCATTAAGGATAAGGCATCTTTGTCTGATGAAAGCTTGCATGATGTCGCTGCTATAGTAAACGATGATTCTGGCATTGCTCAGAGAATTATTGACAATGCCAGAATCTCCATGGGTCAAGATATCTCCGAACAAGATATGGACAATGTTTCAACTTTCGCTGCTCGTGTCGTTTCTTTGTCAGAGTACAGAGGCAGATTATACCTGTACTTGTCTGAAAAGATGAACACTGTTGCTCCCAACTTGTCGACATTGATAGGAGAAGTTGTAGGTGCCAGATTGATTTCTCATGCCGGTTCGTTAACCAACTTGTCTAAACAAGCTGCATCTACTGTGCAAATTTTGGGTGCTGAGAAGGCGTTGTTCAGAGCATTAAAGACCAAGGGTAACACTCCCAAGTATGGACTTATCTACCACTCTTCATTCATTGGAAAGGCGTCTGCGAAGAACAAAGGAAGAATATCGAGATACTTGGCCAATAAGTGTTCTATTGCATCAAGAATTGATAACTATTCTGATGAACCTTCGGTTGCTTTTGGACAAATTTTAAAGAAGCAAGTTGAACAGAGATTGAACTTTTACGACACTGGTGCTGCACCAATGAAGAATTCTGATGCCATCAAGGAAGCTTTGGAGTTGTCTGGTTCCGACATAGTAGATGTTGTCATGGAGAGTGATGATGAGACCGAGTCTAAGAAAGATAAGAAGGAGAAGAAGGAGAAGAAGGAGAAGAAGGACAAGTCTGACAAGAAGGACAAGAAGGAAAAGAAGGAGAAGAAGGAAAAGAAGGAAAAGAAAGAAAAGAAAGAGAAGAAGCGTAAAGCTGAAGACGAAGAATCACCAAAGAAGAAGAAGAAGAAGTCGAAGGATTAAGTTTTTTTCGATATCAATGTTGTTGGGAACTCCCCTTGTAAAGTATTAATGCATGTCACAGTCTACTTTGGTGTATCAAAACAGATCTAATTCAAAGCTTCTCTAGTATATCTAGTTGTCGGCCACCTGGTTGTTAGCGGGTTCCACGGCATAATCACGGTGCAAAATGGTCCGCAACAACATCATCAGCTTGGCAAATTCCCCATTGTAGTTTTCAGGAAATTTGGTTTGGGGCCAGTGGTTTGACACAAAGCTTTCCACGCCTCTGTTAATCCCCCCAAACACTAAATCTGCCGGACCAGCGAAAAAACGACCCCCATCATTGTCGTAGACCACATAGCGGAATTGGTCTCTGGCGTTCAGTCCAAGACGATTGAGAAACGAGCCATCGTTGGCCGGTTTGTCGAGCCGAGATTGCACATCTGAAGGACCTGCCTCAGCACCAGCTTCACCAGCCTCAGGAGCCGCTTCAGCACCCGCCTGAGCATCTTGAACAGGTTCATTTGCAGCAGTAGGCTCCTCTCTAGTTCCAAGAACTCCAACCAATCCGTCACATTGGTCCAACAATCCAACCAAAATCATGTCACTTGTATCCATGGCGTATCTCAAGAGAAAGCTGTTTCTCAATGGTTCATATACCAGAGAAACGATCCCGGTAGCCCACGAAGTTCCTGGTACTGTTTGAACTACCGCTCTGGTTCCATGGACCAACGAATATTTTTGGATTCTGGAAAGAAGTCTCACTTTTTCTGGTTCATTAGCAGCTGTCACAGCAACTTCAGCGGGAACCTCGGAGTGAAGTGGTGGGTTAGTCTCGATAGCAGCCATAGTAATTTAGGTCAAGAATACAAGCCTGGTGATTTGCAGCCAGTTGAGATTTGAATAGTGCGACACAGACAGACGGCACAGAGACGGCACAAAATGGGTACAAACAGACGGGTACAAACAGACGGTACAAACACAATTCCTCGGCACAGCGTAGTCACAAATCATTAGACATTCAAGTACTTTTTGGATTTTTTTAGTACTCTTCTTAGTTTTTTTTCTTGGTTTTTCTTTTCAGTTTTTCAGATTCATATCGTCATACAGAGATTCCGAATAGTCCATGGCGAGATGTCCTTGAGACCAATCTTCATGGCTCTGAGCTGTTTCTGAGGTTATAACCAAACTTGTACTTGGCATTGGACCGTCTTCACTCAAGAGCTCTTCTATGGGAACAGTATACCGTTTTGGAAAAACTTCCTGAAGTTCTTTTTCCTCTTCAGAATTGGACCTTTTTCGCTTTTTACGTCCCTTTTCTGGAGTCCTGTGAACAGCTTCAAGGTCAAACGACACCAAATTTATCATATCGTCTTGGATCTGACTCACCATAAGCAAGCCTTCCTCTCGTCCTTTGTTTCTAGAAGCAGCCAAATTGCTTACTGGAAACTGAACTACTTCATTATGCAATGCAGTTATAGTCAGCTCATCGATTAATTCCAAATATTCCCTACAGTAGTAAGGATGATTGAGACCACGTTTGGCACGATCCAACAACGCTATATAGAATACCTCTTGAAGAAGTCGGTCGGTATGCTTGTGCCTAAACTTGATATGCATCACAGAATCACGAAGACTTTTCCAACTAAACTCAAGATTTCGGAGAATTTGAATCATAAGACTAATTCTTCCTGGTTTATCCAAATGGTCGGGTTCAATATGGTTGACTTCGTGGGGCCACCATGGAGGTTTACTGTCGTTGAAAGCTTTATAAGGAAAGTGAGCCTGCTTATTTGGTTCAATTACTTTGATCCATTCCTTTGAAATCCTTTTGCAAATATTCTGAGTGATACAAGTTAGTAAATCTTTATACTGATGCTCAATTGCTTCTGCTGAACCATTTTTTAGTTCAAGTATCTTCATCGTTTGAAGCACTGGCTTTATATCAAGAATACCACCTTTTCCAGAATCGAGCAATTCCATCACTTGGTCACTTTGTATACTTGAAAATCCCATTGTATGGGTCAGAAGTACATTTTTTTGCCGTACAACTAGTAGGTAGTCGATAGAATGAGTATGGTGAAGTTCCAGTAGCCCATCGAGAATAGGAGAAAGAGGGATGTTGTTCCGGCTCATACAAGTGTTATGGATCCCCAGGTGATTTCCGGTAGTGTTATACCTTTTGTTGGTTGATCATTGTGACAGGATTGTTAGACGATGGCTGCAAATTAAAAATAATCTATGAAATTGATGGCTGCGATTTGAAAATTTGATTGAAATAATTTTTGAGTGAGTCATTGCGTCAATGAAGCGGTCGAGTTGGTTCTCTTCTTCTTTTAGCCATGGACTTTATCTTCATTTCTAAAGACTCTATCCTCGTTATTTTAGGCATTTAAAAAGTCGATTTCTCACGTGACTGGTTCGGGATTGTTTCGAGATCGTTTCACCAGCGATTTCCCACACTCTGAAACCTCAACCGCAGTTCAAACCCATCTTACAGTTTCAATTTCAACTTCAATTTTGGTCGGAAATGCAGCCCTTTTCGTCATCGGAAAATTCATAGATCCCGACCGGTTTTGTGGGGAAGATCCCCACTGGGTGTCCGAAACAGGAAAGTCTTGCGTGGTTGCATACGAGGAGGATGCAGCCTTGGATATATAAGGCGGCTGCCAGTCGTCAATTCCCCAAGAAAATGGCGAGAAAAATGGACGTCGAGGCTCTCCTCGACCAATTGACCCTCGAGGAGAAAATATCCTTGCTTGCTGGTAAAGATTTTTGGCATACTGTACCGATTCCAAGATTAGACATCCCCAGTATTCGAGTGTCTGATGGACCCAATGGAATTAGGGGAACCAAGTTTTTCAATGCAATTCCCTCCAACTGTTTTCCTTGTGGAACCGGACTTGCGGCTACTTTTAATAAGGAATTGTTGCATGAGGTTGGAAAGTTGATGGGAAAAGAAGCTATCATGAAAGGTGCTCATGTTATATTGGGACCTACGTGTAATATTGTGAGATCTCCTTTAGGGGGTCGGTCTTTTGAACTGTACTCGGAAGATCCCGTGCTTTCTGGCCATGCCGCTTCATACATTATTCAAGGAATTCAGAGTGAAAAAGTGTTGGCTTGCCTTAAGCATTTTGTGTGTAACGATTTGGAGGATAATCGGAAAGGAATTGATGTGCTTGTGACAGACAGAGCGGTTCGTGAAATCTACTTGAAACCATTTCAAATCGCCCTTCGTGATGCTGATCCCAAATCGTTGATGACTTCGTACAACAAGATCAATGGAGTTCATGTGTCACAGTCGCAAGAATACCTCCAGAATATTTTAAGAAGAGAATGGAAGTATGACGGAATGACAATGTCTGACTGGTTTGGAACCTACAGTATTAAAGAGTCACTTGACGCAGGACTCAACTTGGAAATGCCAGGTCCTACAAGGTACAGACAAGAGATTCAGACCGCTCACAAAGTCAATTGCAACGAAATCCATGAAGATGTCATTACGGAGAATGCTAGACGGGTGCTCAATGCTGTCAGACTTGCCCAGGAAATTGGCATTAAAGACGACGCTGAAGAATTGGCAAATGATACCAAAGAGGCTTCGCAGCTTTTGAGAAAATCTGGTGGAGAATCACTTGTACTTTTAAAGAACAATGATATTTTGCCATTGCCAGTCAAAGCCAGTTCGACTATCAAAAAGATTGCAGTAATTGGACCCAATGCCAAAGCTGCTCAGGATTCTGGTGGAGGTTCTGCTTCTATGACTACCAGATACAAAATCACTCCATACGAAGGCATTAAAGCCAAATTGGAAGAAGCTGGAAACTCAATTGAATTGGAGTATGCTATGGGTGCTACTCTAGACAAAACTTTACCGGATGTGGCCACAATTACAGAATACAATGGAAAACCAGGACTCATGGCCAAATTCTATAAGCATGCTCCTGGCACTGCCGATAGAGAATTATTTCACGAACTACCACTTCAGACCAGTAAAGTGTTTCTTCCAGATTTTTACCATGAAAAGCTTGAAAAAGGTCAACTCCTCTACTACATTGACATAGAAGGAACCTTTACCCCAGACGTTTCGTCGACTTTCGAGTTTGGCTGTTCGTGCTTGGGAACAGCTCAAGTTTTCGTGGACGAGAAACTTTTGGTAGACAACAAAACCAAGCAGGAGTACGGCGATGCCTTTTTCTTGGGAATGGGTACGAGGGAAGAGGTTTCAGAAATCAAATTGGAAAAGGGAAAGACATACAATATTCGAGTGGAATTTGGAACCAGTCCAACTTATACTTTACCTTGTATTCACAAAGAAGCTGGAGGTGTCTTTTTTGGATTTAGAGAAAAGGTAGATCCTCAGGACATGATTAAGAGAGCCGTAGAAGTGGCTAAAGACAGCGATAGGGTTATTTTGTGCTTGGGACTTTCGAAGGAATGGGAATCGGAGGGTTTCGATAGACCAGATATGGACATTCCTGGGTACACAACGCAGCTTGTAGACCAAGTTTGCGAGGTTAACAAGAATGTTATTGTTGTCAACCAAAGTGGTTCGCCGGTTGCAATGCCTTGGATAGACAAAATTCAAGGTTTGGTTCACGCATGGTACGGTGGTAATGAGTTGGGAAATGCCATTGCCGATGTTCTTTTCGGCACAGTTAATCCTTCTGGAAAGTTATCTATGACATTCCCCAAGGCGATTGAAGATAACCCATCGTTTGTCAACTTTACAAGTGACCATGGAAGAGTGTTATATGGTGAAGATGTCTATGTTGGTTACAGATGGTACGAAAAGACAAAAAGAGACGTTTTGTTCCCCTTTGGTTTTGGGTTATCCTATACCACTTTCGAGGTTTCTGGACTAAAGGTTCAGCATAAGAAAGATCAAATTGTTGTCGAGGTCAATGTGAAAAATACTGGTCTGGTAGCAGGAGCAGAAATTGTTCAGGCCTACATCCACCACGTGAGACCCTCAATTCCTCGTCCCGTTAAGGAATTGAAGGATTTTGCCAAGGTATTCTTGAAAAAGGGAGAATCAAAGAAGGTTTCAATGACGTTTTCGGTGAGAGAAGCAACCTCGTATTGGAACGAATACAAGAACAAATGGTGTTCTGAAAAAGGAGACTACGAGGTTCTTGTAGGAACGAGTTCTGCGGATACACCATTAAAGGACAAGTTTACTATTGAGAGCACAGAGTACTGGTTGGGATTGTAAAATCAGTCAAAATCAGTCAAAATCAGTCAAAATGCAGTCCAATGAAATTTAGATCAGTTCTCAAATCCAAATAATTCTCAATTCAAGTTCTCAGTTCAAATAGTTCTCATTCTGTATTCTCATTCGTTTACCAGCCAAGTGATCACATGTAGCATCCGATAGACGCCACGAGTCCCTGATCTTCCACTTCGGTTACTCCCAAGCCGTTTGTGGATGGGTCGCAATTTCCTATTTGGGTCGGTTTGTAAATACTCATCATGGACAAAAACGAACACTTAAGATAAGAACACCGAGTAATATTCAAAACAAATTCTCATGGACTCATCGTCGTCTCTATCGGAAGATGGGGGAATAGACATGGTCGCACCGGATTTTCAACTTGATCTCCGAGATTTATTGGAAGACGAAGCCGCACAATTTGCAAGCCCCAAAAAGAAACGACAAAAAGTGAATGGAGAGGTTCCATATATACTGGTTCCTTTCCTCCCTGCACCCTCCTCTGGCAATGAGTTGTTCCAAGTCACAAATAACATGCGTAATAATAATTGCAAAAAAGACGTCTTTGGACTTGAAGAAGAAGATATATACTATGAAGCCCAGATCAACAATGCCAAAATCGAAAAGCTCGTTAATGATCTCGGTCTCACACAAAAGGACTATGAGTTAGATGACGAATTGCGCACGAGAATCTACCAGGGTAGATTCAAAAAGCACGAAGTTATGAGAGCCGACGAATTAGATTTCAAACTCAATGCGTTCTTAGACAAAGAAAACATCAACATGGACCCTTCCAAATCAAAAACCAACGACAAAATCAAAAAATCAAGCAAAGTATTCTTTCAAGCACCTCGAAGACCTACCAACAAATCGCAAATTCCGGTGCTTCGTCCCCTCTCCAATCTCACCAATTTCGACATGAACAAACCACATGACAAGATACTGCGATCACCAAACCGGATCTGTGCACCCAAGAAGACCATTGAAGCCGGCCGAAGTTGTTTGAAAAACCAGAAAGAATTAATATATATAGTGGAGCTGCTGACCGGATTGGTTAACGATGCCACTCAATTTGCAACCGAATTAAACTCGTCCAATTGCGAGGGCTTTCCACTTCCAGAGAACATTAGCGAGGTGGTACAAATCCCCACCAATGAAGAAACTGGACCGGCAAAGAAGAAACCCAAAATGGCCCTTATTAGAGGACTTACTCATACGCAAACGGCTGCGAAAAAAGACAACAAAGACCATAGTCTTGGTTTCTATACACGAAACCAATTTGATGCTTATAGGCTGCAAGTTTCTACGCCCTCATCGGGAGTTGAAGTGGAAACACAGGTGAAAAGTCCGAAACCGAAACGAGTGCTGTGGGCACCTGACTTGGTATGGTAATAGACATGATATGATGAGAAGCGTAGAAAAGAAGTGTAGAAGAAAGAAGGAAGAAGAAAGCAGGTATATGATTTGGTTTATAATTTAGTATTTTTCTGGTTTGATTTTCTGTTTTTGTCTTTCTCTTTTTTCTGGTTATTCTTTCATTTGAGCCCTGTCCTGTACTAATCCGCGAACTTTGACATCTCGCGTCCACCATGACAACGTTTTTCGACGGGAAAAAATCATTCGCTGACGTCAAGGTTTCCGATGACAAAATCGACACTGCTGGCTTCTTGGAGGCGTCCGAAGCCTTGGTGAAGCTTTTTGACTTGTTGGGATCGTCTGCTTTTGCCGTGGTGCAAAAGGACATGACAGGTAACATCAACAAAATCAGGTCGAAATTGTTGAGCGATCCTATGGGTGCTGGCACCCTTCAAGACTTGATCTTGAGTGAGGCGCCCACTAAAACCAAGACCGCCACTCAAGGTTTGTTGTGGTTGTCTAGAGGTTTGGAATTCACCAGCAGAGCCATGCGTGAAACCGTGAACAATCCTGACCGTGAGCTCACCAAAACATTCACCGATGCATACACGGCCACGTTATCGCAGTACCATGGTATGTTGATCAAGCCGGTGTTCAAGTTGGCCATGAAAGCATGTCCCTACCGCAAAGACTTTTTTGAAAAATTGGGAAGCGACCAGGCCAAAGTCGCCGAGGAGTTGGAGAAATGGTTGGCGGCGTTGGAGAAGATTGTCAAGAACATTATGGAGTTCTTTGCATCGGGCAACTACGCCAAGGGATTGTAATGGGCGAAGAGTGAATCAGACGATTAATTACTCGTAGGGTGGCTACATGTCAGTACTAGCTCTGAGCTGTAGCTCTTTGATTATACAACTTTGTATTCATTGACTCTCATAACGTAGTGTTTTCAGTCACTATTACCTCAAACTCATATATCTCATATCTTCATCTCATATTCATCTCATAGTCATCTCATATTCATCTCAAATATCTCACATATCTCACATATTCATCTCATATTAATCTCACACATTCATCTCTCTTACTCAACTATCTATTTACACCCAAATATTTATAGTAACTCTACACTCTTCATCGTATATTATCTTTACACTCAACTTCTGATAGGTAACCTCTTCACAACTATCTTATCTAGACCCTTACTTCATGATTTTTATTTTCTCTCATATTTAGTTATCTTTTCGCTTTTATCTTCGCGACATCTTTCATGCTTCCACGACGAGTAAGTGTCCGGCGCATCGTCGTGGCGGTAGCTGCGGTGTTGCTACTAGCCATTGCATACCTACAGTTAGCTCAGATATACCCTACAATGCTTTTCAACGCAATTAATGCGGCGGATGGCTCATTTGAGAAAGCCCCACAAGCCACCAATTCAGCTGAAACATCCAATCTAAACGACGAATTGTCCCAAAACCTTGATGACGATCCCAGTGTGGTGGTGTTTCCCCAAACTCCCATTCATGTGGACCAGGAAGTGGATTTTGCCGAAATGCAGCAGTTGCAAGAGTATCGGCTTGACTACGCCGAGTCCAAAATAGGATCGATTTACGTTGGATTCAGTGAACATATTAATGAGGTGGTTGATCCTGGCGAACGTGAAAATGCCACTTTTTTCTCCTTGGTTCGAAACAGCGACAAAGTAGGCATTCTTCAAGCAATTGAGTCGGTCGAAGATCGCTTCAATAAAAGGTACCATTACGATTGGGTTTTTGCCAACGACGAGCCATTTGATCCTCAGTTGGTTGCATCTATAGAAGCTCTTGTTAGCGGAAACGCCTACTTTGAACTTATACCTCGGGACTTTTGGTCGTATCCACCTTGGATAGATGTCGAAAGGGCCAATGCAACCATGCACTATATGGCGCAGGAAAAAATCAAGTATGGTGGCTCAGAACTGTACCGTCATATGTGCCGGTTCAATTCAGGACTCTTCTTTCAACTACCGCAAATGCAGAGGTACCGTTATTACTGGCGGGTGGAACCAGAAATTCAGTTTCGCTGTGATCTTTTTGATCAAGATTGGTTCAAATACATGAGAGAAAACGATAAAAAATATGCATTCACATTGGCTCCATTGGAGCTTCATACTACCGTGGAAAACTTGTGGGACACTGTCAACCAATTTTCTCGCCAGAATCCTCAATTCATTGCAAAAGATAACAATATGGAATTCCTCACCGAGGACGGAGGAAATACTTACAATATGTGCCATTTTTGGTCCAATTTTGAAATTGGTGATATGGACTTCTACCGGCTGGAACCCTACCAAGCATTCTTCAATCACATAGACCAATCTGGAGGTTTCTACTACTCACGTTGGGGAGACGCTCCAGTTCACACCATGGCGGTGTCGTTGCTCTTGCCTTATAAAGATCTTTTATTTTTCGAAAATAGTGGTTATTTCCACCATCCCAACAGCGACTGTCCCCATGATCCGGAAATCCGCTCAAAAAGACGATGTACTTGTAATATTGGCGACGACTTTACATGGGTCAAAGCTTCATGCATTCCCAAGTGGTTTGAAATCCACAACATTACCAAGCCTCCATTCGTTCCAAAGTACAAGTTTGAAAACCAGCATCAACCGGACGAAAGCGAGTAGCTACACTATATACATTCTTAGTTCTCTCTTCCTATTCTTTGAGTTTCTTGCATCAACTCGTAGAGCTGGCCCACTTGCTCCGGCGACATTTTGTCGAGTTCCTGCTTGCTCAACTTGCCATTTAGCCACGAGCCGCCATCAATGCTCTTGAGATAATCTTGCCATTGGGTCAAAAAACCCACAATATGCAACGGATTGTCGATATTTTTGTGGGCCTTGAATTCTGCCTTCACATACTGGTCTCCCAACGACCGAAGTTCAACAGGGAGCTTTGTTGCATGTGCTCTGAGAATATTCTTGTACAACTGGAGGGGCGGCAAAAGGGGATCGGTTACCCTTTCCGGCCTACGAGGCCTGACCAATCTGACGAGAGATGGTTTCATATTCAACTACCAGTTGATTTGATTTTCGCCTGCAGATGGATTGACAGCTCCATGCAGGAGAAAATATAGAGCCTGTATGCAACAAATAGAGCCAAATAATGCAAGATAATTCCGATACTATTTATTGCCCAAACTAGCAATGACAAATTTAACCATTTTGACAACAATTTTGCCTATTAGTGTATGCAAGGAACTCATAACACATAATAGAGTAGTCGACTTCTCCATACCGCATTGGGCAATTTGCCAATGCACATCATTTGTGCGAATTCCCTATTCGGGCAATTATTTGACATAAAGGTTGCAGAATGCGGTAACAAGTTGGGGTAGGGCTGAAATGGCCAGATTTTATAAGACCCCAATTTCGTCCAGGCAATTATTCTCCGTAACTGTCGTTAATATGAGATTTGCATCCATCCTATCAGTAGCCTCTGTTCTTACGGGAGCATTGGTACTGGCCGCTCCTACCATTCGCAGTGATGAACTTGTAGCGAGGTATGATCCAGAATTCAGTGCTGATGCTGTTATTAAAAGATTCAATGCTATGGACAGTGACATGGAGCACAATGAAAAGAGAGAGTCCAACGAATATGTCAACTCTTTTCTTGAAATGTTGAATGAAAATAATTTATTACATGCTTTCATCGACCAACTTTCCAAAAAGGAAGATGTGCAAGACACCATTACTTCCAGCATCAACGAGGTGTTTGCTAGAGACCTTAGCGACGTGACTTCTCTTGTTGAGACCCTCGCTACTTCTTCGGCTTCCAAGTCTGTATTGCAATATGTTCAAAACCACAAGGAACTTGTTGACGAAGCCAAGACATATGCTGCTAAATATCTTGATTCCCACCAAGACTTTGTGACCGAGATCTTGGGTAAAGTCACTAGTGAGCTTTCCAATCTCAAGAGAGAAGAGGTGGAGCCCATTACCAAGAGACAAAACGAATACCTTACAAAAATCATCTCTTCATTGGCTGCAAATTCTGGTCTGATCAAGTCGATTGCTTCATCCTTGTTGAACAACTCCACTTTGCGCACGTATGCCGGTACATTTCTTCTGTCCGCTAAGAATATTGACTACTCCAAATTATTTCAAACGGTCAAAAATTCCGGCATTGCAACTTCATTGTTGAACAAATTGAAAGATTCGAAAACTTTGCAAGCCGAATTGGCCAAGTTTACCCAGAACCAAAAGAGAGCATTGTATGACTCTGTTGCTCCTTCAGCTTCAGCTTCTGTTTCCATTACAGTGGCTGCTTCTGCTACTGTTTCTGCTGCTCCATCTTCTACCGGTGTTCTTGGTGGTCTTCTTGGAGATCTTTTCGGCGGAAAAGGTTCCACCACCACAGTTAAAGCTACTCCCACCTATGTTGCTTCTGGTCCTTCTACCACTGCTTCTGCTACTAAAACCGGAGAAGGTTTAGCTGGACTTTTTGCTGGACTTTATGGTGGTGCTTCAACTAAAGCTTCTGCTACTAAAACCAGTACCACCTCAACAGCTACTGGCAAGGGATTGGCTGGCTTATTCGACTCTTTATTTGACTCCAATGGTGCTAGCAAGTCTGGAACCACCACCACAAGTGCCAAAGCTACTTCTACCAGCACCGGACTGGGTCTTGAAGGACTTTTCGACGACTTGTTCAAGTCTTATGGTTCTGGCTCCAACTCTTCTTCCTCGTCCACTTCGTCTCTGAAGTCGGGTGACAGCTTGGGAAACCTTGTGGGTGATCTTCTTGATTCTTTCTTGGGTCCTCATAACTCCACTTCTTCATCATCCTCTAAGGGAAGTGGAGGAGACCTTATTGGTGGACTTCTTGACTTCGGTCTTGGTTTGCTCAAAGATCTTTTTAGTGGTGATGGTTCAGGAAATGGTTTCTTCTCCAAGCTCTTGAACTTTGGATTTGGTCTTCTCAAATCTTTGTTTGGCGGCTCTAATTCAAGCTCTGGTGGATCATCTTTCAGCTTGAGTAACTTTATCCTGGGTCTCATTGACGATCTCTTTGGTGGAAGCTCTTCTTCCAGCAATACTCCTAGCACTGGTGGAAGCTCTTTGGGTTCCATTTTGAACGGTATCATCGATGCTATCTTTGGAGGTTCCAGTTCGTCTGGATCTGGTACTAGCTCTAGTTCTAGTTCCAGTTCCTCCTCTTCTAGTGGTTCCAAGAAATGTTGTTGCAAGAAAATTTCTAACCAAAGAAGAGAAGAAAAGAGAGAATTGAGAAGAAAAATCAGAAGAAGTGTCAGAGAATCATTGAAGAAGAGAGGAATTTACGACCACGAGGACTTTAAAAATTTGGTGGAGCAAATGAAGAAATAGCATATTGATTGTGCCTGTATACCTAATATAAGAACTAGTAAGAGAATCTGTTATTTAATTCTATTATTTTGTTCTATTACTTTAATCTTTTACTTTATACTCTCGTTTTCGCAGCCAGATTAAGTCCAAACTTTTTTCTCAAATTATCCAGTCTACATTATTCAAAAATATTTAGAAATCCATTTTAGTCTCGGACTAAAATGAGGGGACCATAGTAAACAACGATCTATATTTGGTTCTAGAAACCAAACTAGTTTACCGGATCCGGCAGTTGGAGGAGGGCCCGGACGGCATATAAAAACTTCCTAACTTGGTAACCTTGAAGATGTCTGAATTTGACTTCCTCATTCGGAAATGTTATTAGCCGATAATTTGCATATTTCCCAATTGGGATCAAGTTTTCGCAACCACCTTGGGTATTCAATGCATCTGACCCTCCTTGGGTACTACCAAATTGCCTAAATCGGTTACAAGCATACCCCAACCTCTTTTTTGTTAGTAGCTATATATGGCTTCGATCCCACATACACCTATTAGGTGGAATTCTTCCTTTCGTTAAATACATTGAAGATAAAGTAATGGAACAGTAGTGGAATAGTATGAAAATAACAACTATCTTCCACACTGTATTATTGGCATCCGCCGCCGTAAATGCACAAGATGCTCCCAAGAAAAGAGGGTTTTTAAGTGACTTATTTGGTGGTTCCGATGCTGCTGCTCCTGCTGCCGCTCCTGCCGCTGCTCTGGCTGCAACTTCATCCACAACTGCTGCTGCTGCTGCTGCTCCTGTAGCTGCTGCAACGTCGCTGGCTGCAGGCGTTCTTGACCTTTTTGGACTTGACAGTTCCAATTCCAATTCAACATCCAGTTCAAGTTCCAGCTCCAGTTCCAGCTCCAGTTCCAGCTCCAGTTCAAGTTCAAGTTCAAGTTCATCTTCCACAAAAGCACCTGCCTTCAGAGTGTTGGCAGCCCAAGGCACAACACAAAGCTCGTCGAGCGCACCAGCCACCACTGATTCTGGATCCTTGTTCGACTTTTTGAATGTCGACAGTTCTGCTTCTTCGAGTTCTTCGAGCCCAGCTTCAAGCTCTTCCAAAGTGTCTTCTTCCTCCCAAACTGGAGGACTTTTGAACCAATTGTTCGCCGTGGCTCCTAGTGGTTCCAGTGGTTCCAGTGGTTCCAGCTCTGCTTCGGCTTCGGCTTCAAAGTCTGCTTCGGCCTCCTCTGCCTCGGCTTCCGTCACCGCTGCCCCATTGGGTTTCCTCGGTGACTTGTTTGGAGGCTCCAGCTCGTCAAAGGCATCTTCGGGTTCTGTTTCAGGTTCTTCTTCCGCTTCTTCGGCTGATGACGAGGAATGCGACGACGAAACAGACTCGGCAAGTCCCACCGATGATCCTGTTTCTGTGCCTCCTGCGTTCAGCAGTATGTCGTTACCTCCACTCACGGGCTCACCTTCCGGGTCTTTGACCTCACTCGCAGCTGTGAGCGGCCAGCCTACTAGTGGTGCTTCAAGATCTAGCGGAGTTTCTTCTGCTCGTTCTTTAGCTGCTTCTGCTCGTTCTTCGGTTTCAGCTTCTTCTGAAGAAGACGATGAAGACTGCGAAACAGAATCCAGTCTCCCAACCTTGCCTCCTTTACCTTCTTTGCTGGGCTCTGGAGGAGTGTTGCCAACTTTGCTGGGTTCTGGTGGAATTTTACCAACTTTGCTGGGCTCTGGAGGAATCTTGCCAACTTTGGGATCCGCGTCAAGAAACTCAACAGGTTCAACTTCTGCTACTGTCTCACGCTCAACAGCTTCTGACGACGGTGACGACGAAGACTGTGATCCTAGTGAAACCACAATCAAGGGCGACCCAACCTATGCTACTCTCCCCACTGAAATCACCTCCAACGGTGATCCTACCGGAATCACCACTAGAGGAACTGCAACTACAACAGTAATTACCACCGTCAAGACCACCAATGGTGGATCTGCCGTCACCTACACCACCACCAAGGTTGTGCAACCCACCCAAGGATCTGAAGATGACGAAGACTGTGAGGAATACTATACCCAAACCCAAACCTACTACACCACTTATACCACCGTGATCAATGGTGCTACTGTCACCAAGGTGGTTGAGTGTGATGAGTGCAAGGGAACCGGTTCTGGAAGTGGAAGTTCAGGCAGTGGAAGTTCAGGCAGTGGAAGTTCAGGCAGTGGTAGTTATGGCGGTGGCTCCAGCTCTGGCTCTGGCGTCGATGAAGACTGCGAGGACGACGAGTCAAGCCCCAGTTATGGCTCTGGCTCTGGCTCTGGAACTTCTTATGGATCTGGAAGTGGAAGTTCTGGAAGTGGTTCAAACTATGGCTCGGGTTCCGGCTCAAGTTCTGGCTCCGGCTCTGGCTCCGGCTCAACCTCCAAGCCGGGATACTTGATTCCAAGTGACGATCAGTGTGACGAAGACTGTGTTGTTTGTGACGATTCCGACGACGAGGACTTTGACTGGTTTGGAAATGACACCGACGACGAGTGCGACGCAGACTGTGACGAGTGTGATGCTGGAACCTCGGGATCGACTTCGGGATCGACTTCGGGATCTGGTTCTGGTTCGGGTTCTGGTTCCGGTTCCGGTTCTGGTTCTAAATCGGGATCAGGCTCAGGTTCCGGTTCTGGCGGCTCAGGATCTGGCTCCGGTTCAGGCGGCTCTGGCGGCGCTAAAACATATGTCTCCACCGTCCGCACAACTGCTGCTGGTGAACTGACATGGTACTCCACATCAGTATCCACTTCCACACACAGTCCAGACGACGAATGTGATGACGAAGAATCAGCAACAACCACCAAAAGTGCCACCACCACCTCAGGATACGCAAACTCCACCAGCAAGCAAACGGGCGGGTTCCTCGCAGACTTGTTTGGAAGAGACGTTGAGATCCTGTCGTCGGCATGGGCCAATACTTCCGTAACAAGCGCACCGGTGGTAGAGCAGCACCCCTCCAATGGGTCTCGCCAGACATCATTCTCTACCGCGTTGGTAGCACTTGTGGTTTCGATCGTGGCCTTCACCTTAATTTAATAGGTTTCATCTGTAACATCATACCCGAACCAAAAATGGTGGAAAAATAATGTCTAGACTATTTATGTCGTATGGTTAATATAATACCGAAAGAAAAGAGGGAGTGTAGAATGGCTGCAAATGAGGAGGAGAGATTGAGAAAATGAGTGAGATTGTAAAAGTCCAAAAATTCGCGAAATTAAATATTTGCGACAATAATTAGATGATAGCAGGAAAGTGACAGAACCATCTGAGGTGATTTAATTTTCTTCAATTCAAATTATTTTCTTCATCCCATTCTTCACCAATTCCACTCACATCAAATTTCTACTTTTCTTCACTTCTTCATTTTTTTGATTTTCCTTCTTCATCTTTCCTCTTTTTGCACCCACTGCACCACCACTTTATCATTGCGAAATCGCCTCCACACTGTACCATGGCCATGGACCGGCAATCTATTATGATCATAATCATTATGATCATCTTCTTTTCGTTTCCGTCCGGCTATGAACAGCCCCATTCCGATAAAGACAAAGAGGTGATTCTGTATTTCCAACACTTCATGACTTATTCACGACAAGTCCTAGCAAATTCATCCTATATTTCTGGCTATGGAAATCTTACGGGGTTCAGACTTTCATACGAGGACAACCTCAAGGGTCATAATGCTCTGGAATGGCCGCTACATCAGTATTCAGAAAAACATCCGTGGGTAGAACAGGAGAAATATTCATTGCTTCCGAATAGCATTAGTGATGATTTGAAGTCATGGTGGGGAAAAGACCCTGTAGACACTTCTGATCCAGCAGCTCCAGCATACTTGTTGAATGTGACAGGCTCATGTTATGGCGACTACTCTATGCTCACAAAAACAAGACCAAAGCTGTATTTTTTTGAGCTTGAAAAGCCGTTTGTGGAATATTATGAAAGGTACTCGCAGTCCAAGTATGACGAACAACGGGAGCGGTATGAAAACGATCCAGAAAACAACCCAGAACCAAAAAAAGACGACGACAAGAAAAAGGTGGGCGAAGAGATCACACAAGAGGGAACTATCCTGTTGTCGATTCGAAGTCTCGGCTACAATTTTGAAAACCAGGACCTCAGTAAACTCATTGAACGTCCCGAAGATGAAGTCCATGACGCAGTTTTGGTGCGAGTACTGCTCGAAATCAAAGATCACCCAGAGATCCAACAATCTGAATTTGAAACTTTGGGCATATATTATCAGACGACTGGTTCGTTGATCACCACCACTGTATCTGCAAAATTCTTGGGAATCCATGGACTTCCTCATATGACGTTTTCTGAGCAGAATTTCAACACCGCCAAGCTTTTGGTTTCGCAGCTTCTCAATTCTTCCGCTACTGACAGCAGAAATAAACTTGAAAAGTTGAATATGTATATCGCTCGTTCACAAGAGCAATGCGAGTTGATTTCGTTCTTCCAGCTTGATAAGACAAATTTCCTGAAACAAGAAATCCTCGACATCGATGAAGAATTGCAAAACCCCATTGGCCGGCCCATACCAGGAGACTTCCCCAAGGTTGTGATCAAGAATGCATTAATGTACTCGCCTGATTGTGGGTTCGTTCTAAACTCCAACAAACCCGCTGAGGGTGATCTCTCGATCATTACCAACAAAGAACGAAGGTCGATGTTCACCAAATTTTTGTTAATTGTGCTCATTCAATTGTATCTATATGTTGCTGAAATCAGACTGCTTCGCACACCAGGACAACTTTCGAATGTTAGCAGTACTACTCTACTGCTCCTAGCGTATCAGGACGCATTAATGTCTTTAATTGTCTTGTTATATGCCAACATCACCGAGGAACTTTACCTCATTTTAGCATGCATTACAGTCAACCTCGTTGTAGGTGACTTGATAATGGTTCGTTTCCTAGTGAAGGTAATGTGTACTCAGGCTAACGAGCGTGGAATAAGTTGGTGGGAACTCATGCGTGGAGGTTCAAGAAACACAGAAACAACCAATACAGAAGAAGCGCAACCTCAAGAAGATACACTTCCAGCGCCTGTAACTGCCAACCAAGAACCGGCTATTCCTGCTACAGGTCCAGGTGTTAGCGATGATGCTAGGTTCACAAATGGTATTATTGCTACAGGACTTTCCGCCAGCATAGTGTCGATGTTTTTGGTTGCTGGTGCTACTACATGGAGGAAAAGTTACAGAAAGATTTTCGAATACTTTGCGTTTTTGTTGATAAATTCTTACTGGTTTCCTCAGTTTATCCGCAATACTATAAAGAACAGGAGAAAAGCATTTCTGTGGAGATTTATTTTGGGGACTTCTCTTCTTCGGTTGATGCCGTTATTTTATATCTGCTTGACACCGGACAATACCTTACGCCATGGATACGACCCGGTGCTTTTTGGAGTTGTTACTTTGTGGGTGTCTCTACAATTGTTTCTTCTTTACGTACAGACGCAATTGGGTGCCAGATTTTGGATCAATGAACTGTGGCTACCTAAGGCTTACGATTACCATCCACATCTCAGTATTACAGACTTGGAAAATGGATTTGCATCCGATATTTTGGCAGGCATTAAATCTCGTGCTGGTGATGTGACTTCCGAGGAAACCCAAGCTAGTGGATACATGTTATGTCCTGTTGACTGCGCTATCTGTATGACAGAAGTGACAATTCCAGTTGCAGCCAGCGAGCAAAAGAAAGACAAAAAAGTTGGAAATACCCATTATATGATAACCCCATGCCATCACATCTTCCATACAGAATGTTTAGAGGACTGGATGAAGTATAAGCTTCAATGTCCCGTATGTCGTACCAGTCTTCCACCGGTATAGGTGAATGAATTGCGCTTTATATTTAGAAGTACGAAGTAAATGCATTGTTCATGAATTTACGTATCTGCATGCATCTCTCCAGGTACCATCACGGCTGCATCAAGTCGCGGCTGCAACATCGTTCTCCCGCAGGATTTCACGCCATTTTGACGCACAGCTTCGAAAACCCTTGGCGCGTCATTTACTTACGTAACTGCACCCGCACAGCCTGCACACAGCACTTAATGGCGTGATATTTTCGGCCTACCCCGGAAATGACCTGATAGTTATTCTGGTTGCAATTTGTGACCAATTTTCTTCTCCTCATACCAATGACAGATTTCGATTATCCTGGTTTCTACGACTTTGAAACCACAGATAACTTCCTCCAGAGTATTCTGGGGGCAGCCCAGTCGTTATCTCCAGATTCTATCAACGGAGATGAAAAAAAAATGAACGACTGGTTTATGAATTTAGAAACGAATTTGCCAGCTGAAAGGCAAAATATCCCGGAAATGCCACCTTTGAATGGATTCCAATCGAGTTCTATGAGCAGCTCTTCGTATTCTCAGGATTCCAATGTTTTTGGTGGGTTGACTCCTGAGAGTCAGGATACAACGTACTCGAATAAGACATCGCCTCGATATATAAAAAAGGAAATCGAGCAAATTTCAATTGGAAAACAGGATACGCTGAACGAGGAAAGCGTGACACCAGAGGAAAGAAAACCAAGTGTAAATTGCACTTCCAAGGTGACAAAACCAGGACGTAAGGACAAGATCTCGCACAACCAGATTGAAAGAAAGTATAGAACCAACATCAACACCAAGATTTTGGCTCTTAGAGATGCTGTGCCGTCGCTCCGTATTGCTGCGGGGTGCAACGACGTGAGTGTGGCCGATTTGGAGGGCCTTACTCCGGCATCCAAGTTGAACAAGGCAAGTGTCTTGGACAAGGCGACCGAGTATATTAGGCATCTCGAACGGAAAAACGAAACCCTTATGAACGAGAACCGCAATCTCCAGCGTCTTATACAAGAAGCCAGTATCAACCCACGTCCAGTTGCCCCGCAAAATGAACCATCATCGGCTGGCCGTCACAATGGCTTTGGCTTTGCACCTTCCCAAAGCTTCAATACTACTCCAGTGGCCAACTATAGCCAATCCTCAATGCCTGTCACTAACGAACCATACCAGCAACAACCAACAAACAGGTTTTTATTAGGAGGAATGGCCGCCATGGTTGGTACCTCGTTGTTCTCTGGAGACCTGGAGTTTAAAAACCTTTCAGCTATACCCATATTTCCTCAGGCACTTGCATCTCCTATTACCTTCCAATTGTGGAGATTAATAAAGATAGCGCTCGTGATAATGTCACTTGCAAGTATATTTCAGCCATATTTCAAATTTGGCACCAAAAATGAGAAATCCAAAACCCAGAATACTGAAGGGTTGTCGCAACTTATGGTCCATTTGGGTGTGAAACTTCCCAGTCGAATAAAGAAAGACCATTTTAACGAACTTACGACCAAGCTCGCGGGCAAAAGCGATTCTTTCACAAGCTGGTCCTTGTTGAGCAACTATTTCTACCTTTCATCAAAAGAGGTCAATTTCGAAAGCTGTATTTTAAGCTTGATAATAGGGTCGATATTTTGTTCCAAGCATCCTCTTGCGGGCCGTATCATGAGTATAAATCTCAAGACCAAGGCAATGTTGATTAAAAATTTGGATTATTCCGGTGACAATGAGTCGCTTCTTCGACTCTATAAGCTAATCAAAAAAGTGGACGGATTAGCAATGTTCACGTCGCCAGATTTTGTCGATCGTCTTGCCAACTTGGCATACAAAAAGCCCATTAATGAGGGATCAACAGGCGGACCTTCGCATCTTAAATACATCGAATACCTTCAAGATAACTCCGATGACTATTTTGGAATTGTTTTGTCTTGGCGAGTATTGGAGCTTTTACATCAGCTTGAAATCACCTACCTCGAAAGTATATCTGATGACGATAGAGAAACATCCATGAAGGTTATTCTGAGAAAGACCAAGGGATTGCAGGAGATTATAGAAAGTTGTCCTCAAGGATCCAAATTGAAGAAGCATTTCGCGCTCTTCAAGTCAATCATGAGTCCACAGGACTTGGCGGTTTCCTTAATGACAGACCTCGAGAAGGATGTTCAAGAGTCTTTGAAAGAGTTTGGTTCATTTTCTGAAACCTTGGACAGCGATAGTTCGATAGCTGAAGCTGAACTGGAAGATGCAAGCATTGAAACAGAAACAACCAAAAAGACGCTTTTGGAGCAAAAGGCATTGATTGACACTCTCAATGTTATTTCTGAAGAGCAATTTTTGGTTTTGGTTTGCTCATTGGCAATCTACTATAAAGAGAAGGACCTTAAAAAGAGCTTGGAATTGTTGAAATACCTTAATTTTGCAAGCGACAAGCCTCCACTTTCGATGCTTTCTTTCACAGCAGTTTTGCGTGTGATTGATGAACTTTCAAGCAATGTTGAGGAAAATAGTGATGAAGAAAATGCAACCGTCGTATTAGATCAACTAGTGAGGGTTGCAAGATTTTGGATCAATGATCGCGCATCGACGCTTACCTTGCCTCAAGAGTTATGTGCCAATCTTTCTGACTGGGTAGTCGAGAAGGGCATAGTGTTGAATGGAATGGAGCTGCAGATAGAAGAAGAATAGATATGAAGTTAGGAAAGTGACTTATTTTAGGTAATAATAGTAATCACGGAGAAGACCGAGCAGTGAAATTGAAGGGCTAAAAAAAGGAATTTTGGCGACAAATCGAATGTTCTTCCATGCGTATATGCACAGAACTGTCACTCCAACCCCGGATCTGGAGTATGGTTGCAAGAGCAACATGGAATTACTGCTTCTTAGACATGCAAGGTGGGTTCTTTTTTTGCACCCTATGCGAGAGCGCAATTAGGTACCATGCACCCCGTGCGGCTTAGCGACGAAAAAAGATGTAGCATGCATGTCGCAAGAAATTGTCAACAGGCGAATGTAACAATAGGTGCGGCAAAAGCATGCAGCATAGCGAGAACGCGAAATTAAGTTGTTAAGGGACAAGCCCCGCTATCAATGTTTCAAATCACTATGAACGGCCCCGTGCGGCTTTTTTACCCTATTTGTAAGTTAAGTCAAATTGTTGCATGCTCCGTCTGCAACAAGTCCGGTTTGAGTGAGCATCGTAAAATCTGCGGCGCAGCGTGCATATATTGCCTGAGCGGAACTCGAAAAAATAGATGACTTTCGGCATGAATCCCGACGCAAATTTTCTTGTCCCTTTCGGTTAGCGCCGTTATATTGCGGGGAACCTTGGCATCACTTGCATAGGATCATACGACTTGTATCAACTTTTGACATTGACATGATGGAGATGTCGGTAAGGCATGGCTTATGGACAGGAATTGCAACATGGGAAAAAGCATCATGCATGGAGGCACATAACGCCGCCACTGCAGAGAATCGCGCATACGGTATGCATAACAGAGATGGGGTCGTCGGAACCTTATTTAAGAAAGTTGAATGCCATGTTTCTTGCATCAATGACTGTGTCTCGATCAAACTCGATAAATTCAGACGAAAGTATCAATGATATCTCCGACGACTCGAGGTATCATCAACTACTCAAGCCACTTTGGGAATGTGATACCGATGAAGTTAAACCCCATACCTGTTTGAGAACCTTGGTCAATTTCTCTCTCGGCCACTCGTTTCTTTTCCCCAGTGGTCAACGACGGGAAGTATGCATTGCCGACATGAGAACGTATGAACTAGAACAACAAGGATCCAAATCGTGTCCAATTGCATTGATAATAACGACAAACAATTCCACCACTTCCAATGGCCCGCAGTACGCCGGATGTCTCCGAGCTCGAGATGTGGATAAATGTCCGGTTGCAAGTATAGCCATGTACTTGTTTAGCAGGTACCACATTGCAGATGCATATGGTAATACCGAATCTGGACCGGACTTCCTGAGTGCTGAAAAATTCAGAAATATCAAGCTCATGAAAGGAAGCAATAGCTCACAAGCCATGTCATATTCCCAACAACACAAGTCTGCGGCGAAGGCAGTGGAGCTCGCAGGACTCAAGGATTCCAAGAACTTTTCGCTTCCCAAGCTTTTGACCACCAATCGAGACGAAGATCTTACTCGCAACGACCGGCCGCACCTGGTCAATTTGAACAATCTTCCACAACAAATCATATACAAACTAGCTGGATTCGAACGAGGGTGCGACTACGATATTGGACGTGATCGACTCGATCCTCCGCAAGAAGTTTTAAAGCAAATTTTCCCATTTATAGACGGAGACATTACCATTGAAGATCCACTGCTTCTCCATGTTCGGCTGCTTTTCCTATACTTACGCCATGTTCTCGTCCAAGATATGGTTCTTCTCAAGCACAGGTATCCTAATAATCCAGTTCTGCAACATCCATTCTTCAATACTCCAAGTTTCAACTTTTATGCATCCAGGGTAAACGAAACCATGGCCCTCGGCATCGACATGTATTCGAGTCCATCTCCAGAATCTTCTCCTTTTTCCCTGCCGGAACCAAGAACCCACTCTGTTTCCCCTTCAACTTTGAGCCAATACGACGCCGTAGGTCGTCGCATGGTTCGTCTTCAACAAGACCATTATCTCCGTCTCCAACGGTATATGAGGCACCAAGATTGGGCCATCAGACAACAGTCTCAGCAACTTCAAAAGATCCAAGAGGCACTCAATGGGGTCCAGATACTCCATCTGGCACGGTCTAATGGTACTTCCGGCATGGCTGAGCAATCGTTGAGAAGTATTGCAACCTCTTTGAAAGACTTATCTCGCTGCAGTTTTGACTCTTGTCAAGGTATTAAAGAGTTGAACAAAACCGTGGAGCAAAATTGCCAGAAACTCACTCAATTTGTCGAAGAAAGAAAGCTGATGGAAGTTCCAACTTTTGATAATGAAGAATTTGCAACCAAAAGAAATGCGGTTTTGCATCGTCGTTTATCGAGAAGTGCGGCTACTTTATACGAAATGTGGGACGATTTTAAATCGTTAGAAAAAGAGCTCTACGCAAATGGCATATCCACCACCGAATGGCTCAAAGTACATGGTAGCTCGGAACGGCAATTTAGGCACACCCGCATGAAAATTATCCGGTTTGTGGAACAAGAAGCCTCACGCCGGAATTTGCCGGTGGAACAAGTCAAGCATATGCTCTACGAGAAAATGAGAAACAGACAACGCCCATGGACTATAGACGAAGTACAGAGACAATTGACGGCAGGAAGGCGCATTGATCTATAATCATCATTTAGCATACAACAACTATACGACATTACGATTTTCAAGTTCATTACGTAAGTGCAGATACCTCGGTAAAACGGGATTGTTCGTGCGGCTGGGCTCGATTCGTAGTTCCTACCTCAAACAGGAATTCACCTGCACAGCACATAACCCCGATGCAAAAGATGAAGATCTTGCATGAAATCATTATGCAAGATCGGCGGGAAAAATTTCTGTGCCGAGCCGATCGGCTTAAAAACCTTAAACGTCAATCTTGTTGAATGTAAACGGTTCGTATGCATAACCTTCTCCCTCGAAAAATTTCGACATAGCTTCGACCCAATGCAATCTCAAGGAATGCAACATGGCAGAAGTGCCTTCCATCATCACCAATATACAAACCGTCAAAATAAACCATAATCCAAAGAGAAAGACGGTCATTACAACCCCTTTGGCTCCGGTGATACCAAATGCATTTTGTATCGTCATAGACCATAAAACCGACGACAATTGAGCATGGGCCAACGATAAAGCCCATAATCGAAGGTACGATGCAGTATGAGACACACAGTTTAAGCAAAACTCAATTGTGTGAATTACTTGATGAATTACAACATCACCAAAATTGAACTCATCTCCATCTCCATGAGCCGCCGTATGATGCAATGGCTCAATATCGTTGGGGAACCTGAACCCATCGTCTAACATATCGATTTCATCAGGAACATCATGATTCAAACCATCGTCAATACCACTTTCGTCAAGAGCTTGCTCTTCAACATGGCGCTGTATATCATGATTGTGCTGAGAATGCAAGTCGCTGTAGCCCAATTCAATGGCTCGGTTATTTTGTCGGCGTAATGTTAACGGCTTGTAGACCAACAACCAAGGAACACATACAAGAGCCACCAAAAGAAGCACTATCTGAACGAATTTTTGCCCCGGGTATAATTGGTCCTCGATATATCCTGGTGATAAAAACATGTTGATGAGCATGTTCAATAAGCCAGGAGGTTGTTTTTGAATTCCGAACCAATCCACACTCCACTTGTACAAAATGGTGAGAGCCAAGTAGCCAAAGATACTTTGCATGAAGAGGAAACCCGGAATGAAGTTTCCAATTATGTCAACTCTGGATTTGAAGTATCGATAGTTAACCAAACTGAACATAAGAGAATAATTCATATGAATATAACCCATCAAAATCGAGAGTTTCATTTTCAATGAGTTGGTGAATAACAAATTGTTCTCAGAACCATGCCACGCCCAATCTAATCCAAAGAAGTATGTATGGCCAGGAATCTTTTGAGCAACAAGGCTGATGGCACCATCCTTGCTAAAGTCGTAGTCTTTTGGAAACTCCCATTTCCATCCTGACTTGAATAACGTCATAGATTTGGAAAAAATATCGTTATAGATCAAACCCGTGTACATGGAAAATACCCCCATGAGAAGAATGATGTAGCGTCCATTAAATGCCATTTCGAATATTTCGTCCTTATTTCGCATGGGTCCGAATATGTTCTCGTTTTTGATCAAGTAGAGAGCCACAAGGAGTACTATAAATCCATGCCCTATGTCGCCGAACATGATAGCGAACATGAAAGGAAACGTGATGATGGTAGCAAGACCCGGGTTCACTTCTTGATAGGTGGCTATTCCATAAGCGTCTATAATCAGCTGGAAAGCTGAGGTGAACTTGTTTGTACGATGGAAAGTTGGAGGGGTTCTGTTAGTTGAGAGTTCGGTAACGACAGCAATGAGAGCATCTTCATCGTCAGACTCAAATTGAGCATCTTCAGCGTCGTGGTCGTCTTCAATTGCAAATAAAAGATCAACGGAACTAGAACGACCAGGAGAACTTGGAGTTGAAGTTGACTCATGATCCAGCAGTTCGGGCTCGTTGACAAATGCGCGAGGAGCAGACCGTTTTCTTATCAACTGCTTCAAGGTGGTTCTAACAGTATTGAGGTCCGATTTGGGAATCCATCCTTCACCCACTAAGCACCGTCTGGCGGCATCGTTATCGAAGGTGTTGAGCACCTGATATATGAGTTTTTCACGCTGGATTATAAACCACCAATTGGGGTAAGCTTCCTTGAGCACAGACAACTCGGTCATCAAGTGATTTCGTGTATTATCCACCACCGTTGACAAGTCGGTGATACTCAAGTTGAGACTGGCAAATGTGCGAGACCGGTCAACGGCACTGCCGTTAACGTTGTCGTAAACAATTCCATCCAACGACAGAATTATGCGGTTGACACGAAGTCGAAGCATGTCTCCGTGAACAAAAAGGATGAAGACGCTTTTGTCAATGAGTTCTGGGGTCTTGGGGTTGAAATTGGAAAGCTTGGTGGAGGTTATGGGTATATCGTGAAAATAAAGGTTTCCTCTTAAAGTTCTCCAGAGAATCTTGCGAAGCAAACCTATCTTTTCCGTTGCAATTGTACCCGATATAGCATCAAAGGAAATGTCTAAATCAGCCGTTTCCGGTGTGAGTTCATCGCGGTCTTCGTCATCAATCTCAAAACTTCCCAACTCCAAGCTGCGATTTCGTGCGTTAAGCAATGCTACGTCGTCACCGTCTATACTAGGACGATCCATAGAGGCACGGACTTCGGATTCGGACCAGGCATTTTTATGGAAATCTTCAAGAGCCTGTACCACATGTCTGTTCTCGACGTATTTCAAGTACCGCTGGTCTAATTCCACAAAGGACTCATCTAGATGCTTAATCCGCTCATATACTTCCAAAATCCGGCTCCTGAGACTATCGACATCGGAGGCTTTCGGAAAAGGTGCCCGGTCTGCTGTCAACTTGGCAAACGGATCTCCCGTCCAAATCTCGTGTTTCATCATTACCCCTTGAAGATATGTCAACCGGGCCTCCACCACATCGTTCTGCCGCAATTCGGCTATAAAAGTTCTTTGGAATGGTGTCAATTTTGAATTTAAGTCTCGGAAATGAACGTCTCCGAGGTTTCCTAAGGCGTACACCACATCACGAGCAAGCTCTATTGTAACGTAAAATTGAACAAGGGTCATCGGAGCAGACCGGAAAAACGCCTCCTCTTTTGCTGGCCCGTCATTGGAGCCTGAAAGCGAAATCGCCATAACGTTACAATATGCCAGGTGGACGGTCGCAACTCGAAGCCCACTTTAACCTGGCCACATGCAGGACAGGGGCTGATTCGATCCTGCAGACAACTTAGGCAATCTCCAAGTGCGATTCAATGTTGCAGTGCTGTCACTGGCTTTTGGTAATGAGGCCGCCACTTATACTCGCTTTTGCGGTATATGTAGCTTCTGTGGTTGCTGCTGTGGGAACACCAGAAAAAAGTACTTTGGAAAATGCATATATACATCTTGAACAGCTACGCAACCGACATTCGCCGCCAGTCTACACTGAAAATAACATCTATAATGGACTTAAAATTCCACAATACGATGAAAAATTGCATGATTATCAAGGAACCGTGTACCTTGGAGACAACCGAGACGTTTTTGCTCGGTACTCAAGCGCTATGGATATATTGGAAGCTGCTGCTGACAATGGAGATATCACTGCCATGTTAACGATTGCAGACTATAACATGTTTGGCTACGTTACTCGTCCAGATTATGGAAAGGCATTATCATACTACCACAAAGTGGTGGATTCAGAACCCAATGGTCATAGTTATTTCATGCTTGGCTTGGCATACTCTACTGGGCTCTTTGGCGATATCGAAAAAGATCCAGCAAGGGCTTTAATTTACTACCAGTTTGCAATGGAAAATGGCAGCGACAAGGCTACCATGGCTCTCGCTTATAAGAACCTATATGGTCTCGGTGTACCCACAAATTGTGAATTGGCACTTCATTATTACAGTAGACTAGCTCAGTTGGGACGAGAGTATATCGGGGAACACTACGACGATATAAAGGTTTCGTACAACGTCAAGATCCCAGACTTCAACGGTGGTCTCTATGGAAACAAACTAAGTGAATCGAGCTCACTGATCTTCTCTCGTTACCATCAGGTGGAGAGTTACCTGTTCCATGAAAATAATCTCGACTACGACTTTCCATCCTACGCAGACCAGTACTACGAAGCTCTCGCCCTATACGAAGGAGACTATTTCAGGCCAGCGAACCATGCTAAAGCTTTTGAAGTGTTGTCAGAATGCATGAAGATGTATCGTGACATTGGCGGCACGTTTCGATCCATGCCCGAAATGCGGTTTTTTCACCGATGCATAGCATTACAAGGCCATATGTATCTTCATGGGCAAGGCGTCGAGAAGAATGTTACCGAGGCAGCACGAATATTGAACCAACTTCGAGCAGTATCACCAGAGGCAACCGCTGATCTCGGGTATATTGTAGAAAAGGGCCTCAATGGTTCTGAACCAAATGCTACCAAAGCAATGGAAATCTATGCGCAAGCCGCCAAGATTAAGTCACATAAAGGACGAACGGCACTTGCTCGTCTTTTATTGCAGCAAGGTGGCTTCAACCCAGTGTCAAACCCAGACCTCCCACAGATACTTAAAAGCTTCGAAGATGCTGCTGGAATGCTGAATACCGAGGCATTGTACTACGTCGGTGAGCTTCTCCGAGCAAATGTTGGAGCATATATGACACCCAGTGCGCCGTATCAGTGTGAAACAACCATCATTTACTACAAGGTATTTACAGAACGGCTCGAACCATTATTTGTACCCGAGCTTGAATGGGCTTTTCGAGAGCTCTGCGCTGGAAGATACAAAAATGCCCTTCTAGCCTATCTGATTGGAGCCGAGCTCGGGCTAGTTAACTCGCAAGTTTCCGCAGCATACCTTCTCTACCAACTTCAACCACTTCTGGCACAATTCAACTTTCTTCCAACTGTCAAAGTTACTCATTCCGATAATAGAGTAAAGTCTGCAATTTCCTACCTCGAGCAAGCTTCGATACAGAGCAACATTGATGCCACAATTTTGTTGGGAGACATTTATTTCTATGGTATTGAAGGAACACAATTGTCGCCCAACTATGATATGGCATACACTTTCTACCACCGAGCTGCCAACCAACACTCTTCACACGGCTGCTACAGTCTTGCATACATGTATGAATATGGATTGGGACCGATCAACAATACAGTGGACTACTTCATGGCCAAGAGGTTTTATGATCTCAGCTTGTTATACCAAGGAGACGACTACGTGCAAATCCATGCATCGAAAAACAAGGTTCCTATTAATTTGGCGCTTCTCCGTCTTCGACTCAAGTACATGTTTTCCTCTCACAAGAACAAAGACAGTTCTGCTGACGAAAACTATGGATGGTTCAGTGCATTTAGATCTATCAGCAAAAAGAAGGAGAGCTCTCCTGCTAGGTTTGATCAGGCAAACGAAAGAGCAAGAGCACACCACGAAGGATCCAATTATGACACTGAAGAAGATTACGATACTGGAGATTATCTTGTCATAGCCATCACCTTGATGTTCTTTCTGGTATTTTTCATCCAGAGCCTCATGCAAATGAGACGGTTACGAAACCCCAACAACAATAATAACCAACCTAATAATCGAGACGATGCCGAGAATGACGAACAACCACCGAATGGCTGGATGGGTAATCAGTTCAACTTTCGACGCGGGAACTTTGAGTTTCATTTCTTTGCCATATAACTTTGGAGTGTTTAGTATGTACATTAACTCGAGTGAAATATATCTCTCGCTATTGGGTGGTTTTTCATCAACACCTCCTTATTGACGACTACACGAGGTTTTTGTGGAGTTTCCGGAATCTCTCTGGTTCGATAGACGGACAATGCATTGGGGGATAAAGTACGCATCCAGTTTTTTTGCTCGATAAGCGATAAAACACGATTGAGTATTCCAATGCTTTTCATTATTGCAGCCGACCCCAAGATGATCAATTTTGTTTTGGACCTAGTTATGGCCACATTGATTCGTCTCCATTCTTTGAGTAGATCTCCAACCTTTAGTTCTTTGTTTGAACGTACTAAAGAAATAACCACACACTCTTTATCTCTTCCCTGGAACTGGTCTGCTGTAAGACACTCTACGGATTTCTTATCCGAAAGACCTTTCATAAGTAATCTCAATTGGGATCTGTAAAGAGCCATGACACCGATACTTGATTCTGGAACTCCACACGTAGTCAACGCATCGACAATCTGGAAGACTAATTCTGCTTCTGTCAAGTTTTCAATTTTGTCTCCAATGCAAGTTTCGTATCCGGGAATCATGTCGTGATTTAAGAAAATAACTTTTCTTTCTGGATCCAAAATCTCGTCCATCCATCTCTCATTCTTGGATGTGTTTCTCGATAGTAAAAGTTGATCCACAGCATTAGGGTGAGGGATAACTAAGGAGTTTCGTGCAACCTTTTCAGAACCGCATTTCAACCTATTTTCGTAAACCAAAATGTTGGAAAGCAGCATTATGTCTTCACACATTCGAAATTGGTACGTTAACTCAGAAACACTTTGTGGGAATGCATCTCCCAAAGTTTTGAAAAGCGAGGTGGAAAGAAGTTCTCGTACGTCCGCATCTCCATGTTGTACTAAAGGTGGTAGCTGGTGGTGATCTCCAACTAGAACAAATCTTTTGCAAAAACGAAGCGGACCAAGACTAACAGGCATTGTGACTTGTGAAGCTTCATCCAAAATACAATAGTCAAAAGTCCTTCCAAGCGAAAATGCAATATCGTCGATCCCGAGACAAGTAGCTGCGACCACTTGAGGCTCGAGATATGCTCTATGAAAATCGTCATAAGTTTTGATGTCAGCAGGTAAAAATGTCTGTATATCTCGATGAACTTTGGAAGAAGATCCAATACGGAGGATTTTCAAACCACTATCTTTCAACTTTAGGAGAATGTTATCAACAGCAGAATGAGTATACGACGTCAATAGCACCGATTTGCCATTTTCCACCAAGCTTTTGATCAATTCAGATATAACTGTGGTCTTGCCAGTCCCGGGCATTCCTAGAATAAGTGAAAAATCTTTTGCCAGAATCACCTTTTTAATGGCCGCAACCTGGTCCACATTGAGATATTTGGGGGCCTCAAACTTCAATTCCCCGTTGGTGAATCTGGGAGGTTTTCTGTCAACCAAAATCTCTCGTCTTCTTGAATCACCATCAACTAGAAACAAGTTCAAAATATTGAATCTCGCAAGTCCCATACCGTAGAACATCTCATCCTTATCTATACGATAATGGACCAGCTGATTATTTGCATACGAGCGAGAGACCAGTGGACTTAGTTTTCTCATGGCTGACACAACAATCAAATCTTTTCTCATTTTTACAATGTAACCTTGAGATAAAGCATAGTGACCGTTTTCAGAACTGATGGTGACCCTGTCATTTTTACTCAATTGGCTGAGCTGAAATGATCTTGAACTTAACAGTGAGGTTTCAGCTCGCTTGAAGGTATAATCAAACCACTCTGAGCCTTCGTTGATCCTACAGTCAGTAACCTTCAAGTCCGAGATGCACTTGCCATTTTTCTGTTCCCGATCAGTTGAGTTCATGAGCCATAGCTCACGCTTGAGACGAGACATTGAGCTCTCTTCTTTGGTAATGACAGAATCCCAGACATTATAAAAATGTTTATGTTTTTCTGACAAATGATCCACCAAAAAGTTGTAGTTATCAATGCCTATCCCGCTATCTTCACCTGTTCCATCTTCAGCAAGGAAATTGATGGTCATACAAGCTTGCTGTATTTCACATCTATCGCACAATGACAGCTGTAGTAGATTTGGAAGTTTTCTAGTATTCAACTTGAAGTACTCTGTGAGCTGGTTTCGTAAATTCACCAATGATTTGAGATCGTTCCTGCCAATCTCTTCTTTCTTGGTGATTTTTTCCTTGGTATAAACCAAGAGAAATGCAGTGAGATAAATTTCGTATCGATCTTTAAATAGTAATGTGTATAATGCAGATTGAGCATGATGACTGATATGTTCTCTTCCAGTTTTAATCTCCAACGGCATAAGCATCGTCAGGTTCTGATTTCCATCCCTCATTTTGGCCTCAATAGTAACGTCAATTTTACCATTGATACCAAACATTGGCGACCAAATGGTCTCTTCTATCTCCAAAGCTTTTGAAACTGCAAACATCACCGTCTTTCTTCTTTCGGCTTTGCGTGGCGCAGTCGTTGGGTTTGTAGCAGATTGGATCGAATTAGCCAGAGATGGAACTTTTTTGTAGTAGGTATCAAACCACTCACGTAGGTATGGTAATTGTTCCTGAATAGTGTGCTTTACGTTGTTCATCATCTCTTCTCCCAATGAAAAGATCTCGATTCGACGTTGATCTATCGAGTAGTTCGAGAGGTCAGACATAAACTCAACAGTCCAGTTTTCCTCTCGAATACAACTCTGAAAAATTTCATGCAAAATTGTGCCGGTAATAAGATGAATCGAGGAGACACCTGGAAAATTTAAGCGAGACAAAAGAACAGATTTCCGAGCACAAGTCAATTGCAGAGACACAGATGTGGGGGAAACAAGTGTATCAGGATTCCAGATGAGCAAGTTATGATCATCATCGACCAATCGAGGATTTCCATTATCGGTAGAAATGATGTGGACGATGTCTCCTAATTCAAAATTGAGTAGGGAAGCTTCGCCCCGAATGAGTAGTTTTGAAGTAGTTCCACTAGAGTCCAAGACTGTCATCACCAACTGGTTCAAAGTTCTATCACGCAATTTGTATTGTGACTTGAGAATATCCGCAATCTTGTAGCGAGCCAATCCTTTTCTTGGATAAGCAAGGGCTATATCATTGGAACTGGTGTTGGAAGGTGGAGATTTTGAATCTTTCCGGGAGATTTGGGCAGGTACATCAGGCAGGCGTTTTTGAGTATTTTCTTCCAAATCGTTGAATACTTCATCATCGGAAGAAAATGGATCAGATTCGGTTTCCGGTGTGGTTTTTCGGGCCTCCACCTTGATTGGATCACTAGTGACCAACTCAGAGTCACTGAAGTCGTCACTAAAGTCGATGGCGTCTATGGCAGCAGAGACAGGAATGGGTTCAACTGAACTAGAATCAGCGGTCTGGCAAAGCATCAGCTTGTTGAAGTCAAAACTGCTCTCGCCATCAAAGTCCTTGAAATTACTGTCGAAGCGGTCAATCCAGCTTTTGAGAGTAGAGCCGGTAGGCTGAGATGCTGTTTTTGGTTCCGAGTTGAACGACTTTGTTAAAGACTTGGTCATTGACTTGGAAGTTACAAGACTCGGTTTGAATGCCAATCGTTCGACCCCGCTGGAACGAGATCTCTGGAGTACCGGGGAGATATTCAAGTCGTTTTCACGAGACGTTGGCGCGGAAAGATCCGACTTGGTTTTATGCAAATTTGGAGTTGAAGATGGCTGCGAAGAAATGTTGACAAAGTCTGTTCCATACTTGTTGAGCACAGAATTGGCCTGTTCGTCGGTTATCGTAGCAGAATGCTTAGCACTGACTTGTCTCGAGTCCACATTCAAGTCTTTTGCCATTTCACGTAGAGGAGAAGATGGCATGGTTGTGGAAATGGCATTTCTGAACTGAGGTTTTCGTGGAGTTGTTCGCCATTTTATACCGTCAAAACTGTCATCAGAGCTTTGGACCATCACGTCCACGCGAGGGGAGACAGGATCACGCGGAATCGTAGTAGGGGCCAATTTTGTGGAAATTTCAATCTGATCAGGTTCGCTCTTTTGGTGATTTAAACTACCTTCCGGTTGCTCCCGAGCGCCCAGATTTTCACCACCGACCAAGGAGTTTGTCGGCTGAAAGAAATACGTCCTTTTATGTTTTTTCGTTCGCCGTGGGCTGGCCGGCAGCCGTCTGTCACTGGGATGCATTAACGCGCTTCCTGGAAATCTGGTGAGATGCATCGATGTAAACCCCAGAATTCACATCCTTGCACCGGCTTTAGAGGACAAATTCGCAGCTCATCGGAAATTTTTTTCACACCATGGCCTACGTCTTAACCGAAACTGCGGCGGGTTACGCCCTTCTCAAGGCCGCCGACAAAAAGATATACAAGTCCACCACCTTGTTGGAAGACTTGGATACCGCTGAGAAAGTTGCCGAACAGTTTAAAGTCCACAGATTTGAAAAGTTCCTGTCAGCCGCCGGTGCGTTGGAAGAAGCCAATGCTGTCATCGAAGGCCGTGTTTCGGAAACATTGAAGAAATTCTTAAGCGAGGTCAAACAGGACAAGAAGGCCACGTTGGTTGTTCTGGAGACAAAATTGGGTAATGCCATCAACAAATTGGGATTGAATTTCTCGGTTGTATCTGATGCTGCTTCGTTGGATTTGCACCGTTCGATCAGAGAGTTCTTGCCAGAACTTCTCCCAGGATTGGACGATAATGCTTTGAAGCAGATGTCGTTGGGTTTGGCTCATTCCATTGGTCGTCACAAATTGAAATTCAGTGCCGATAAGGTAGACACCATGATTGTTCAAGCCATTGCCTTGTTGGATGACTTGGATAAGGAGTTAAATACCTATGCTATGAGATGTAAGGAGTGGTACGGGTGGCATTTCCCCGAATTGGCCAAGATGATCACCGACTCGGTGGCCTACGCCAGAATCATTCTCACCATGGGTATTAGGTCCAATGCTTCCGAAACCGACTTATCGGAAATATTGCCAGAGGAAATGGAAGAAAAAGTGAAAACCGCCGCCGAGGTGTCCATGGGAACAGAAATTACTCCCATTGATCTCGAAAACATCAAAGCGTTGGCCGAACAAATTGTGGATTTTGCTGCCTACAGAGAACAATTGTCCAACTACTTGTCGGCTCGTATGAAGGCTATTGCTCCCAACTTGACAGCCTTGGTCGGCGAGTTGATTGGTGCTCGTCTTATTGCCCACGCTGGTTCGTTGACTTCGCTTTCCAAAGCTCCTGCTTCCACCATCCAGATTCTCGGTGCAGAAAAGGCGCTTTTCAGAGCCTTGAAAACCAAGCACGATACTCCCAAGTATGGTTTGCTCTACCATGCCTCGCTCGTGGGACAGGCTACTGGCAAAAATAAGGGAAAAATTGCCAGAGTTTTAGCTGCAAAAGCTGCCGTTGCTTTGCGTTACGATTCGCTCTCAGAAGAGAGAGACGATTCTGGAGACTTTGGATTTTCCGTTAGAGCCAAGGTGGAATCTCGTTTAAGTGCCTTGGAGGGCCGCGATATGCGTACCACTTCAAAAGTTGTCAGAGAACAGCAGAAGATAGAAATCAAGGAAGCTCCACAATACAACGCCGATGCTGATGCTGGTGGAGATTCTGACGACGAAGAAGAGGAAGAAGAACCAGAAAAGAAGGAAAAGAAAGAGAAGAAGGACAAGAAAGAAAAGAAAGAGAAGAAGGAGAAGAAAGAAAAGAAAGAGAAGAAAGACAAGAAGAGAAAGAGAGATGAAGACGACGAGGATGACAAGAAGAAATCCAAAAAGGACAAAAAGTCCAAGAAGGAAAAGAAGGAGAAGAAGTAGGTTTCCTTCCCCATCCGCATGTTATCTTCTATTCGCATATTACCTCATTGTAGACTACTTGTTTAATACACGATTTATTTTAGCTGTGGCATCGATTGCAACTGTTCGCACGTACAGGATTTTTCACCCATGTGCTCTCTTTGACCATGTCAGCTCCATGCCATTGCCTGGCCCCAAAGGCCAACATACCTGCTCTTGACGACAAATATCTCTCAGATGATCCCGCCCATCCAGCAAATTTGATTTGTGAGCTTTGTCGTTTGTTTTACGACAATAATTGGGTGACGGGAACAGGCGGTGGAATCTCCATTCGTGATGTCAAAGGTGAAAACCCAAATCTTGTATACATTGCACCTTCAGGGATCCAAAAGGAACGGTTACAGCCCTGGGAAATGTTTGTCGTGGACTTGAATGGAGAAAAACTCTTGCGGACTCCAAACGAATGTCCACAAGAACTCACAAAACTGTACAAGTATAAGCCAAGTGCTTGTACCCCTTTATTCATGAGCTGCTACACTATGCGTGAAGCCGGTGCATGTATCCATACCCATTCACAAAGTGCCGTGATGTGTACCTTATTGTGGGGTGATAAAGTTGAATTTGAAATTTCTCATATTGAACAAATCAAGGCATTGCCCCAACTCAAGCTTAACGAGTCCACCAGCAAGATTGAAAAAGTGGGAAGTATGCAATATTATGACAAGTTGGTGATCCCCATCATAGAAAATACTCCTCATGAGGAAGATTTGACAGACAGTCTTCAAGAAGCCATTAGAAACTACCCTGGAACAACCGCCGTATTGGTACGCAGACACGGTATATATGTGTGGGGTGAAGATGTATGGAAAGCAAAGGTCTATAATGAGGCACTCGACTATTTGTTGGAGCTTGCAGTGAAGATGAAAACTGCCGGTATGGACACTGTCAGAAAGTAGGCCAATGTATAGTGCAATAAACTCTGTCTTCAATGCCTGTTAAGTAACCGTTCTTGTTCTTCTAATGCAATTTTGGGTAGCTTCCCCTTTAACAGTTCACTTGATAAATTCTTATAATGGGTTTTTTGTTCCTTTTAGCGTACCTTTCATTTTTGTAAAATCAACATCACCACTGGTCTCTCCTATACATACCACGTTTCCACCTCTCATAAAGTAAACGCCCAACGGTATAGCTTGGTTCTCCTCATCTTCCTCTTCGTATATTATATGTTCATAACATGACGAGAGGATGATATTTGTGGAATTATCAAACCCTTCAAGAATCCCTTCAAACAATCGAGCATCAGTGGTGATTACTCTCACAGATTCTGCGTTAGTATGGCAATTGAAGTAGCCTAGATGCATTACTTACTGTTAAGAAACTCTTTTAGGCTGGACATTGTGAGTTCACGAAGACAATTTCGCACGAGATGAGAATCAAACGGAGCCACGCGTTATGCCCAGATGCACCATACCACAACCGAATTAGGAAAGGAAGGATATAGCACTTGGGCCCCAACTTCAGAAAGAACTTATATCAGTCCTTTTTATTCACTAGTTGTCTCTTGTCTGAATCACTCAAATTCATCTTGAGCAGTATATTTACTTGAATTCTATCATGAGCAATTTGCATTTATAAAGTACACACCAGTAGCCCTTGAGCAACCTTATGGCAAACACTCGCAGAAATCGAAAAATTCAATTAGATTAAGCGTTCTCGATTTCGTGGCATCGGCATCTTTTATAGCTCCGACTTTTGCAACCATGGCTGCAAACGCGGTCTATAAAAGGGTGCCCCCTCCCCTCAAAAATTCTAACCCATGAGTACCGGTGCACCAGATGGAAATGAATCGATTGATTTTGCTGCTGCTGAATCCACACTAGTTGATGAAAACACTTCGGGGTCTCCTACTCAACGTTGTACATCCCTTCCACATTCACAACTATTTGGTTCTAATCAATCGTCTGAAAGCCGTTGCAAGGATTTTTGGGCTCATATCGGGTACAAAACTGAGCCGCCAGGAACGTTGCTTAAATGGGCTGCTCAGCTAGAATTGGAATCTGGTTCGTTACATGAAATGATTGCGACATTGACCAAGTCAGTGGCGACTAATCAGGATGCTGTCGGCAGATGTGACCAGACCATGCGCAAGTTGGCCCTTATGGTAGAGACGGAGTTTCAGCGTATTTCTAGCCTTGTTGAGGAAACGAGAAGATTGGTGGAATTGAAACTGTCGCCGTCAACTGCCAATGAGTCGCAAAAATTGGCGGATTGTGTTGCACATAGGTTATTGGAAGATCAAGTGTTTGGCGATGATGAAAAGTCCATCAAATTCGATCGGCTAGAAAGAGGTATTGTTCATCAAAGTCGGGGCATCAACGATATCAAGCGCCAGCTCGATCTGATTCATCGCCGATTGACGCAATTGGAGTCGAACGGTGCTGCTACTGATGAGGAGGAAATGTTTGTCGAGCCATCTCCTATAAATAGAAGGCGTACAATAGCCTCCACCGAGATTCAGCAGGAGAGTTTGAGCAAGCTTAGTCGTTCAAGAAAGATGTCTCTCTACTAGGGTGGATTGAATGTACGGCATACAATAACCGTTTTCCATCACGGGGTTGCTGCATGCGGCGTTTTCGAAGCCTTCGCGCTCACTTTCCATTTACGCCTTTCGGTGCATATGTAAAAGTAAATCTCGGATGGCATTCTACATGCAGAATGACTCATCTGTTCAAATTGCCTTACTGCGATCCAGAAACGCCCCATGAAATACTTGCTGCTGAGATGACGAAAATCATTAATTCAACTTAGATTTTCCAAAACATATTACCAGATGAGGGCCGAAAAGAAAGAGGAGCCTTCGGTAGCCAGAGAAAATGAACTAAGTGCATCATCATCTATTGAAAAACTGGGACTATGGACTTCTTTCAAAGACTCCTTCAAACCAGCCATCAAAACCGAAACCTTAACACATGAGATTGCAGTGGATGAAGAAGAACTAACGGATGTACAGAGAGCGGCCTTGAAGGCTAGCAACTCTCAGTTGTCTCGTAGTTTGAAGTCTCGCCATTTACAGATGATTGCAATAGGTTCCTCTATAGGTACAGGACTATTTGTGGGATCCGGATCAGCATTGAGAACTGGTGGAAGTGCCGGGTTGATCATTGCCTGGACGTTAATCCTGACAGGAGTTTATGCCACAATCCAGGGCCTTGGAGAATTATCAGTTACTCTTCCAGTCAGTGGTGGATTCAATCTTTACGCTACCAGATTCATAGAACCTGCTGTTGGTTTTGCAGTGGGATGGAACTATTTCATGCAGTTTTTTGTGCTCGTTCCTCTTGAGCTAGTGGCTGCATCATTAACTATCAAATACTGGAACTCCACTCTCAACCCCGATATATTTGTGGCAATATTCTTCGTGGCTGTGGTATTTGTAACTCTCTTAGGTGTGAAGGGCTATGGTGAGGCCGAGTTTATATTTTCCATGGTAAAGGTCATTGCTATTATAGGTTTCATCATTCTAGGAATAGTCTTGATTTGCGGTGGAGGACCATCTCATGAGTTTATTGGAGGAAAAAATTGGAGGGAACCGGGCCCATTTGCAAATGGCTTCAAAGGAGTATGTTCCGTCTTTGTCACCGCTGCCTTTTCATTCGGTGGTACCGAAATGGTTGGATTAACGGCTGCAGAAACTCCAAACCCAAGAAAAACTTTACCAAAGGCTATTAAGCAAGTTTTTTGGAGAATATGTTTGTTCTATCTTGTGTCCTTAACCATTGTTGCATGTTTGGTATCTTACGACGATGACAGATTGCTCGGAGATTCTTCAGTAGATGCCACGGCTTCTCCATTTGTCATTGCAGTAGTAAACGGTGGAATCAAGGGATTGCCCAGTGTTATCAATGTGGTGATTTTGATTGCAGTTATTTCAGTGGGTAACTCTTCAGTTTATGCTACTTCGAGATCCCTCAATTCGCTCGCAGAGCAAGGAATGGCTCCCAAATGGACAGGCTACATTGACAGAGCCGGACGGCCTCTCGTAGCAATTGCCATCACCGATACATTTGCATTATTCGCTTTCATCGCTGCATCTGACAAACAAGAAGAAGCCTTCAACTGGCTCTTAGCTCTCTCTGGTATCAGTTCGATTGCAACTTGGATTTCCATCAACGTTTGTCACATACGGTTCAGAAATGCTCTCAGTTACCAAGGAAGAAGCACCGATGAATTGCCATATGTTTCACAGGCCGGAAGGTGGGGTTCCTACTACGGGTTGACTCTAAATGTGTTGGTTTTGGTTGCTCAGTTCTGGATAGCATTATTTCCATTGGGAGGGAAGCCAAGCGCATACGACTTCTTCTTGTCTTACTTGGGACTTCCAGTCATTTTGGTGTCTTGGTTATTCTACAAAGTTTGGAAGAGACAATGGCGGTTGTACATTCCAATTGAGGAATTAGATATCGACACCGGTCGTGTTCACATTGATGCCGATTTGATAAGACAAGAAAAGGAGGAAGAACGAGAACAGCTATCAAAGAGAGCATTCTATTACCGGATATATAAATTCTGGTGCTAATCTAATATTCATCGCATTGTATCAAGTTACGTTCGCTGTCTATCTCGATTCGAAGATTGTTTCCCGGTTCCAAGCAACCTATAGCACAAACTTTATCGTAATAAATTTCGTACATCGGCATGTACCGATCCACAAATTTGAGTACGGCGCTATCGGACATGCCAGTCCCTCCATTCTTGATCAAAGCATGTTCCTGCTGAAGTCTCCAGTTGTAAACGTTTTTTATAGAGTCTGTAGCGAGCAAGACAAAGTAGTCAAAAAACGACCATATTTTTTCATATTCCTTGAGCTTGACATTCAAGTCAGAAAAGTTGTGGAATGGGTGTTTAGGAAGCAAACTGGAGGAGTAATTTGCAGTCATATACTTGAGTAAAAGTTGGTGTTCGTCCAATGAACAAAAACCATTGAACCAACCTTCAAATATGATTATATCTACCGGTTTCCGAATTACCGTCCATTGATCTTCAGGAAACTGGTCTCCTTCACCATTGAAGGCCGCCTTGTTATACCGTGGAACTTTGAGCTCTGGGAATGGTTTTTTATAGTTGGTAAAAAGATGTTCAAAAATGTTCACTGCCAAGTCAATGTCGTGAGTTCCTGGCAAGCCTCGACCTTGCAACATGCGATTTTCATGCAATGGAATGCTATTAGCTTTGGTTAACTCTAGCTGCTTTGAATGGCTCAAGTATAAATCATCCATCAGAAATTGAAGAATGGTAAGTTTCGGATATTTGGTACAAAGTTCCGAGTATACGTATTCTGCCATGTATGATTTACCGGACCCTTGCGGGCCACTTATTCCACAGACGAATGGTTTAGTAGCAAAGTCATAGGCATCAATTCTTTTTGAGAGGTACAGAACAGTAGTTGCAACCGACATTCGGAGTTTGTGGGGTAGTGAAAAATTGCGCGAAGATAAGTCTATTTCGAAGAAAGTTAAGTCCTATTTATACATAGCACTGAGCCTCCAAATTGCCGTTTGTAGCATTTCATATGTCAGTTGTCAATTGTAGCTTTACACAGATGTTATTTGCTTTCTCTTATATTCTTCCTCTTTGTCTATCTACAAAGCCTTTATCTCCTTCAACTTCGAAATCAACTCGTCCACACTTTCCACTCTCACACCAGCTTGACGCGCTGGTGGCTCCTCTACCTTCAAAGTCTCCACCCGCTTCGTGAGATCTACGTCAAAGTCAGATGCTTTCAACTTTTCCAATGGCTTCTTCTTGGCCTTCATTATATTGGGCAATGACGCATACCGTGGTTCATTCAAACGCAAATCGGTGGTTATAACCATAGGAAGCTTCGCACGAAGGGTTCCAGAACCTCCATCAATCTCACGGGTAACAGTAACAGAATCTCCTTCGACTTGAACCTTGGAAGCATTTGTGGCCTGAGGCCAATCCAAAAGCCCAGATAATATTTGACCGGTTTGGTTGGCATCATCGTCAATGGCCTGCTTACCCAAAATCACAAGGTTAGAGTTCTGCTTTTCTACCATTTTCTTGAGAATCTTGGCTACTGCAAGTGGCTCGACTTCATCGTCCCCGACGTCAACCAAAGTAGTGGAGTCTGCTCCCTTGGCCAATGCTGTACGCAACACATCCTGTGCCTTGGTAGGGCCTATAGACACCGCATGGATGTGATCAACAAGGTCTTTGTTATTTTCACGAAGTCTTAAAGATTCTTCCAATGCAATATCACAAAATGGATTCATGCTGAATTTGACACCCTTGGTCTCTACACCGGTGCCAGCCTTGTTTATACGCGGCTTGATGGCGAAGTCAATCACCCTCTTGATGGGAACTAGAATCCGAAGCTTAGAAGACATTGGCACAACTCGACTTGGTATTGCGACCGAAACCGGCGTTGACTCAACGGCGATATACAGGACGACTGTATACAACCCGTCTTCGATGCCATTTGCAGCCGTTTTACGATATACCACGACGAGTGGCTTTCATCTTTTCGATACGAGCTTTCAATTGGGAAGTGATTTCCGCCGCATGGCTCCAACTATCATCGTTTGTGCTGAAGTCCAATTCTCTGGGTGGAGGAATATTGGTGGTATCGGTGACTTTTTGCGGGCTGCGAAATCGCTGTGGAGATGGAACTGGTGGTGTATCGTTTTCACCGTCGATAGAAAGGCGGTGAACACGAGTACTCAACTCACCGCTGGTGAGTCTGGTGTTGAGTGGATACGGCGATACTGGCGAGTGAGAAAAATGCAGCTGTGTCGAAGTCTGTTGCAATCTCATCATTTCTACCGTTTGATCGAGATCTCTGATTTTGAGTTTGGCTGTCTCGAGATCGCTATTTAAACGAATTATTTGCGAGTCTTTTTGCTTGAGTAGAAGTGCCGCATTCTCGGAGTCTCTGGTAGCGCTTTGCTTTTGCTGGCGAAGAATTTCTAGTTGTTGAGAGAGTTGATCTTTTTCCAAAGAAAGACGTTCTTGCGAATGAACAAGCAGCACTTTTTCCTTTGCCCACAGCTCTTTCTCTTTGCGTAGTTTTTCGAGTTCTTCTCGATCCTTTTGAGAGAAAGAAGCTTCACGAGAGAGTTCTGGCACCACCGAGTCCAACTTAGGAATAGAGGCAGAAGGAAGTGGCCGCGAAGCAAATCCTCTGCCGTAAAGATTAGGCTTTTCTTCACGTTTAGCTGGCGAAGTTGCTCCTCTCTTTGAAGGTATAGACAGACGAGGACCTCCAGGAAGTGCAAGCTTGCGAGTGCTATCAGAACTGGTAATATCTCTAGTGTTCAACAGAGACCGTTGTGGCTGATTTGGAGGTGGTTGATTCTTGGTGGGTACGGCTGTAGGTTTGAGATTCACTTGCACAGTTTCGTAGACCTTCATCACCTTTGCCTTTCTGTTATCATCCACCTTTTCCAAGTATGGCTTTAGTGGGCGCTGGCCAGTCAATTTCATCAATGTACCAACCATTTGAGTAGCCGATTGACGTACTGGCTCTTGCGAATCAGCGAGTAACTTTTGTCCCACGCTCATGATGGTTGAGACTTCCGATTCTTGAACGGGCTCTTTTGTCGATAATAAGCAACGACAAAGATAATTTGTCGAAGAAATTTTCACAAGTGGAACTTTACTGTTCATTCCAGAAATACAGGCACTCAAGACATCTGATAAGGAAGAAAATTGAATAATGGTGTCTAGAGCAGTATTCAATGCTTCTGAGACACTGGCCTTACGTTCCTTGGTACGCTCAACTAGCTGATCAAGGACCATCAGTCTGTACTTCAGAAAGCCCTCACGGAGACCTTTTGCCAAATATTCCACACAGTTCGCTGCAAGCTGCACCACAATGATGTTTGAATCCTTTAGACATTTGGACAATACACGGACAAAATCAGTGTAGTCGTCCGAGGGTTCCAATCTGGCTGTTTTTTCAAGTATGGTGTGCACTTCATCCAAGATTTCTTTGCGTTCTTTCCACTGAGAAGACTGGATCTGTTGATAAAAGTTGGAAGGAAACTTGGAAAGTACTTCCACAGGCGGGATGACATCGAATGCATCAAAAGCGTCATCCATGTTTATATCATCGTTACCTTTGTCATCTTCTTGATGTGGTTCATTCGCCGTATTGGCATTAGTTTCCTCTTTTTGTTGCTGTTCCAATTGCTGTTTTCTAGTCAATCTTTTCTGCGTGGTGGTTCTTTCAGCATTATCAAACGCTTTTGTCAAGTCTTTCTGTTGCACTGGTTTGAGATCTGAAAATATCATAGTAGAAACAGCATCGCCAAGCCATTGGTACAAGACAACACACAACTTTGTAGCTTCAGCTCTAACATTGCGGTCAGCATGGGCAAATAATTTGGGTATAAACGGCACAATTGGTTTAGGCAGTACTACTACACATCCAAAGGAATCCACGATACTAGTAACGGCATTTACACTAGCAGCAACTAGTTTTGGGAGTTTAGCCGACGTAAAAGCGAGGACATCCTCTACCACATCATCTATATCAGAGCTTTTCCCTGCCAACTCCACCATAAAAATTAAGCAATCAATTGTCTTTGCTTTGGTGCCTGCTCTAGAAGATGAAAGACCCTTTTCTCCCAACGCAGAAACAACCCCAGCACTCCTAAGCCTTGGTATAGTTTGCGATGAGGCACCGTGCTGGAGATATGTGGAAAAACAGCCGATAGCAGCCTCCTGGGCCACCACATTGGCGTCTGTGATGATTGTTTTGATCAAATCAAAATTGGAAAAAATATCAAAGGAAGAAGAGTCCTGGGCAAATTGAGTGGCCAACTCGTCATACGCTTGGAGACGAACCTTCCACACGCTATGGACTAGCCTTTCCTCCAAGGGAAGGTGGGAGTATTCTTCCATGTTTGTAAACAGTCGCGGTGCGAAGAAATAGTGAGAGAGAGTAAATAGTGAGAGAGTGAGAAGATAATGAGAAAGAGAGTAGAAAAAAATTAGAAACATGAAGAGAGCAGAAAAGAGAGTTAGAAAAAAATTGGAAAAGAGAATTAGAAAGATATGAAGAAAAGGTTTCCCAGTACTAGCCTGTGTTGTGTATTACGAATCCTCGTCGTCATCTATGCTCATTGCTACTCGATATTGTTAGCGTACTTGGCCTTGATCTCGTCAAATGGCTTCAATTGAAACCCCCAGTCTTCCTCTCCGTCTCTCACTTCATAGTATTTTTGAATGTTGACACCATGGTATGGGTGGTGAGCCAAATTGAACCATGGGAAAATGGCCATGGTGGTGAATGAAAACTGCGAGTTTCGGTTGGCAATATCCTTGAGTCTGTCATCAAGAACGGATTTGTTTTCATGGTAGGGCAATTTCTCCTGCGACAACAACTTTTTGATCTCATAACGGTCTCTTTTAACTTCGGCACTGTTCTCACTCCATCCTAAGAATCGTTTACTGGATCTCACATATGCCAAGTAAAATCCACCTATACATCCCAAGAGTCCGGCGGCTCTCAAGGCACCTCCTGGCACTTTTCCTGGCACTTTGAACGCACCTGCAGCAGGCTCCAATTTTTCCCAAGCTTGCAAAGCCAATGGAAACCCGACAGTTGTAGCAGCCCATAAACCGTAATCCGAGGTTCTGAAGTACGAGACCACTCTCAGGAAATGTGGATCGATGTCAATCAACTCATAGTCGGAATGGGGAGGATTTGCTCTCACCGGAGCGTTGTTTTGATGGTACGACATGGAGCTTGTAGTTGATAATTTGTAAAATTTGATTGGCGCGGAGTCAGCGTGGTGTACGGATGTAAATGGACTGAAAGCAGAATTGAGCTAATGGACAATGAAGTCAACGAAGTCAATTGAGTCAATTAAGTCAAATGTAGTCAATAGAATAGTATTGAAGTCGAGGTAGCATTGAGGAAGGGAATCAAAAGTTTGATTGTTAATTTTAAAAACGAGGACTCATTGAAACTAGATTTCATTTTTCACTTTTTACTGCTTTTCATTTCACTCCTAACTGTTATAAAAGCATAGCCCCAATAAAGTCACCACTCACTACTATTTCTCCGTTATTCTCCCTCTCCTGTTTCCCGCCTTTTCTTATCCACTGGTTATCAACACATCCGTGCACCAGGTATACCGTCCTTATGTCTATTCAATTACCGGAAGCTGATACCGAGGCCAATGTCCCCCCGGTGTCGCCACAGCCATCCATATTTACAAGGGTGATCAACAGTGTTCGGATATATGGAATTCCTGCTTTGAACTTTATTATAATCACAATTCTAGCTACATTTCTTCTCAAATTGACATTCAAATATTCGGAATTATATGTGAAAAATTCCCTTATCACGATAATTGTCACAAATTTGGTGCTTTACGGCATCTCGGAAACATTGGCTCAGTCTCTTTTGAGCTATAATAGATCGGCGGCTCCATTAAGTTTCCTGGCAAGTGAATCATGGATGTACACCGTCAACTCCAATGGGGGGTATTTGTACCGTTCTAACCAACCAGCTAATGATGAGCCGGAATTGAACGACGAGGATCATCTAGAGCGGTTTATGGACTATATTCAAGGATATAGCGACGAATTGACTCCAAATCCTCAAATCGATGTCAATCAGCTTCCTAATAATTCCTACTTTGAATTTGGTAGACTTGCTGGTTTTATGTGCTGGGGCTTTATAATGGCATTTGCTCAATGCCTATGGTACAAATTCTTACAGATCTACGCCACGGATCCCAAATTCATTGAGGTTCTTCGCAAGGTACTTACAGACCAGCTATGCTATTCACCTATCTCGCTCTTTTGTTTCTTCACATACGGAACCATGGTGTTGGAAAGTGGAACCTGGGACGACACAAGAGCAAAACTCCGCCAGATCTACTTGCCCACATTGATCGTCAATTATACCGTATGGTTTCCCGTGCAATTCTTCAACTTTCTTGTGGTACCCCGGAGTCTCCAAGTACCATTTTCGTCGTCAATCTCTGTGCTTTGGAACTGCTACTTGTCAATGCGGAACTCGCAAACATAAAGTTCACACATATATGCTGTTGGACTCGCTTCGCCTTACGGCCTTGGCAACGTTTTTGGAATATTCGGCTCCAAAATTCATAGCGCTACCGATGACATAACTCACGTCCGCCAAGGCATCTGCATCGACTCGTTCATAGCCGGATTGTCCCTCAGCATTGACTACAAGACACAAGACGTCAGAAGTACAGCGGTTGACAGCTGCAGCTATTCCAGTAACAAAATGTGGAGGCTGCAATTCTGGCACCTCGCTCGCCGAAGCATGTTTCTGAGACTCTAGTTTGGCAATGGTATGACCGTAAAATGAACCTGGAGCAATAGTGATCCAGGATTTGGCAGGTATATGTTCAACTATTGCCCGAGCCAAGACATTGTATGCAATTGGGTTCTCTGAAGGTGGTACGGTAACGGAAACCCAAGATTCTCCACCAATTATGGGAATTTCAATGCTTTTATACTTGTCTTGATTGTGAGAATGGGACATCGCCGCATACAATTGTTCATCTTCGTCGTAATCTTCAGGAGCATTCGGCACAGAAGCGTGGTACTTGATACTTATTTTTCCCACGGTTGATCCTGGGGCTTTTTGGGCAAGAATTGATACCGCTGCTGGAACTAGGAGAGCATGGGCAACATGTTCGCCATCGAAATCAACAAAAACTTCCGGAATTAAAGGCGTTTCATCACTTTCGTCATCCAAAAAGTGACGAGGGGCTGGAAGTTCGTTCCACGGTTTAAACTGGGTTAGTATTCTCAAAAGCAGTTGCTTTTGGGTCACTTACTAGCATAGGTCAATGAACAGCCAAAGGAAGATCGCACTCTAATGTGCGGGTGCACGGGCCTGAACTCTAGCATGGTGCGAAGTAAAAGAATGGTTCCACTCCACATTGGTCCATGTTTAGAACCAGTTTAAATCTTTTAAAAGGTTCCAGGGCCTACCATTCGGTCCAGCATCCCTCCAGGATCATAAGCACTAAAGGTATTGACGCGGTAGTGCTTAAGCAAGCCATTACACACATCCCCAAATATGGGTTTGATTCTCTATGTATCACCCAGGCTATAAGAGAGCTAGAGTATCCCGACTCGCTCGTTCTGGCGCTTACCAGCTCTGCCAGCGGCGACTCGCTCGAGTTCCAGCTTGTCAAATACTGGTTCCAATCGCAACGACAAAAACTTAACGACTCCGTTGTGGAACCATCCAACGAATTTCATCAAATTAGCAACGAGTACGAAAGAACCATGTTTTTGCTCAAACAGCGACTTCTGTACAACGAGCCCGTAGCACACCATTTAGGCGGAGCTTTGGCTCAACTAGTAACCCCATATAATGTCCAAACATCTATGGGAGAGCTTCATGCTTTGGCTGATGATATTGCATTTTTTGCTGGAGACGAATCGAATGATTTTGCATGGTACACCAAAAGATTTGGTATTTCTACCATCTACGTGGGTGCTGAGTTGTTTATGATGCAAGATTCTTCTTCAAATTTCAAAGCAACTTATAACTTTGTAGATGGTAAGGTGGATGAGCTTCGCAACTTGGGTGCGGGATACAACAATGTTGAACAGTGGACATTGTTCAATGCTGTCAGCTTGGTCAATTTGATCAAGAGTCAGTTGACGAGGGGATAAAGTGTATTTAGAATGGAAATCTGAGAGTAAATTTAAGTAACCTGAAAACTGAAAACCTGAAAAATTCAATAGCATGAGAAATCGACTGGATATGAACATTTTCATCATTTTTCTTCTGCTTGTCCTTTTAGCGTTTCACTCTTACTTCTGTTATCCATTCCTTTATTCGCTACATCTTCTATATTTATGCTTTTCCCTGTCGAAGAGCCACCAACTTTTCCCTCGCCGTTTCTATATTTTTCTGTTCGCTTTCTATCTTGGTCTCCACCCTTTGGATCTCGCCTTCAATAAACTCAATTCGCTTATTAACGTTCAATTTAGCCTCGTCATACTGCTGTGGTAACAAGACCGGTCCTGTCAATTTGTATATTTTCGAGTCTTTATTCAAGTGTTCAAACTCTGCAAGAACAATCTTGTTTTCCTGGTACTGAGTCTCGAGCTGTGAACGAGCACTCATGAGCTCATTCAACAGGTTCTGGGCATTGCTGAACTCTAGGGAGAGTTTTTCAAATGCTTCTTTGTCCATCAGAGAAAAGTTGCGAATCGAATAATTTGTGAGTAGCGAATAATTAATGCCTTGAAATTATTAAACAAATCCCATGAATTATTAAAACAAATCCTAAAAGCATGGTAGAAAGAAGAGAGAATCTAGTGAAAGAGGAAAGATGAATCATATATCTCTAGTGCCCAATTTCCATCTAATCTGGAAATATACTGTTATCGTTATCCACCACAATCTCCGTCACATGAACCTTGTATCTTTGGCCTGAAGAGCCCCCGTAATGGCCATCGTCTTCCACTTCGTCGTACTCGTCTAGATTCTCGTCAGAGTCTTCGTCGCTTTCATCTTCAACCGTATCCATGAAAACATCGTCATCTTCATCGTCGTTTTCGTTGTGGTCCATTCTACTGTAACTAGTAACAAAAACCGGTCGACAACTATCGTACGATGTGTGTCTTCTCCGCGGATCCATACCTTGCTGCTGCAGTGAATTTGTTTTAGTTGAACGTTTTTGGTCGCTAAAACTAGCAGCCCGGAGTCGTCGTTCTCTAGCGGCCGCCTGCAGCTGCTGGTATGGAGAGGCAAACAAATCCTGGTTGAAAATGAACCCTTGTGCCTCCTTGAGAGATATAATGCTGTGGTTTCCTCCCCCCATGAAATTGGGGGTTTCATAGATGGAAATGTCTTCGCTTTGAATCATGGTGGGGGATAAGAATGAGCTTCTTCTCAGCCATGGAGAAGCGAATGGAGAAGCAGATGGCGACTTGGGGATGTCCTGGGCCATGGCAAACTGGAAAGCTCAACGGATAAGGATCAAGATGGATCAAAAAGGATGAATGGATAAATAGAGCACCACTCAATAAACTCCAATGTTAGCGATAATCAAAGAACAGATTTGTCCAGTAATTAAGAGTTTGGCCAGCTTATTATACCAGCTTTCTCACTAAGCACCAATATACCAACTAACCACCAATATAAGAGCAGCAATTCTCGTACTTTGTTCTCCTTTTCGGATCTTCAACTAGCAATCTGAACCGCCACCCAAACTAACTATTATTGGGAGACAGACCAGGTACTAAGATTTGACGCAAGGTAAGGTTTCAGCAATATTCGTAAGTTTCAGAAATAGCCAAGTGTGGAGTCGTACTATTCGTTATCGCTCGCTGCGGCAAGTCACATGAAGGACATAGTATGCAGTATTGATCCGGTCTTGAAACCCCGCCAATTCTAACAGAATCAAGAACAGAATCAAATCTAGTAAAGTTAGGTTTTCTTAGGAATTAATAGCTAAAGACATAAAATATAATGAAGTTGATTCCGATGACAGATAAACACATATTTATAACCGAAAAAAGTGAAACTTAGGGATTTGTGGAAAGAGTCCAATTTCACTCGAGGCTACAAAGGTTGTTGAAAATATTCCAGATTAGAATAAAGATAATTTTAGTATTCCTTTTGAGGCTTCAATAAGTGGCGTCCTTTTTGGTACAAGTGGCTTTCTTATTTCAGCCTCGGGTCAACTCCATCGGGCAACATCTTCATTCAATCCATGATAGGTCGTATTATCTAAGCTGCTCGATTGCAAGGTGTTCGGGTGGAGACATCTTTTATTTTCAACAAAAGGGCCAATATTATTTACAGTACAGGGAACATGTCAAATCAAGTCGAATGAATGTAATTTTATAGCCTTGAGATGTCATTGTTGGAAGGTTTTGTTATGCCGATATCGGTCGATGAAATTCCTCAAAGTAGCCCGTGGGCCAAGGCCTTCTTGTCTACTTGACAGGTGTCATACGATGGCTTTGAAAGCAAGCCCCGTGTAACCACTGTCATTTAATTATACATCCGAGTAACCGGGCATATTCGATTATAATCCCGCTCTCATTAACTATAAATACAAGTTAACGATAGCGGATTTCATCAGTATTTCTGAATCACCTAAAGCCATTCGTGATGTTACGTAATCTAGTCAAGATTACAATTTTATTGAACCTAGTTATCATGACAAGCTGTGCTGAATTATCAACTGAACAACTCAAAGCTTATTTATACTTAACAGGAAAAATTAGCTATTCAACAGTTGATAATCAAACCACTCATTATATCCAACACTATGGACTCAATCACGTTAATGAGTCATTAGGTACTTTTAACCCTATCAGTGACGAAATTGAGACACGATTTCCCGATTCACAAATTCTTGAAAAACTCAAAGAACTTGGCTTAACACCTAATGCCACCTGTGATTATATTGGTATGTTCTCTGCATTTCGCGAGAGTGACAACCCCAAGTACCAAAATAGAACACTAGACTTAGATAAAGCTAGAGAACTATCACTTGACCGTGAATTTATGGGAAATAAAGCTTATCTAGACCGAATTAATGAAGATAAGCGCAATGGTATACGGTATGTTACCGGCGACGACGAAGACCCTAGCTACGGACCGGTCAATATGGGAGCCATTAAAAATGAGAGCCAGTTGTTATCAAAGAAATCATATGATTGTTGCGATGTATTTGATTGTGATGATGATACACAATGTCGCTATATGAGTACCTCTAGCCGCAAGTGCTCTTGCCATACTGACAGGTTGGGAGACGATTGTAATTGGGATTCATATATCCTCCAACCTCATATTGGAGTGATTCAAATATGGCATTGCAAACATTGAGCTGGACTCAGTGTATTACAAGCTAGTCAACATAATTCGTTATTCATATACAAGAAATAAATATATACGGTCTATGCAGCTGTTCGGCTCTGCCATCTTCGCTGTTGCAAATTGTTCATAACATGGGCCAATCCCATACGAGTATTACTCAAATTTGCTGTAAACCGTTTTTTGCTCCAATCTTCAATTTTCTTTTTGAAGCCAATGAAATTGGATGAGAACTTCACCTTACCCCCTACCTTTGTAGTATTGGCAGATGTAGCAGTATAATGCAAATATTCTTCTACCCGGATGAATTTCTGGTGGTCGATATTGGAATTGTAAGTTTTCATAACCAGGTTTTTAGGATCAATAATGATCTTCTCGACAATCCAGGAGTCCAACAGAGTACCCAAGAACGGCTTGATAAAATTAGGGAGTCTTCCGGTTTTCACAGCCACCCGGGTGAGCCGTAATTTCCCGTCTTTATCAATTTCTTGCAGCAATGTATCACTTGAAAGCACATGCTTGGCATATGGATTTGGGTACCGGTTGAGGTATGCCAAAGTAGCCGTGGCAAAGTCGTGATTGTACTCGTTTTCCGTTTCAAAGAACTGAACCATAGTGTTAGTAAGAAGAAACGAGAATAGTGAAAAATTGGTGCGTTTGTGCAGGAAAAAGCGTTGAGAACAAGGTGTAGGAGAACACCAGCAAAATTGAAATCAAAATTGAAATCAAGAATTAAAATCAAAAATAGAAAAAGATCCCAAAGAAACGGCGATACCGCATGGAATAACCATAGCCCATCTTTTCTGTTCAAATTTTTCGTTCATTTTCCTCGCTTGTAATTACCCTGAACATTATGGAGGCCCGGCAGAACAACACCAAAAACGCCGAACGAAAACAAAAATGCCTTATTACTGCATAGCAGCCCAGACATAGTGGTTAAATGGCGCAGCTGCACTGTCGGTGGGTGTGGGGCAGAAAAACAAATTGCGGAGACTTCAAATTATATTCTCAATTTGCAACCACCATGACTGAGAAGAAAGATACCTCCACTAATCTGGGATTGATTGTAGATGTTGTCGAGGCGGATTCCTGGACTAGCTATGAAACATCTCGCTGGGCTCGGTTCAAAGACTCTTTTCAACGCCAGGACCCCAATGATGTTCAGATGGACAAAGCTATTAGCAAAAGACATTTGCGGCTTATAGCCATGTCTACCGGATTGGGAACTGGATTATTGGTTGCTGCTGGAGACAAATTACGAACGGCTGGTCCACTTTTCTTGTTGATTGCCTATGCCATTGTCGGGTACTTGATGTTGGTGCCCACCATGTATTCTGTTAGTGAATTATCGGTGGCATATAATGAAATTTCTGGAGGTTTCAATGGATATTATCGGAAATTTATGGACGAAAGTATGGCGTTTGCACTTGGATGGAACTATTGTATTCAATGGATGACGGTTATTTCGTTGGAATTGGTGACGGCTGCAATGACCATCAAATTTTGGAACACTTCTATCAACCCGGATGTATGGGTAGTGATCTTTTTGGTGGTGGTGGTGTTGATAAATCTTTGTGGAGCTCGTGGATATGGAGAAGCCGAGTTCGTTATGAACCTGTGCAAAGTTCTAATGTTGTCTGGGTTTGTCATTTTCGGCATAATTATCGACGTTGGTGGTGGACCCAATGGATTTGTTGGAGGAAAATATTGGAGAGAACCGGGAGCATATACCAATTTCAAAGGTTTATGTACGGTTTTTGTCACCTCAGCGTTTTCCCTTGGTGGAACCGAGTTCATTTCACTCTCAGCTGCCGAGCAGACAAATCCCCAGCAGGCAATTCCAGCAGCATGTAAACTTGTGTTTTACCGAATCACCATTCTTTTCATGGGATCGTTGGCAATGGTGGGACTTCTTGTTCCATATACTTCTGACCGCTTAATGGGAAGTGGTGGAGATGCCACTCACGCCTCGCCATATGTCATAGCCGCAGAAATGCATGGAGTTAAAGTTCTTCCTCATATTATCAATGCGGTGATTTTGGTATCGGTGACATCTGTTGCAACTGCTGGAATGTACTCTTCCACTCGTTTATTGCAATCTTTGGCAGAACAGGGATACGCTCCTAAGTACCTCGATTACATTGACAAATCAGGAAGACCTTTAAGATGTTGGTTGGTGACTGTTGCTTCGTCTATCTTTTCTTTCATTGCAACATACCACAAGGAAGAAACCGTCTTCAATTGGCTTTTATCCATTTCTGCTTTGAGTTTCATATTCGTTTGGCTCTCTATAAGTGTGTGCCATCTTCGGTTTAGAGCTGCTCTCAAGTATAATAATATACCGTTGGAATCGTTGGCCTACGTTTCTCCAACAGGTATAATTGGTTCATGGGTATCGGTTATAATCAACTCATTGATCTTGGTATGCCAATTCTGGGTCGCCCTCTTCCCTGCTGGAGCCTCAAAACCTGACGCTAACTCATTTTTCCAAAATTATCTTGGTGCTATTGTGTTATTGGTATTTTATATCGGACACAAGCTCTGGACCAGAAACTGGAAACTATACATTAAGGTTCAGGATATAAACATCGACGAAGACAGAACCATTCCCGATCACGACATCCTTGAAATCGAGGCACTAGAAGCCAATCAACGCTACAAAATGGCTCCCTGGTGGAAAAAGATGTTGATTGTGCTTTTTGACTAGCCGCATGTCACGTGATGCGAGACCCTTTAAAAGTCTCAAAACTGCAAAATTTATATCAATCATATATTTGTTTAAATCGATTTATATCCATTATCCACTCTATCCATATCCATTCACATTATTTTGGCTCTACTCTCGTACCGCGTCCTACGAACGCGCTACTCGTATTTTTCCGATATGTGCGCGAGTTACACAAAACCAGGTCCGACATCGCATTTCGGACTTATCGGTCGGCTGTATATATAGCGCAGATTCCACATTTTAACAACACGTAAAATGGTACAAACAAGTGGAGCCACCACCAAACTTGCTCAGCACGAAGTTGTGCCTGCGCCCACTGATATGGGTGCTTTGGCTAACCGTATCAATAAGGAAACTCGTACTTTACACAATAAAATCGACAAGATGATGACTCTCAAATTGGCACTTGCGTTAAGAGATCCTAAGATATATCGTCAAGGATTACAAAGTTTTTATCATGTTTTCGCCACGATTGAACGTTGTTTGAAAGAACAGATCAATGCTAATAACGAATGGTCGGATATGTTGAATGAGATCTGGAAACCAGAGATCGCCAGAACAGAAAAATGTGAGCAGGATCTCATGTTTTACTATGATGATAACCGGGAAAAGTTTGAAAAACCAATGATGTCGGAGCAAATTGATTTTGTAAACCACATCGTCAAGTCTTCTAATGATAAACCATACTTGTTACTTGCATATTTGCATGTTATGTATTTGGCGTTATTTGCTGGCGGACGTATTATGAGATCTTCAATATCAAGAGCTACTGGGTTGTTCCCACAAAAGAATGGATTGAAGCACGAAGAAATTGTCAAGTTGGGCACAAATTTCTTCACTTTTGATGTTGCTGATGAGAATTTGTTGAGATTGGTCTACAAGCGTGATTATGAATTATTGACGAGATCGGGATTGACAGAAGAACAAAAGTTGGAAGTTATCGAGGAGTCCAAGTATATCTTTGAGCAAAACGGCAAATGTGTTTCTGAACTTGAAAGACACAATTTGGTGAGACTTTCTCGCAAGTGGTCTTATATAGCTGCGACCAAGGGTTCCTATGTGTTGATGGCACTTTTGGTTTTAGCTGTGTTGTATTACGTTCGTCGACTTGTGGTGCATGCTTTTTTCTAGAGATGATTATGACTGATGAGGAACCATATAATAACTACTGAATTGACGATAAATGGTTTGGCAACTAATGGTCTCGCATCCTTGTTCTTTGTATAACTGGAGGTCTCTTTTTTGTACTATTCTATTACTCTTCCTCCTCCTCTTCCTGTGGGACATACGAACTATTGACCCCATTGGGATGATCAGCTCGCCAGTTTTCTACCCAAGCTGCAATTCTCTCCACATTCTCCTCCATTTCTTCCACACTATCTGACCGCAATTCAATCACTATTTCAGGAATGTAGCTGTCGCGTGCTTCCTGCAAAATCACTTGCATGATTTCACAGTCCAAATTCTCTTGAATCTTGTTATCTTTGTATCCACGCTTGGTTAAGCGTTGGTGCAATATGGAGTTGTCTGTTCTCAAAACAACCACCAAGTCTATAAGTCTTTCAGGAAACACTTCACAGCAGTGCCAGTCCACTACTATACCACCTTTTTCCATATCTGGCTCCAAAGAGTCTAAAAGCTTATCCTCATCGACGACCCAAGTGTCGAGATTTTCATCATATTCTTCAAGACATTTCCGCTCCTTGGCCAAGTCACTTATATTGAAGTGCTGGTACGGTTCGCCTAGCTGGTCCTTCAAGCTCTCGGCATGTGAGGTTTTGCCGCATCCAGGGGTTCCTGTGATGATAATATTGGGGTATAAACGGTGCATGAAGAGATGAGCGATGCTGCGAATATATGGAGTGCATAGAGAGCAAGAGTGGAGAAGAAGAATATGGTAATTTAATGAAAAATTCAATGGAAAATGAGATTAAGTTCTGTTTTGTTGTTCTGTCTTATTACCTGAAATTGGCGATCTACTCCCTTTCACTATTTTTGTAATTTTTTTTTGTTTTCTGTTCCTCTTCTTTTCTTCTGTTTCTCTATTCTTTTTCCTGCACACACCCCGCGCCGAATCTTCAACTGGTCAAGTCACAGACTCAAATTCACACTCCAACCACTCCCATATAGCCCCTCCTGGCCTCATGACGCCGACCAGCCCAGACGATATGGAAAAGTTTGGCCTCCGTGGCCTAGCTTCACTTGCAAAAATGGAACAAAACGAGAAAACAACCTTCGCAATAGGACAAGATGTCAACTTGTTGGGACTAGATTTATCGAGCGACTCTCAAATACTAGTCAATATGGCTTCGCCGTGGGCCGAAACATCGAGGTCGGACGTAGAACCAGCATTCTCCATTCCTGAGTCGATTCGAGCGGAAAATGTCCATCCTCCACCTGAACCTTGTGATCTCAAAATCCTGTCATTTTCCGACGAAACCTTGTTCTACATCTTTTACATGAAGCCCAGAGATACATTACAAGAGTACGCAGCCCGAGAATTGGTGGCACGAAACTGGCGTTACCATAAAGATATTCAGGTGTGGCTCACCAAAGACAGCAATGTAGAACCAGTGCTCATTAGTCAAGATGTGGAAAAGGGGGTATATATATTCTTTGATCCTCACAACTGGGAAAAGATCAAAAAGGAGTTTTTGCTCCATTATTCGTCGGTTCAGGCGTAATTATTCCTTTTGGTAGCTCACCTTGTCTACCTTCACTTCGTCATTTAAATATGTATAAATGTACACGGTACACCCCGACTCGCGCACATCAAGAAGACAGAAAGAAGGCACCGACGACGAGAGCTCCTCGGTAAGATACGAGCCATTGTCCGCGATTTTGTGATCCTCTTCCGATTTTTCCTCGACTTCACTTTCTTCTTTCTCTTTTTCCTCTTTTTCTTCTTCTTTTTCTTCTTTTTCCTCCTCTTCTTTTTCCTCTTTCTCTTCTTGCTCCTCCTCCGGCCAGTCAAACGAAAATGCCCCCGTTATACTACCCGGATTTATGAAAAATTTCCCGTCCAAAGTGTACGCCTCGACTTTGTGAGTTCCTCCCCAAATCAAGATGTCAACGTCCAATTCACGAGCCAATGTCAGCAAGGAAAGTGGGTCGTTTCTGGGCACGATCTGGTACCCATTGGTGAACCCTATCTTCAAATTATCATGAGAAACTATTTGGACTTGTGGGACGGTTTGGTTCTTTTGCATTATAGAAGACTCCACATCGTCAGATAATCGAGTCAATTGCTGGCTCAAGATGTTTTCATCGTCAAACTCACCCTTTACAAGATGAAAAGCCGGGCTAAGGTCGTGTAGAAATTGCAATGAAGACCACGAATTGGTCAAGTTTCCCAAACATAATACCTTGGATAGTTTGCTGTTTGTAGGTTTGGAGGTGGGATTGGGACAGAGGAGTTTGCGAAACTTGTCGGGGATGTCAACAGCACGGTCAGGAATGTACAAGTCACCAGCTGCCAAAATTAACATGATATTACAACAACTAATCTAGAAAGTTGAAATGTGCGGTTATCTAGTGCACCCGTCACACCCATAGTAAGGATACTTTCCAGTATCCTCTATAAATAAGCTCTAGTGGTCGGACATAATCTTCTGCAACACCTGTGGGTAATTGCGGAACACCTCGTCGAACCGGTCTCTGTTTGTCATTTGGAAAACTTCTGGGTCTTTGGGCCAAAGCCACGAAAAATGTAGAAACCCCAGACTCAATCACGGTAAGAGCAATACGGGTAATTTGACCGGAAATCAAGAAAGCAAAAGCTATCACAGGAGCATAATATTGACCATCCGAGTTGTAGCCTGGCTTGGTGAGTCTCAAGTAGAGGTAGGACAATAATGCACAGACATATCCTGCAAACATAGACCAGATATTCAATGAGGTGTTGATGAAACAGTCGTTTATCAAGGCGTCCATACCCTTGAACCGAATCAAATCAAAGGTGTCTTTAGCGGACCGAATGTAGTTCTTACCGTACAAGGCAACGTAACAGTAGGCATAATGGTTGAAGTAGCGTACGAGCCACTCCAAAAGGCCAATGATGAAGTCTAAAATTAAGAACCCACAACCGGCGCAAACATCGCCCTGGCCAAAAGCGTCATTCTTGAGTATTTGCACACCTGCCTTAAGCAATTGAATCAAAGAAACAATCAAAGACCCGAAACAAATCGACCCGAAACAGTAAGTCATGGCTCTCTTGAATGCACCCAATGCTGGGTGACGAGGTTCTCCTTGGTCTGAGTTGGCCAAGTAGTACCAAGTACCATAGACACCAGCAATGGTGACATGGATGACATTTCTGATCACCTCAGAGATGTAATAACCAGCAAAAATGACAAACACCAAGATTCCCACGAGCTTTGAATGGGAACATGAACCACCGCCGACGTTACAAGCCGAGTTCTGAGAATTAGGGTCGTACTTGACATAAGTGGAAACAATTACCACAGAAGGGTGGAAAACAACCCGGAAACAAGGATTCCAATAAGTGAGGTGATCAATGTCGATGGGTACCGCTTCATAACATCAATGGTGATCTCCAACACCGTGGCACTAAAGGGAATTCTACTTCTAGCTCTCCAGTAACAAAATGCCAGAAACAATGTGAACACCAAAAACACTATTGCCGCCGAGTAATAGTGCATAACAAAATAAAAAATACACGTCCCCAACCCCAAGATAATGTTCAATATCAAGCCGGAAGTAATAAAAAATCTTGGTGCCATACGAGCAAACACAATCACCAATGCTGACAATACCACACCTACAACTACCACAAAACCAAACAAAATGACTGTATTTGTGTTGAGGGTGAAGTCATTTGTCGAATTGTAGATGGAACTTCCTTGTAAACCATAAGTTTTCTTTAAAGCATTTAAAGTGATACCAGCAACAGCGATGAATCCAGCCACTACAGCCCAAAAAAATAACGCAAAGGGCCAATCATTGAAACGAGGTTTCTCTACCTTGAATGATTGATCGAACAGCTGGTCAGGCACAGGTTTCTCGTAGTCCTGTTTTTGGTTTTCTATGTCTCTAACTGGTGGACCTGTCATAACAAAGAAGAAAAATTAGCAGCAACTGAAACGCACGGCTTGTGATTACGTCAGGGAAATTGCAACTATAATCGGAGCAAAAACATTCTGCAGGGAAGAAACCAGAATGCAGGACATTTTTCACTGTGGAGCATCAGCCCCTAAAAGTGACCCCGCAACATTTGGCGGGGAGAATAAGATTGAGAGGAGAAGAAATAAGATGGGAGCAAGACATATATGAACGATTGCTATGTGAACGAATATCAAAGTGGTCAAAAGCTCTGACTAACTTCATATTGAACATAGGTTATTCTCATATATTCTCATGGACTCCGACGAACTTTGACCCTGACCTAATCAGCTCCGTTTTCCGCACCATTTTCTTGCGAAGAGGGGAGCGATAAGATTCGCACTCCGGTGCAGCCGCGGTTTTGTGTTACCACCTTGCAGGTGCAGAAAGTCAGTAGTATAAATTCACCGCCCCCTCGCTTTTTTTTCTTCCATTGTGATCTGTTATATTGTCAAGGCTGGCCTACAATTTTATAACGATTCCTCATCACTGATTTCCATTTGCCACCTACGGCCCACTCAATAAGCTGCCTGCACAGAATCTAGGTTTTCGCTGCAAATTTCAAAACCACACCAAAAATTAAATTATCTATTCATGTCTTTAAGAACACTCGGACTCAACACGTCGGTAGGACGTCTCTTTGCACGCTCTGCAGAGATGACCAAGTCGATTCTGACGGTACTTGACTTCAAGAACAATGCTGCTGAATCTATGGACTCTTGTATGACTCGTTGCGATCAGGAGTTGGGCGGCCATTCCACCGTTCATTTAACCTACGACGAATCTATGAGAGCTGCGCACTTCCACGGCTACCTCAACCTTGATCTCCCCAAGAATAACCCTGAAATCACCCGTTCCGGCTACGCCATGTTCCGCACCAAGGATCAGAGAGAATCGTGGCTCACCGGAAACAGTTACTGGGATTGGTCGGAATACTCTTCGTTGGTCCTTCGTGTCCGTGGAGACCGCCGTAAATACCTCGTGAACATTCAAGCTAATACCCCGCTTGTGACCGATCTTTTCCAGCACCGACTTTTCCTTAACCGCCCTGGTGAATGGGAGACAGTGGTGATCCCATTGAACGATTTTGTCATGACTAATTGGGGAGTTATTCAAGATGGCTGTGAAATTAACAAGTCCGAGATCAAAACTGTGGGAATTGGCTTATTGGACAAGCAATACGGTCCTTACTCGTTATACATTGACTGGATCAAAGTTATGACGGGAGCCGAAGTTGAAAAGGAAACGCAAAGATCGCGCTCGGAGAGATTGTCTATCAAGGGACAAGAAAATGTGGAACAGGAAATTGGAGGATCCGCTCTTAACACCAACAGGTATGAGGATCCAAAGGACACTGTTTTCTAAGGAGATGAGACTTTACTGAAACCTTGGTATCTACAGGACTGGCTTCACCGGCCGGTGCTCTACTAATTGTTGGTCTACCGGAGTTGACTGCCCAGGTCTTCCGACCCTAAATTATTTCCCAACACATTTCGGTATGAAACCACCAATTACCTTACTCAATGGGGTATCTTTTTCGCTCCAATTTACCCATTGAGCTTACAAATTGCGCACATTATTGTCTTTCGTCCCCGCTTTATTTAGCAGAATATATGAAAATCATCTCCTCTTTGTCATCCCCACTCTTTCACATTCACTATCTTGTTCCCCACCAAGTCCGGTCGGATTTACATCTCCGCACTATTTACCCGGCCGTGCTCTGAATTGTGCCGTTCCCACGATTACCGACACCTCAAGAAAAAAATTTTCAGCGCGAAAATTCTTCATCAATTATCAAAATGGCAAGAGGCCCGTAAGTCTATTTTCGAATAGCATCGGAGTACCAACTCGGGAAACGTTACACACCGACTCGCTACCAAGCGTTTAACGGTCGCCAGCTTTTTTAAGCTTGGATGGGAGCCTTGTCGATAATTGAAGATGAATGATGTGATTTTAGAGGTGAAGTGCTGCCAAAATATTGACTATTTTCCCTTGAAAACTCACGCTAATTCATCTTCAATGCTCCATGTAACCTCCCGTAGCTCCGTAGTCGAACACAACTAACTTTTAGAAAGAAGCACCTTAAGAGATTGGCAGCTCCATCCCACTGGATGTTGGACAAATTGTCCGGTACTTATGCCCCAAGACCATCTGCTGGTCCTCACAAGTTGAGAGAATCTTTGCCTTTGGTTGTTTTCTTGAGAAACAGACTCAAGTATGCTTTGAACGGTAGAGAAGTCAAGGCTATTTTGATGCAAGAGCACGTCAAGGTTGACGGTAAGGTTAGAACCGACTCCACTTTCCCAGCTGGTTTCATGGATGTCATCACCTTGGAGGCTACCAACGAGCACTTCAGATTGGTGTACGATGTCAAGGGTAGATTTGCTGTCCATAGAATCACCGCTGAAGAGGCTTCCTACAAGTTGGGTAAGGTCAAGAAGGTTCAATTGGGTAAGAGAGGTATTCCATACGTTGTTACCCACGACGGTAGAACCATCAGATACCCTGATCCTTTGATCAGAGCCAACGACACCGTCAAGATCGACTTGGAATCCGGTAAGATATCCGACTTTATCAAGTTTGACACTGGCGCTTTGGTTATGGTTACCGGTGGTCGTAACTTGGGACGTGTTGGTGTTATCACCCACAGAGAAAAGCACGAGGGAGGTTTCGACTTGGTGCACATTAAGGACTCCTTGGAGAACACTTTCGTCACCAGATTGACCAACGTTTTCGTCATCGGTACCGAGGCTGGTAAACCATGGGTTTCGTTGCCAAAGGGTAAAGGTATCAAACTCTCTATTTCTGAGGAGAGAGACAGAAGAAGAGCTCAGCAGGGACTCTAAATCAAACACATGTAATATAGAACTAGGTATAATACACCGGTCCACGAGGTCCCTCGATGCAGGAATTCGGTATAGTTGCGAATCGACTCTTTCTCTCCGCAATATGACTTCTCGGTACAGAGTAGAGTATGCGCTCAAGACCCATCGTAGAGATGAGTTTATAGAATGGATCAAGGCGCTCTTGGCGGTTCCGTTTGTTTTGCACTCAGATGTTGAAAATTACAGGGAATTTATTACTGGAGACGAGGACCACGATATTGAAAGAGAACTAGAACAAGATCGAAAAATCGCTTTGGAGTGCCGCAAGAGGTACCTGGAGATATTTCAGGACGTGGAAAGGCTAATAGACCACACTATTGCCGTGGATAAGTTGAATCTACCGCATAGAAGTGAAAGTCGGTTGCGCAAGTTGGTTCCCAGTCTCGGCAAGTTTTTCACGCCATTGCCGTTGGTAGAAGCTTTTCACATAGAAGATGACAGACGAAGGATCTCTCAGCGCCGATTGGTTAGTCCGCTGTTCAATGATGTGAGAATGATTCTTAATAGTGCCCAGGTACTTGCGCTCACTAAATTGTACCAAAAAGACGAATCACGATTAAAGTTGGTGACATTTGATGGAGATGTAACGTTGTATGAGGACGGTCAATCACTCTTGCAAGATGCTCCTGTTGTTTCCCGGCTTGTAAAACTCTTATCGTTGGGACTTTTTGTAGGAGTTGTTACAGCTGCTGGGTATCCTGGTGAACTGGGTGCCCAGCACTACTACTCCAGATTAGCCGGTTTGATTGACCGAATTACCTTGGATGATTCGTTGACGATGGACCAGAGGGAAAACTTGTTGGTTATGGGAGGAGAATCCAATTATCTTTTCCGGTATAGCAACGAGAAAAAGAACCTTAGCTTAGTGCCTTCCGATCAATGGCTACTTCCCAATATGATCAAGTGGGACATTAACAAAATCGAGCATATCATGGCTAGCACCGAGCACCACATGAAACACCTTCGACTCAAATTCAATATTCAAGACAAAACCACCATCATTCGTAAGGAAAGGTCGGTGGGAATTATTCCGAATCCAGGTGAAAAAATTCTCCGTGAACATTTGGAAGAGTTAGTTATCAGCTGTTCTGATCGTGTAGCTGAAGTCTTGTCTACACTTTACAACGAGCCACGCCGCCGGAGTGTGGTTGGTTCTCAATCCAATACCACAGCTGCCAGCGTAGGATATTCCGAAAACGAGATCAAGGTTTGTGCTTTCAACGGTGGGTCCGATGTGTGGGTGGATATTGGCGATAAGAGTTTGGGAGTGGAATCTCTTCAAGTTTACTTGTGTAAAGATGTCAAACACCATAAAATATGTCCGATCCAAAAAAGCGAATCGCTTCACATTGGCGACCAATTTGCCAGTCTTGGTGCTAACGACTTTAAAGCCCGTCTCAGTGCATGCACAGTGTGGATAGCCAATCCAAGAGAAACCGTGGAGATTCTCGATGATTTAATTGGTGGATTTACGGAAAATGAGATAACAAAGTTATCTTAGATTGTCACTGGTGGAAACTAGTGTAAGGTATCAAGTAAATGTCAGATTCTTGGATGCACGGAAAGTCAATTGACTTCCAAAAAGATGACTTTGTTCCATATCTGATAACCGGGCCCATTAGCTCATCTTCAATATACCAAAAACATTGAATAATCAATACAAAACATTATCTAGTCCCATCTGCAACTCAATAACTATTCACAGATTTGATTTTATAATTTCAATCTTGATTTTATAATTTCAAATTGTGATTTTGCAACTTTATAGCATACCTTCTTCCTGCACTCTGCTGCACTATCGTGCACGCGGGTCGTGCTGCCACCACCATCATTATCTTATCGCATCCCGATTACAACTTGTTACGTTCTAATGGGATTATTTAGTTTGTTAAAGTAAGTTTCCCTTTGCTAGTTGCTTCTATTTCATTATCCTAACCCAGCATACTTGTGTCGGTCATATATCCGGCTTATTTAACTGGTCGAACCATCGATGAATCTCTTAAAGTATCTCATCGAGTGAAAGGATCCACCATCAATCTTGGCAGTTTTTCGGTTCCCGTGACATTGTTGGGGCTAGGAGACAAGCCAAGGATCCCACCTGCGATATCTGATGAACAAAGTATGCAAATTCTTTCGTTGACGTTACATAAATTGGCGGCTTACTGGACGGTTCAAGGATGTGTAAGTGTGGTGGAAACCGTCTTGTATGTTCCGTCAGTGTTACCATTCTATTCTGTGATTCGTTTTGGGCTATCGTTGTGGCTTGTTTTTCCATTGGTTTCCGGAACAACCGTTTCCAAGACCTGGGATATAGAGGATGAATGGAAACAATTTTGTCGCTCAGGAGCAGGAATGGTGTTCACTCGCTTTTTGCTGCCCTTGGTAAGTCATGATCCGCTCAATGGCGAATCCCCAGTTGACATCATAATGCAATACTTGCGGAAAGCATTGTCTCTTGTTGAAAGTCCTGATAACCAGCAATGGTTCAAGCGAGTGGTAGGTTCATACGCAGCTAGCTCTGCTGAACCGGAAGCCAAAGAAGTGCCCAAGACTGACGATGACGACGATTATGACGTAGTTGACAAGCCTCTGCCGGCAGAGGTTGATGGAGTTACTCAGAGAAAGCCCGAGAAGAAGGGTTGGCTTTGGTGATTGTTATGTATGAATAAAGAGATTAACAACACTATGAAACTATATGTTTTGGACTATTTACATGTTCATAACCCCAAGTGCAGCATTACCATCTCTTTTTCAGCATTTACATCGTCACGAGCCTCCACTGGTTTTCTGGCCCGACGAGGGATAAATTGATCTACGAGAACCGGTTTGTTGTAGAGACCATCAAACGCATCGGAAGGCTTCAATTTGTCGGAACCAGTGGCCGTCTTTTGTTCTAATGCCATGAGCTGGTTATCGAACGTCTTGCTCGCATTTTCCACGACCGACTGTGGGAGTTCAGGCCATATAAAAGGTTCTTCCATATCAATGGTCATCTTCTTGTACTGGGGTCCTCTGTACCTGGCATGATCGTCAGGACCTCTTTGGAACTTGGCATGGAGCAATTGGACCGTAACATTGAGTGCCCTTAAGCCATATACATGCCACAAATAATCTCTCAAATCCATCTTATTGAAGTTTCGGGGGACCAAGAACTTGGCCTGGTACGGTGTATGCTTGGCGTTGGGTCTCAATAAACAAATCCTGCCTTTGGGGAAATATATTTTCTTTTCACCAACTCGGAAATGTGGAAGTCCTAATGCCACTTCTTCTTGATACTTTTCGTAGTTTCTTCTCCCGATTTTATCATTGATGTATCTGTACTTGATGGGAACGGGTTTTCCCGCCTTCAAGTATCGCCGCTTGATCTCGGTATTGGGGAATAAGGTTTCTTTCACCGACTGTGAAATCAACGGCTCTCTGACTTTTCTGAACCCAAAGCGAGGTTTCTCGAGTTCTACATCATTAATATTGACTTTAGGGTACCGCCTGAAGTTCTCTCTGTGGTGTATAAACCGTCTACCCGTGGCAGAGGCCGTAGACACAAGCAGGGAAAGGAACTTCATGTTGAATCGAAATGAAAAATTTCGTGAGAATATCGTTGGGTGTGCACATAAGGCTGAGACTAGTATGGCTAAACAAGAATTATGATCGTTCAATCCTTTTAGAGGTCTAATAGTATTAGCGTGTACTCTTAAGCCGTAGAGGCAGCTGGGGCAGCTGGAGGCATCTAACTCAAAATATTATAGCTATTCTGAGTTTTGGGTGATTTTACTATTCTATGACGAAAGCATATTTTCAGTCCAAACTTCAAATAACCATCTCCAATGAGTATGTTCCCTCTACACAAACAAGTTCCATTAAGCTCTCTCTACCTCTACAAACTCCTTCCATCATTTTTCTCCATATTGTCCTCTTGCTTATCTGCAGTCCGTGTCGTGCCGACACCGCCATATTTTTCATCATCAACCAACATTATTTATTCCACCATCATGTCCGATCAGGCCAGCGATCCTTATATGTATGATGACGACTCGCTGAGCATCACCCCAGAGGACTGTTGGACTGTGATCTCTTCGTTTTTTCAGGAAAAAGGTTTGGTTTCCCAACAACTCGATTCTTTTGATGAATTCATCGAGTCAACAATTCAGGAATTGGTGTGGGAAGATTCCCGTTTGATCTTGGACCAGCCTGCGCAGCATACATCGGAGGAGGACCACGAAAACCGGCGTTATGAAATCACATTTGGCAAAATTTACATCTCCAAACCCACCCAGACCGAAGGCGATGGTACCACTCATCCAATGTTTCCTCAGGAGGCGAGGTTAAGAAACTTGACTTATTCGTCTCCATTGTATGTGGATATGACGAAGCGAGTGTTGAAGTCCGATGACAACGCTGGAAATGAACATGAGCTTGAATGGATTGAAGAGGAAATCAAGGACGAAGAACCGCTGACTAAAGTGTATTTGGGTAAGGTTCCCATAATGTTGCGGTCCAAATTTTGTATGCTTCGTGATTTGGGAGAGCATGAGTTCTACGAGTTGAAGGAATGTCCCTATGATATGGGTGGATACTTTGTCATCAATGGTTCTGAAAAAGTGTTGATTGCTCAAGAGAGAAGTGCAGCCAATATTGTCCAGGTTTTCAAGAAGGCGGCACCTTCTCCTATTTCTCACGTTGCGGAAATCCGCTCGGCTCTCGAACGTGGTTCCAGATTGATTTCGTCGATGCAAATTAAGCTTTATGGCCGTGAAGAAAAGAGCACATCGAACCGTACAATTAAGGCAACTTTACCATATATCAAGGAGGATATCCCCATAGTGATAGTATTCAGAGCATTGGGTATTGTGCCTGATGGTGACATTCTCGAGCACATTTGTTACGATGCAAATGACTGGCAGATGTTGGAGATGTTAAAGCCTTGTGTAGAGGAAGGTTTCGTGATTCAAGAACGTGAAGTCGCTCTCGATTTCATTGGAAGAAGAGGTGCTTTGGGTATCAAGAGGGAAAAACGTATTCAGTACGCAAAGGATATTTTGCAAAAAGAATTGTTGCCCAATATTACTCAAGATGAAGGATTTGAAACTAGAAAGGCATTCTTTTTGGGATACATGGTAAACAGACTTCTTCTTTGTGCGTTGGAACGTAAGGAACCCGATGACAGAGATCACTTTGGTAAAAAGAGATTGGACTTGGCTGGACCATTGTTGGCTAGTTTGTTCAGAATTCTTTTCAAGAAACTCACAAAAGATATCTACAATTACATGCAGCGTTGTGTTGAAAACGACAAGGTATTTAATTTGACTCTAGCAGTCAAGTCACAAACTATAACCGATGGTTTAAGGTACTCTTTGGCTACTGGTAACTGGGGAGAACAAAAGAAAGCGATGAGTTCCCGTGCGGGTGTGTCTCAAGTGTTGAACAGATACACTTATTCGTCCACGTTATCGCACTTGCGTAGAACCAATACTCCTATTGGTCGTGACGGTAAGATTGCCAAGCCTAGACAGCTTCATAATACTCATTGGGGTCTTGTTTGCCCAGCTGAAACTCCTGAAGGTCAAGCGTGTGGATTGGTCAAGAATTTGTCCTTGATGTCTTGTATATCCGTTGGTACACCTTCCGAGCCAATCTTATATTTCCTTGAGGAATGGGGTATGGAACCTTTGGAGGACTATGTTCCTTCCAATTCCCCAGACTCTACTCGTGTGTTTGTGAACGGTGTGTGGGTAGGAACCCATCGTGAACCCGCACACTTGGTAGACACTATGAGGAGCTTGAGAAGAAGAGGTGATATTTCGCCAGAAGTTTCTATTATCAGAGATATTCGTGAAAAAGAATTTAAGATTTTCACGGATGCCGGTCGTGTTTACAGACCACTTTTCATCGTCGATGATGATCCCGAATCTGAAACCAAAGGTGAGTTGAAGTTGCAAAAAGAACATATTCACAAATTACTCAATGCCGAGTACAGCGAAGAATATGCCACCAATGAGTTTGGCGAAGAAGAAGGTCCATATGGATGGTCTTCTTTGGTCAACGATGGAGTGGTGGAATACGTGGATGCGGAAGAAGAAGAGACTATTATGATTGCCATGACCCCTGAAGATTTGGAGGCAAGTAAGAGCTCTCTTACTGCAACTCAGCAAAAATCATTGCAGTTGGAAGAGCAAGAACTTGACCCCGCCAAGCGTATCAAGCCAACGAACAGCAGTACGACGAGTACATTCACCCATTGTGAAATTCATCCTTCTATGATTCTTGGAGTTGCAGCATCCATTATTCCTTTCCCAGACCATAACCAATCCCCTCGTAATACCTATCAATCGGCTATGGGTAAGCAAGCCATGGGTGTGTTCTTGACTAATTATTCCGTGAGAATGGATACCATGGCCAATATTTTATATTACCCCCAGAAGCCTTTGGCCACAACAAGAGCTATGGAGCATTTGAAATTCCGTGAATTGCCTGCCGGTCAGAATGCTATTGTTGCTATCGCATGTTATTCTGGTTACAACCAAGAAGATTCTATGATTATGAACCAGTCTTCGATTGACCGAGGATTGTTCAGATCTTTGTTCTTCAGAACTTACATGGATCTTGAAAAGAGACAAGGTATGAAGGCCCTTGAGACTTTTGAAAAGCCACTGAGGTCAGATACTTTGAGGTTGAAGCACGGAACTTATGAAAAGTTGGACGACGACGGATTAATTGCTCCAGGTATCAGAGTGAGCGGAGAAGATATTATAATTGGAAAGACTACTCCCATCCCTCCAGATACTGAAGAATTGGGTCAAAGAACTCAATACCATACCAAGAGAGATGCCTCCACACCTTTAAGAAGTACTGAATCTGGTATTGTCGATCAAGTGTTGTTAACCACCAATGGTGACGGAGCCAAGTTTGTCAAGGTTAGAATGAGAACCACAAAGGTGCCTCAGATTGGTGACAAGTTTGCATCTAGACATGGACAAAAGGGTACAGTGGGTGTAACTTACCGTCATGAAGATATGCCTTTCACAAGTCAAGGTATCGTCCCTGATCTTATTATTAATCCCCATGCTATTCCATCTCGAATGACAGTTGCACATTTAATCGAATGTTTGTTGTCAAAGGTTTCTTCGTTGTCTGGTTTGGAGGGAGATGCTTCACCGTTTACTGATGTCACTGCCGAGGCGGTTTCCAAACTTTTGCGTGAACATGGCTACCAATCCAGAGGATTCGAAGTTATGTACCATGGACACACAGGAAAGAAGTTGATGGCACAAGTCTTCTTTGGTCCAACGTATTATCAGAGATTGAGACATATGGTGGATGATAAGATTCATGCTAGAGCAAGAGGACCAGTTCAAGTATTGACCAGACAGCCAGTGGAAGGTCGGTCTAGAGATGGTGGTTTGAGATTCGGAGAGATGGAAAGAGATTGTATGATTGCCCATGGAGCAGCCGGATTTTTGAAGGAGAGATTGATGGAGGCCTCAGATGCGTTTAGAGTGCATGTTTGTGGGGTGTGTGGATTGATGAGTGTGATTGCAAACTTGAAGAAGAACCAATTCGAGTGTCGGTCATGTAAGAACAAGACTAACATCTACCAGATCCATATTCCTTATGCAGCCAAGCTTTTGTTCCAAGAGTTGATGGCAATGAACATTTCGCCGAGGTTATACACCGAGAGAAGTGGAGTTAGTGTGAGAACATAAAATAATAAACTGTACATTATGAATACTGTAAGTTGATTTTGTGATTAAAAGAGAGAGAAACTAGGTTTCAGCATCTGATTTGAGAAGTAGAATGGGGTCTAAATTATTGTACATTGACAAATTTGTAACTATGAAATTCTGCATTTCTGTCAAATTCTTCAATTCTGCAATTCTTCAACATTGCGAATTCTCTACAAACCCTCAACTTCAACTCTAAATCTTATCCTCTTCAACTACATACACTATAGGACATTATATACAAGCTAATTCTCCAAATACTTCTTCCGCATCTCAGCCAACTTTGCTTCTCTACGATTCAAGTCGGCCAACTTCTTCTTCATCTCAGGAACCTCATCGGCATATGCAATCAAATTATCCTTGTATGGGTGTTCGTCTCCATCAAAGAGCTTGAGGCGGTCCATTCTAATGAGTCGTAACTTATTCTTAGGTATCATATTCTTTACAGCTCGTCTTACGATTTCACTGTAGCCTTTATTCGCGATCATCCTCTCCATTGGCACCAATTTCAACGATCCCGGCCTCGTATTGTGCGACCAGTATAATTTGTCTTGCATTTTGCGTCCACTAACCTTTAAATGGGCACAATTAGTCACCACAACGTAATCTCCATGGTCCCGATTGGGTGAAAATGTCGGTTTGTGTTTGCCTTGTAGAGTGATGGCAATGCTCAGCGCCAAGCGTCCGAGAGTTCTGGGATCTGCAGCCATGTCTACGTGGTGCCATACCCTCGTGAGAGCCGCAACCGAGTTTCCGAGCCGCTGTGACATGACGTATAAATGAACCTTCGAGCACAAAGGTTTTTTTCTGGTGAGATTTCGAGGTGCGCGATCCTGCACTTGGGGCACCAGGAAAGAATGTCGCGCGATTCGACTTTTCAACATCCAGTTTAGCCTTCACCGGTCGTTTCTAGGATCTCGAAATTTACTAATAATACACAGCCATCCGGCCTCGTATACCTCGAGAAACCTTGGCAGAGTACGAAACCGGCATTGACAAGTCGCCATGTTTTTCTTAAAAGACTTGTCGCTCAACTTGACGTTGCACCCGTCGTATTTTGGTCCTCAAATGGACCTGTATTTACGGTCCAAACTCCTCAGTGACGTCGAAGGAACTTGTACTGGGCAGTTTGGTTACATAGTTTGCGTTTTGGATTGCATGAACATCGATGTGGGCAAGGGAAAAATCATACCAGGAAGTGGAATGGCTGAGTTTGAAGTTAAATATCGCGCCGTGGTATGGAAACCGTTTAAAGGAGAGGTTGTAGATGCTGTGGTGACCACAGTCAACAAAATGGGGTTTTTTGCCGATGTTGGCCCACTTTCGGTGTTTGTAAGTACCCATTTGATTCCTTCCGATATGAAATTCAATCCATCAGCAAACCCACCAGCATACGTCAGTCCCGATGAAAATATCGAAAAGGGGTCTAGAGTAAGACTCAAGATTGTGGGTACGAGAATGGACGTGAATGAGATATATGCGATAGGAAGTATAAAGGAAGATTACTTGGGTCCTACGCCGGTTTAAAATTAAGTTCCCTACTGTATTATATACGTACATTGAATAATGATATTCTAGCATTATTTTGGCTTTATTTGGTTGGAGAAGGCGATCTCTCTTCACTGTGGAGCCGTTTATTCCATGTACGCTCTACCGGCGGTTGGTTCAGCTGAGGAGTCTGAAGGGTAAAGTCCTCAATCTGACCATTTAGCGGTGATAAATTTGTTCCGATGGGGCTCTGTCCATTTATGGTTTTGGTCTTCTTTGGTAGAGGTCGTGAATCCTCTCGGCTAGCGGCGAGAAGATCGAATGCTGAACGAGAATATGTCAAGCCTGGTTTCTGATACTGTGGAGTTTCTGGAACAGAATCAGAGGTAGCTACCACCTCTGTCGGCCTCGAAGTTCCATTAGTTTCAATGTTCTGTCTCAAATTATTCTGAAAATTGGCCCTCAATTGTTCATGCCTTTCCTGTAGATCTTTGCGATTCGAAACCTGCTCTTGTCGGGTATTCATTGCTCGCTTTATCCGAAACATACTCGTCAGGTTTTGCTCTACAGTCCTAACATCCAGGTGTTCTTGAGTGTGCGGAGTGGATGGTTCAAAGGAGAAAGTGGATAAACCTGGTAAAGTACCGGTAGCAGAATTTGCTCTTAAAGGAGGAAGTGGTGCTTTTGATAGCGAGGGACTTTGCTGGGAAACTTGTGTGGTCTGTCCGTTCAGTTTTGGCAACAGTTCAGGCATTGATCTGATTGTCTGTTGAGTCGAAGAGGCATTTTGCTGGTTTCCATATGGAAGTGGGAAGGTGTTTATAGCTGGCAACGGCTTCTGTACTGGAACTGTGTTGGATGTTCTTTCTCCATTCACAAAATTATGTAAAGACAGAGAAGACTGCAATCTTGCAATGTCCAGATTTTGCAAATGGGAAGCTGGGTTTTGAACTAGGGGAGCTTGGTTATGCGACTGAGTAAGATTTTTTTGCGGTTGAGAAGAGTTTTGGGTCTGCAATTGAGTATTCTGGCTTGGTGATTGAGGATCATTCCTTTGAAAGTGAGAAGTGTTCTGGGTCTGAACACTCAGGCCTGGCAATCGAGGAGCAATTCTTTGAACTTGAGAAGTGTTCTGGGTAATCTGCGTAGCACTGCGGTTTTGAGTGATATTCTGACCTTGTACTTGAGGGTTCTGCGTCTGCAAGGGGGAATTGTGACTTTGAAACTGAGGATTCGGCACAAAAGTAACATTTCTATTTTGCACTTGAGTGTGTGGATTTTGCAATTGAGGACTCTGCAATGTCGTGTTTTGACTTTGGAACTCAGGATTCTGGGTCTGCACATGAGTAACATTCCTATTTTGCAGTTGAGTATTTTGGTTTTGCAAATTAGGACTCTGGTTCTGCAGTCTCATATTTTGACTTTGGAGCTGAGGACCTTGGTTCTGCAACCTAACATTTTGACTTTGGAGCTGGGAGTTCTGGATCTGGACTTGCGCAACATTCCTATCTTGCACAGGAGTAAAATTTTGGTTTTGCAATTGACTAGCATTTTGGTGTAGCATTTGAGGACTCTGGGTCTGCAATTGAGGACTCAGGTTCTGTAACCTAACATTTTGATTTTGGAGCTGAGGATTCTGGGTCTGGACTTGGACATCATTCCTATCTTGCACAGGAGTAAAATTTTGGTTTTGCAATTGACTAGCATTTTGGTGTAGCATTTGAGGACTCTGGGTCTGCAATTGAGGACTCAGGTTCTGTAACCTAACATTTTGATTTTGGAGCTGAGGATTCTGGGTCTGGACTTGGACATCATTCCTACCTTGCACCGCGACAGCATTTTGCTTTTGCAGTTGACTAGCATGTTGGTGTTGCATTTGAAGACTCAAAGTCTGCAGATGAATATGGTTTTGCAATTGAGGATTCTGACCTAGCACTTGAGGATTCTGGGTCTGCACTTGAGTAGCATTCTGCACTGGTAATTGAGAATTCTGGGTCTGCACTTGTTGATTATGAACGGGTAATTGAGGACCCTGGGTCTGCACTCGTTGATCATGAACTGGTAATTGAGGACTCTGGTTCTGCAGTCGTGGATTTTGAGCTGGGAATTGAGGACTTTGGGTCTGCACTTGTGGATTCAGAACTGGTGAATGATGATTCTGGTTCCGTACTTGGGTATTCTGATTTTGCAACTGAGGACTCGTTTGAACTGGTAATTGAGGACTCTGGCTCTGCCCATGAGTAGTCTTTTGATTCTGCAATTGAGGACTTCGGGTCTGCACTACTTGATTATGAACTGGTAAGTGAGGGTTTTGGTTCCGAACTTGAGCATTTTGATTTTGCAATTCAGGTCTCTGGGTCTGCAGTTGTGGATTTAAAACTGGTAATTGTGAGTTTTGGTTCCGAACGTGAAAGTCTTGATTTTGCAATCGAGGACTCTGGCTCTGCCCTTGAGTAGCATTCTGATCTGGTAATTGAGAACCCTGCACTCGCCGATTATAAACTGGTAATTGAGGACTTTGAGTCTGCACTCGTTGATTTTGATTCTGCAATTGAGGACTTCGGGTCTGCACTTGAGTACTTTGATTTTGCAATTGAGTACTCTGCTGTCGTTGAGTACCTTGGTTTTGTGCTTGAGAAGCTTCCAGTTGGGTAGGTTGCGCATTCTGGATCAGCAACTGAGTATTCTGCAAATGAGAAGAATTTGGATTCCGAGACGAATCCTGTCTCTGTAGAGAGGGAGTCTGGTTCTGTAGCGAAGTCTGATTCCGAGGGTCACTGTTCTCTCGTTGAACATCCAGCGGTTTGGAAGCACCCTCGTTCTGGAACTGAACATTGTTCTGAGCAGCTTCTCGGTTTGAATTGACTTGCACTTGACTCTTGTCAGTTATTGGATTCAAAGCCGTGGGAGTCAGCGATGTAGTGTTCCGGTTCCATTCGGCAGTGAACTGCTCTCTTGTCTGTGGATGAGAAACGGTAGCCGAGTCCAGCTCAGGCAGAGGGATATCTATCGTTTCTACTAAAGGTCGTGGTGGAGGATGTGGAGTTTCGTCCTCGCTTTCACTGTCGATTGATACAATTTCAATAACTTCTTCAGTGGCAGATTTAGGTTTTGGTGACGGAGACGAAGACTCATCATCCATTGAGGATTCGACATTGGCCAGCCACGAGCCGTCAGGATTCAAAGTGACCGACTCAACTTCGTCATTAACCTTCAGTAGGATCTCTAGATAGTAATCTGATATGGCGAGCTCTTCCAACTCAACTCCTCTTGAACAAATGGGGCATGTCCAAGTTGGGATTTGTTCCTGGAGTTGCAAGAATGATAGACAGTCAAAGCATTGTATGTGCTGACAGTAGATTGACTTTGCTGGAAACTTCATGCGGGAATAGGTCAATGGACATTTTAGAGATAATGATGAGGTAGCCACCTCTAGGTCGTCATCACCATGAGTGTATTCCTCTTTGATTTTGTCAATTGTAGACAGCAAGTGAATATGCTGACCACGAAAGATTTCGTCAGCAACTTCTTGACTCGACCGGGTTTCTGCGATGAAGCAATAAAGAAGATAATATTGTTTGGTTCCAGCGTAAACCATCTCGATCTTATTTAAGGCAGGTGTGCGGCTGATGAACTTGGTGATATTAGCTGGACGAGCGGTTCCTGGTTTGCCTTTGATCCCCTTGACATTTTCCCTTAGTTGTGCTCCATTCACATATATCTCTTGAGGAATAGGCCATTCAATATCCGCCGAATGAGTTACTGGATCATCAAGCTTGAATGCTCCGCAAAGTAAAAAAACTTGCATTTTGCCAGGTTTCGAGCGGAAAATTCGATTATCCTCATCACTCAAAACAAAGTTTAAGCGGCACATCATGCGTCCTTGTGAGGGAAATACTCTTTGGGGTGATCCCAGAATAAGCTGCTTCAAAGTGTAAAATGGAGATGGCTTAAAGTAGATGGCATTATCAATACATGCAATGGAGGCATCTGAGCTCTTCGTCCGCGGCATCTGGGGAACAGGGGCCATATTTGACAATGATTCCGAGTCTGGACGGGCGGAAATGTTTCGAGTATCTTGTTGAAGTTGAGCCAACAAATTGGCATTAGGACCCCCAAACCGAATGGCATTATATAGCGACGTGTAACTCGGGATGGACTCATGTAATAGTATTTTCTTGATTATTACCCCTATAACAAGAAGTTTTATCTTGTCATCGTAGCGAACTCCGTTTTCAATGTGTTCTTCAATGCGTTCTATCAAGTCAGCTTTCTTGCCTGCGATTCTTAAAAGCATGGTTCGGGCAAGATCTTTGAGTTGCGAGAGCTTGAACTTTCTTATTCGTTTCTTCATGTCCTCGATATCCTCTCCTGATATCAGGAAATCAGGAGGGACGCTCATAGTGTGATAGTGAGTTGGTTTGATGCGCGAAATGAAAAATTATGGGTGCAAAAGAGTGCGAGCGGTGCGAAGCGAGGGACTATACTTCACGAAGTATGGTAAAGGAAGGAACGTAAAGGTGAATATTTAAAGGTGAAGAAAGTGTGGTAAAGAAAGGGAGTACATCTTATCCTGTGCTTCAGAGCCTTATGTTTATTCAACTGATCTATTATTACATTCTCTCCACCGGAGTCAAGCCCAAAAGTGTCATACCATTGTACAAAACTTGTTTGGCACTGGCGTACAAAGCCAATCTGGCAGTAGCCAATTTCTCCTCTTGACCTGCCACCCATAAAATATCGTAACATTGAGAAACGACATGGGTCAAGTTGAACAAGTATGTGACTATGGTCGATGGTTCGTGAGTAGTCATAGCTCTTCTCAAAATATCTGGGTATTGAGCCAAGATTCTGATCAAGTTGCCGGCACAAGGCTCGGTCAAGAGTGAAAGATCAGCCTCGGTCAATTTTTCATTGGGAATTCCACTCTTTCTTTGCACAGAACTCAACCGCGAGTGAGCGTATTGTAAGTAAGGACCAGTGTCACCTTCAAAAGATGTCATTCTGTCCCACTTGAACTCGTAGTTGTTGATACGCTTGGATTGCATATCTTGGATCATCACCGCAGAGATACCAACCAAGTCGGCCACCTTTTCAGGATCTTCAATTTGAGCATATTTGTCCTCATTCTTCTTCATCACCTCATGCATCTTTTCCTTGGTTTCCTCCAAAATATTGTCCAAAAACACCACCGTTCCCTTTCTGGTGGACATACCAAGCACCATACCAAAGTTGACATGCTCTAATCTGTTGGCCCATTCGAAACCCATCTGCTTCAAAATCTCAAAGAACTGAGCAGTATGCAAGTCTTGTTGCGACGCAATAACGTAAATCATCTTGTCGAATTTGTAGGTCTCGTACCGTGCAATGGCTTCACCAACATCACGAGTCAAGTAGATGGATGTACCATCGGATTTTTCCACCAAAGTCTTACCCAATTTTTTGTTGAATTTGGTCAAGTCGATCAACTTGGCACCTTTATCTTCGTGTATCAAGCCCTTTTCATTGAAGATTTGTACCACTTCCTTCATCTTTTGCTTGGAAACCAAAGACTCTCCAGCGTACTTGTCATAAACAATGTTAAGACGAGCATAGGTGTCGATGTACTTTTCGATAGAGTAGTCTCTGAATCTTCTCCACAACACCAATGCTTCTTCGTCACCGTCTTCCATGCGCTTGAAGTAATGCTTTGCCTGGTCGTTGACACCACCAACGGCATCGGGTCCCTCAGCAGCCACATCTTGGTTGATACGCACGTAAACTTCGAACAAATGGTTGATTGGGTTCTTCACCAATTCTTCTTCAGAACCATAACGCTGGAAACCAATGGCTAACAATCCAAACTGCTTACCCCAGTCTCCCAAGTAGTTCAATTTGCTTACTTCCCAGCCTTCTTTCTCGTACAACTTAGATAAGAAACCACCAATGATGGTGGAACGCAAGTGACCGGCATGGAATGGTTTGGCAATGTTTGGTGACGAGAACTCAATGACAACCTTCTTTCCTTTACCAAGAGGCAACGCACCGTATTCGGTGGTTCTGGTCAAACTGTCCTTAATAACCACATTGAAAAGCACAGAGGTGCTGAAGAAAAATTGCAAGAATGGTCCTTCAGCTTTTACTTCACTCAAAAGTTTACCCTTCTCGAAAGCAGCAGCCCATTCAACAGCCTTTTCTTTAGGATTTACTCCCTTGAGTCTCAACCGAGGAAGTGGAACAATCAAATCTCCCTTGTCCAAAGTGGAGGGTGTGTCCAAGGCAGGATAAATAATCGACTTGTCGATGCTAGAGAGTCTGTGTAACTCGTCAGTAATGTAATTTCTCATTAAATCGACGGCATTGGCTTCTGGAAAAGAAGCTGGTTCAGCGGCCGGAGGTTCAATTCCAAGCTTGGACAAGCTGGATGTGATGGTGCCTACAGTGTTGGAAGCCATATTGCGGATCAGTCGTTTAGCTAGGATGCTGTGAGGTGCAAAATGACGGGTCTGTAGATGTGCTAGGCACTTTAGCATCAACGAAAAATTTGGTGCGCGGTGCTAAATTGGGGTCTGGGTGCGATGGATGAGTCAAGGATAGCTGGATGGGATAAGCACAAGGGAAGAGGAAGTAGAGAAGCTACAAAGTGGATAGAATATATAAATCCAATAATTTAACTCAATACTAGTTAATGTTAATTCACAATCGTGAAAATGAAGCAAAAGTTCATGTACTTCAAAAACAAAAATTCCCTCGACGCAATAGACTTAATCACCTCTGCTTTGCCGTTCATCATTACCCTCTCACAAACCACCTTTCAAACCAATGAATAGTATCTTTGTCTTCATTTGTTCTTCTTCTATGTAAAAGTCCACATCCTGCATAAAAGCCAAATATCTCACAACCGATTTGCAACTAGTCACCATGGAAGGTGTTAGCAAATTGACAGAAATGGGCTTTTCGGCCGAGCAGGCCCAGAAAGCGCTCAAAGCCACCAATGGTGACATGGAGGCAGCAATTGCGTATCTTTTTGAAGAACCTATCGAGGTTTCACCTCCTATTGGTGCCAGCAACAACACACTCAATCAACCAAATCGAAACCATAAATCCGTGGAAAGCGTTGAGATTCGCAATCCAATGGACGTTCCGGACTTTTCAGAGCTCCAGGCACAGGAAACACACACTAATCAGACGGATCCACTTCATTTTGAACATTATGAGTACTCTGGAGATGGCGAAGTGCGGCCACAGTTCAACGAGGAGTCAAGAATGGCTCAAGGATCAAATAGTAGTAGCAGTAGCTTGCCTGACACTCGAACAGAAGACCTTGATGTGCAAATGCGTTCGGATAGACTCGCTTCGGATGACGAAAACTCCGAACCGTCTACTCCGTCTATATATGACGACGAGGAGATGATGATGACAAGGTCAAAAGATACTCCGCCGGTGATCTTGATTGATCGTGTGGGGTCCAGGGAGAACGTCATGGTTCCATTGCTTACGATATTGGCACAACTTCCTCGGTTTCGGGACTTGGTTTGGGGTGCCGACCTCGGCCCCTACTGTGATACCTGGTATAAAGGAGACGACAAAATTAGTCCAGAATTGGAACTTCGGCGAGTGATTGCGTATTTATCTGGTCTTGGTCACCGTGCGTTTATCAGCAGTCATGGAGTGATTCGAAGTTTGTCGGAAGGAGGAACTTATGGTTTGGAGCTGGATGAGCTTGTGCCAAAAATGTACGAAGCTCTCATTCACTATGCCTCAGATTCGGTTGCGATGCAGAATTTATTACAGTCGACAGTGGAGAGTGTGGAGGAAGACATCCAGAACAAGATGTACTTGTTTGAGGTTGATTTGGAGTACAGAGCATCTACGGTTTACGATACGTTGAATGGGCTTTTCTGGAGCCAAGATCTTCAGAATTTGGGCAATATAAGACTCAAGGAAACGGGAAATGTGCTTACGGTTCAGTTTCTTGGTGATGACGAACATTATGAGATCCAGCCACTTGACATCGACGAAGAATTTTATCCACAAATTTACGCCAAGTCGCATTCGGATCAATTGCTAAACATGCATCAGCAAAAGTTGGAGGTGGGCCAAAAACGAGTTTCTGTAACTAACAAAATCATGTTGTGGAGCTCTTTTGAGGGAAAGCGAGTGCCTCTGTTTCTTGAACAAGTCACCAACTATTTGAAGGAGCAGAATGATGAAGAAACCGTCGACGATATACTGGCCATAAAAACCCAAACTGCTGAAGAGGTGGCTATGCTCAACAAGGAACTAGAGCACATCAACCAGCAATATTCTCAGCTCGATGTCACCAATCCCAACAACGTAATCAAAACTTTTGGACAAGATGGCCGCGAAGCACCACCTTCGTACGTATTGGCTGGAGTGGTATTTTCAGATATCGAGTACTATTACCGAACCACCGATGGTCAATGGATCTACATTTGCTACGAGACATCAAATACCGGACAAGTGGTGGGGTATTCGATTGAAAAACGGGAATTTTTCGTTTTAAAGGAACAGATCAAGCAGCGCAGTCGCGACGCCAGCATGGTGATTACACTAGTGTACGTTTTGCGAGACGAGTACAGAAAATCCAACAAGTCCGACACCCACAAGTCGGACAATTCGAACTTCCAATCCTTCTTCGACACCGACGACGCCAGGTTGGAAGTACCGCTTATTCCCGAATTGGCCGCGGATTCGCCGTAGTTGGCCGCTCCGAAGATTTACGTCAGTTAGCCCGAGATTTACGTGGTTGATGAGCCCGTGATCGTATCGATTGCTTCTGCGCGAATACGAGGGTTCTAGACTCCAAACCCAAAATCCGTTTGTTAACACTTTCCGCGCGGGTGATGTCCCGAGCAATCGACAAGTGAAAGGCATGCTCTGCACTTTCCGCTAACCCGTCTCGAGCTATTTCCGCTACTCTCGGCCCCTCCATTTCAGCCCACTAAGCCGTTTACGAACCTGGCCATATCCGGCATGCGGCCCTCGACGTGCGAGCCCTGACCTGCATCGCGCATGAGAAGGGTAAAATGCGTAACTTCCTAAGCGGGGTGCACCGCCCTAACTGCACCCGCCCGAACGGCAGACCGATGCATATGGGCCCCTAAAATTTGTTGATTGTTGCTCACCGCGATCGCATTATAACCTGATCCATCCTGTTGTTTCTCCTATCTACCATACCCCTTGCTACTTTGCTGTGGTGTAATGCAGCTCATGCGATATTTTCGATCTCGCAAATTTGTTTCTGCTTCTATTCTGCTTATTGTTTTCGTATGGATCTTGCTGCTTACGGTGGCTCGAGAAAACTCCACAATTCATCATGAAATCTTTCCAACAATGACTGATTCCATCTCCAAGGTGGTGACAGGGTTGCTGGTGAAATTTTGCTTGAAACCTTTTGCATGCATTGCGCCGGCGGGCGCCAAACTAATTCCACTCGACCCTCATGCCAGTATCTTTTCACCCGGCCGGTACTTTCTCGTGGTAAACACAAGCAATTTCAACGATGCTCAAGAAGCTGTCACAGACGTGATGTTGGTACCACGTGGAACAGTTCCCGATGATCTGAAGAAATGGCACCAATCGTATTCCTTTGGATCCAAGGTTCTTTGGTACCAGACTGATGTGGTTACCGACGAGAAAAAATTTGTTTGCGACATCGATGTACTCTTTGGAGACAAAGATATGGTGGATTCGAGACCATATTGGCAGTTTCAGCCCGAGCCGGTACCTCTTCCATGGACCACCGAAGTGCAGGGCCACTTTTCCTTACTCAAACTCTCAAAACTAGAGCAAAACTCGGTAGTAAGCGAGCTGGATTTGTTCAACCAGCTCAAGTACGGCGGTATCATCCTCGCTCACCAACCCAAATTCAAAATCATGCAGTTGAGCGATCTCCATTTCGGCCAGGATACTGGTGCTTGCAACTTGAAAAACGGTCCGTGCCAGTCCGATAGTCGAACGGTGGCTTTCATTGCAAACTCCATAGTTGCCGAACAACCAAACTTGATCGTCATCACTGGTGATATGATCGACAGTAAGCGCACAAAACACTGGAAATCGGCCATTTTAAAGGCATTGGCACCTGTTCTCCACAGCAAAATACCCTTTGTGTTCACATTTGGCGACCTGGATGTGGATACCCTCTCCGAAAAACGTTCGGTTGTACAATTCATATCATCTCTTCCCAACTGCTACAATGTTTTACCAAATTTGGACAACATTCACGGGCTCACCAACTACAACTTGCGGGTGCACAGATCAAGTTCTCCACAAGCACCCCCCACAAACATTAATACCGACCACCCAGACATGCTCGTATCACTTCTTGACCTGGAACGCAACAAGATAGACTCAACCCAGATCAATCTCCTTTACCGCATGAACACTATTTATTCGTCTCCCACGATGTTTAAGTTGTTATTTTTCCATTTCCCGCTCCCCAACTTTAGACCCACAGGGAAATTCAAGCTCGTGGGATCATATAACGAGAAACATGTGTTGACCACTGCCACCGATAACAAGTTTAGAGACGATATAGTTGACTGTGGTTATCATGTCGTTTCTGTGGGACACGAGCACGAGAACGACGCATGTGTTTTGAACGAAAAGCGGGATCCAAATAATCCCGACCGTAGCTTGAATGAAATTTGGCTCTGCTACAATTCGGTAACTGGAGATTCAGGACTCACAGCACTCGATACTAGCTATGATAGAAAGATGCGGATTTTTGAGACAGATTTCATCAAAAAGACGTTGATTAGCTGGAAACGCTCGGAGCTTATGCAAGCGGCATTCGACCATCAAATGATCCGCCAACTATAGCCTTATATATTAACATGACATCTACGACCCCAGAATGGCATCGCCGCGTGTATGCAGTACACATCATCAAAATTTTGAGCTCATCGCGATCAAGTTGTTCATATTAGTTATGGGAAAAGCCAAAAAAACGAGAAAGTTTGCATTGGTGAAGCGCACATTATCGTCCAAGGACCCTCGGATGAAGAAAAATGAAGCGAAAAAGCCGCAACCTGCCTCTGATCCGGAATTAACAAAGTCGGTTCCTCAGGTTTCTTCTGCATTATTCTTCCAATATAACGAGGCAATTAAGCCGCCATATCAAGTATTAATCGATACCAACTTTATCAACTTTAGTATTCAGAAAAAGGTCGATATTATAAGAGGTATGATGGATACACTTTATGCCAAATGTATACCCATTGTCACCGATTGTGTGATGGCAGAATTGGAAAAACTTGGACCCAAATATCGAATAGCACTCAAATTGGCCAAGGATCCCAGAATACAGAGATTAACGTGCTCACACAAAGGAACGTATGCTGATGACTGTTTGGTGAATCGAGTGATGCAACACAAGTGTTACATTGTAGCCACCAACGATGCCGATTTAAAGAGAAGAATAAGAAAGGTTCCTGGTATACCAATTATGAGCGTTGGTGGCCATTCATATGTCATTGAGAGACTCCCTGATGTGTTTTAGGAAGGTTGAATTTTGACTGTGCTGTGGGACCTTTGCGAAATATATAAATGGGGCTAGGAATTTACCCCAGGTGTCCCCAGTCATATATATTCTGAGAAGGCGCAAATTTGTCATGAAAGTGAATGGTGGCACCTTTGATGCATATTATGAGGTTATAGCCATCGCTGCGAACAAAATGCCTATTTCTCTTGGAGATGATCAGCTCAACTTCGAGTAACAATAAGGGCCCACCATGTACATGTCGCAGAGATGCAGGAAGTACTTCCTCAACCACTAATTTCTATACAACCCTGTTCAATGGTTAGAAATGGTTGGAGACTTCCTGCTGCCAGTTAGGATGCGTTTTGTGTCGTTGATACCGTCTTGTCATATATCGAGGATATAGCCCAATTACTCGATTGTGTCGTTGATGTGGATTGGAACTGCAGCAGGTTTTCTAATCATTGCTTGCATTCACAAAGGTATACCATTTCAGCGCCAAAACATGCATTCCTATTGACTGTTATTATCACCTCACTAGTTCCCACTTTTTACCACTGATTTCTTCTGCGGTGGTATGGAATGGGACTCACCTTTTTGCAATTGAGTGCTTTTTGAGTAACCTTCAATGCATTTGATACTTCCATTGCACTTATGGCTTGCGTGCTGCAATTGTTCTTGGCGAGCTCTTGTGTAATTCAATTTCAAATGGAAGCGTTCTTCATTATTTTCAATTTAGTGATCAGTATATTAAACTTTAAACCATCTGAGCTCGACTAGCAAATGGTACCAACGTTGAAGGAGCGTATGTCTGATGTAACCTGCAAATTGACTAGGGTAGTGACTTTTAATGGTAAGCCATGAAGCTACATTGCGCTACTATTTTTCGTGATAACACCAGAATACTTGTGTCTAGACACTTCAAGCCTTATAGCCATATAACTCATACTTAGTAACGAATTAGTTCCGAATATCTTTTGCTGTAATATTCTCAATTTCGCAGCCATTGATATTATGAGGCTAACATGAAGTACGAAACGAACCTCTTGACCAATGGCAATTGCATGTCTTTGATTCACTGAATGAGCCGCTGAGTTCAACCGGCTTAGAGTCTTTGTTTCGGCTTGGCATGTATGTCACTTCTATTTTGAATCGAGGTGATAGTGGTATTAGTAAGAAGACGGTGATTATACGGAAATACGTACTAATTAGGAAATTCGGTCGCTCGAATATTCTTTCATTTGGCCGAATTAGATAATACCAAAGGTATATAAAGCCCACAATTGACTGCAAATCACTACAGAAAAATGGCAAAACAAGTCTACTTTATCGCTGGTGCTTCTCGTGGAATTGGTCTTAACTTGGCTACTTACTTAAGTAAGAAACCAGATAATGTGGTAATTGCAACCGCTAGAAATCCTTCTACTGCCTCTGAATTGAAGGAATTGAGCCAAAAGGCTGAAAATGTTCACGTTATGACTTTGGACTTGAACGATGAAAAGACATTCGAAACCGCCAAAGCTGAGGTGTTGAAAGTTTCGGACTCAATTGATGTGTTCATTTGCAACGCAGGTATATGTGATGCTCATACCCCAATTGTAAAAACTCCCAAGGAAAAGTTCCTCACTCACTATATCACCAACTCTCTTGGGCCAATTCTTTTGTTCCAGGCTTTTTACGAATTGGTGAAGAAAAGTTCCCAGAAAAAGGTGGTTTTCGTCTCAAGTGTTTCTGGAACTGTGAGCGAGTTTCCCCAATACAGTAGCTCTGCCTACGGTCAATCCAAGGCTGCACTTAACCACAGTGTTAGACAACTTGGGCGTGAACTTGCAGAAGAGGAGTTTACTGTAGTTTCCGTCAACCCAGGGTTGGTCGGTACCGAAATGGTAATTAATGCCAAGGACGAATTTTTAGCCAGTAACCCACACTTGGCATCAGGTTTTGGTCCTGGGAAATGGCTTACCCCAGAGGAAAGTGCTGAAAAGGTGGGTATTGTAATTGAAAAGCTCAAGAAGGAAGACTCAAACAAGTTCTGGAACTACGATGGTACTGAGGTGCCGTGGTAAGAAATGATTAAAACATAATAAAAAACATAATAATAAAAAACATGATAAACAGAATCATTGAGCTTGTAGTATACAAAGAACCGATAGAATTTTGGCGTGGTGAACTAGCAACAAATAAGATTGACTTAAAAAATGCGCAGTCGATCAACTGAAAAATCGAGAGTTCAGTAGCAAACGATCTAAATGTATATTGGTGAAAGGGTATTAGCACACATGAATACATATATAACAGTAGCATGAAATGAAGCTTAACAATCTTTAACTTGAATCTCAAATTTTCAACATTTGCGTCTCAATTTGCAGCAATTTCAATTTTCTGGAAATCCTTCCACCTACAACATGAAGGCGGCAACAGCCACAACGGCGGCTCCAGCAACTCCAAAGTTTTGGAATCCAGCAACGGCGTCTCCTGCAGAAGAAGAAGATTTGGAACCGGAACCAGAACCAGAACCAGAAGAACCTGATCCAGAACCAGAACTAGAAGAACCAGAACCAGATCCGGATCCTGATCCAGAACCTCCTCCAGTAGAACCGCCTCCGGTAGAACCACCTCCAGTAGAGTTGCTACTTCCTCCCCCGGTAGTGGAGTTAGTGTGTCCTCCGCCAATCGTGGAGTTACTGTGACCCCCACCTATAGTGGAGTTGTAACCACCGGCAGTAGAGTTAGCAGCATTGACGGCTGCAAATAATGAAGCACCAGCGATAACAATCAGAGAAAATTTCATTAGCTACCTAAGGGAATTTTCGCTATTTATATACGTCGGCTATATTTGTACTGCTTCGCCTACATCACACGACTATCAAGTGACATTTGTCTGTTTCACGCAGCCGCCCCTTCCTAACTGAGCACAATCCGTACAGGAAATGGCAATCGAGTTGTATATTAGCTGCAGGAGAACGCAGGGCTTTTTTTTTTTTAATGCATATGGAATACCGGGGAACTGAGGCTGAGTAGATCGCCTCGACTTATTTGCCTTAAAGGACTTATTGGCTTAATACCACCAAAAGTCTAGACACTTGAAGCCTACCACTTTGTGACTTGCAATCTGCACATGCGCCTGTATTTGCCTTTAATTGCTATTCTTTCGGCTTGTTTCTCAGCCTCGCCCAGTGCAGGAACTTGTATGGACTCTAGATGCTACAGTTGCGGTACCTCGTGGTTCACGTGGGCTCCGATAACCTTATTCAGGTTGAACATGCCTCAATGGCATTTATTCTAAATTTATACCTGCATGTTCTTCAACTTCTCAAGTTGTTCACTCAATCCTTGAGGAACTTCAACCGATTCGTGCTCATCCACCGCACTTATTGGTTTCTTTTCTTCCTTATTCTTTTCTGATGGAGTCATCATAAAGTCCGAGAAGTTCACCCGTGAACCCTTGTCATCGTCATCGTCGGCATGAGCGTTCCATTCAGCTAATTCCTTTTCGTGCTCTCTCTCAATCGCATATTCCACTGCCTCTAAAACGTTATCACACAAGTGCTTGGGCTTGTACTTAGGCTCAGTACCCGCCTGGTACACTCCCGTCTTCACCAAAATCGAGTGCCATGATATATCATGCGAATTTGCAAAACGAATATCGGACTCGGGGGTGTCTCCCACAAAGTATACCGTTGAAGCTGGTGGTAATTGCAAAGTGATCTTATCCTTTTTACCCACAGCCAAAGCGCCATCCTCTGCGTCCTCGTCTTCAGCTTCAGACTCTTCTTCAGACGAGTCTCTTGCAGCCTCCAACTTGGCTTGGTTGATGATCTCTTCTCCATCTTGAGTGATCAAAATGTCGGCATCTCCAGCATCAGGATCATCTACAGACAATTTTTTCAAGTGCTCGTCCAAAACACCCTTTCTCCAACTAGAAAGCACCTTGTTGGCGTATTTGAACGTACCCTTTTGAGGCTTACCGAATCTGTTCACCTTCAATTCTTTTCCAGTGTGTTCTCTGTAAAGTGCGGCAATCGATACTTGCAAAGCACCCATTCCATACCTTGATAATTTGTAGTTTGTAGCCCAGATAAAGTCCGAATGGGCAAAGTAGATCTCTGGTCCTTCATCGTACGTTTTGGATTCAGTACCCATGACACCATTTTTTGACAAAAGTAACTCCAAAATGATTTGCTGGTCAGCAGCCCAGTTTCTAGAGTCGGCGAACACCAAGATGGCGTCGATCCGAGTCTTGGAGAAGTCCACTTCACGCGCACAGGTTTGTTCTTCCTCGGTCAAGTCGTGGTACGGAGACACGGCTGGGTTCCATTTCAAGATGTCCAATGGGGTGAAAACGTTCTTAAAACCATAAGATTCTGCCACATGACGACAAACGTTGCCAACACCTCCCACAACAAGAACGTTTTCGTAAACATTGACCAAGTCTTTCATTGGGGTGTGACCCTGGATGATCTGGTCTGGGGTGATGGTGACACCCAATCTTGCGCTCAAGTCATCAGAACGCTGTTTTTCAGGCTTACCACCACCATTGGTGACGAAAATCGAAGGAACTTTAATGTTGTACTTGTTTTCGCCGTTAAGCATCTTCAATGCTTGCGGAGCCAGAGGGATGGTTTCTGGGCCTCTCAAGATGACACCGTCAATGTCGAAACAAAATGCATACGATGCCACACGAGGATGGTCAATGACACTCTTCTTCTTCCGTCTTATCACAGACGAGTTTCTCGACAACTTGGCCAAAGAGTCCACCTTTTTCAAGTTTTGCGACGAGCTTTTGTGGAGCGACGTGGAGCTGGAGAGCTTGGTCAAGCCGGTCTGCCATTGGTTCAAGTCGGACAAACTCAAAGAAGACACTTTGTGTTTGGGAACCGCTGGTTCGAGTTCATCGATATCCGTCGTTGTTAAGAAACGATTGGTATTGTTGTTCTTTTTCTGCCATATCTTTAAAATGTTATGAACTTGAGCGTTGGCAACAGGGATCTGGCTTTATTATCAAATAGGGGTGTGTCAAAAAAGTATTCCCTCGCCCCTCTTTCTCGACTTTTATATACGCACCAGATTGGGGGCCACCTCCGCTGCGGCGCCCCATGACATCATGCGGCCAATGTCTATTATTCTGTACAGTTCTATGACCACGGTGGAAACAAGAGGATACTAACCACAGAAACTTGTTGTAGAGTATACTAACAAGTCAATTGACTTTGTAAAGTACATCACTATTTGAATTGACCATCCTCGTAATTTCGCTTCACCACGCCGTGCATTCATGCACCTAGTCGATAGCAACTAATGTCTCACTTCCGGGCCAAGAAATACCGAGTAGACCTGCCGTGGTTTAAAGTTAAAGAGAAGCTTTTACGATGCATAGAAATTAGCTATGTCTGATGGTGATTGCTAGCAGCATTGGTAGCAGCATTGGGAGCAGTTGTGCATTTTATAAGCGTCCTATGTGTCTATCTTAATGTCTCATTTGCGCATCTCCATCGCACCACTTGGTAAATTACGTCACTACGTCAAAGCCATGGGCAAGTCAGCATGTGCAGAAAACATGGTACAGTAATTCAGAAACTTTTTTGTAGTAATTGGTCTTACCTTAGAAAAGTGGTATTGAGATATCATCTGATCGATATTTTTTATTATTAAGATTAAGTCCGATACGAAGTACTATACGAATCTGAAAGTAAATGATATGAAAATTTCGACCAATGTGCTATTAATACTGTAGTACTAATATCGTTGATCCTGGATATCTCACTTCAACCCTGTCATATATAAGTCGCAATTGCTTATATTGTTACACATGTTATTGTACAGATATTGTACGATACACTAGCTATCTTAGCTAAATCACTTCTCTTCTTTATCACTCCTCCTTCTTCATTCTTGCAATCTTCACCAACGGCGACAACGAGATAACATCGTCCGCTTCAAGTATAAACTTGTCCTTGAGAAGCTGATCGGCATCTGCTCTCTTGTTAAAGTCCACCTGTAAGCACCGTGCAAGGAATCTCTTGATATCATCACTCAATGCCTCGGGTTCTCTCAACTTGGGCGTACCGTTCGTGGCAATCAAGTAAAGTGCCCGCAACGGCGTTTCGTTCAAGTATGGTGGCTCGCCCTCGATCATCTCAATCACCATAATTCCAAGCGACCAAATATCAACTTTGGGCCCATACTCTTTACGAGAAACCACTTCCGGTGCCATCCAATATGGCGTTCCTACCATCGTCGTTCTCTTGAGGTTGATTTCATTAATCTGCGCACAGAACCCAAAATCCGTCATCTTGATGTTTCCATCGGTGCTCAACAATATGTTGTCTGATTTGATATCTCGGTGAATAACTCCTTTGGAATGCAAAAACTTGAGACCTTTCAATGTCTCTCGACAAACAGCTCCAATTTGTCCCTCTGTCATCACGGAATGAGTAACAATCTCGGTAAGAGATCCACCTTCCATGTACTCCATGACAACCCATAAATCTCCCTTGAGAAGATACGAGTCGATAAAGTTCACTATATTGGAATGCTTGCTGCCCTTCATGACAAGAATCTCATTGATAATGAGCTCCTTCTTGGGTTGCTGTTCGAGATTCATTTGTTTGATAGCAACAGTGCTTCCCGTAGTCTTCTCGTGCGCTATGTAAACACCACCAGATGCACCCTGACCAATTTTTACCAAGTCACGATAATACTGATTGGGATCTCCGCTGCTGCAAATCGATTGCAACTTGGATATAATCTGGTGATTCTTACGCTTCTTTTCATCTCGTTTCTTTTGTAACGCAGCTTGCTTAGAAGCCGATCCAGCTGAACGAGAGCCTTGGTTCTGGCTCTGGCTCTGGCTTCCAGTTCGAGTGACTTGCTCGGAATTTGAAGCCTTCTGAGGTGCCTCCTTCTTGGTCAGACCTGGTGGTGGTGGAGGTGGTCTTTGAGATTGATAATCTTTTTGTGAAAACTGAGCACTGGGTGCTAGAGGAGCAGTAGTCGCACCTCTTTCCGGCTGGACCTTATCAGCCAAGGAATAGCTGTGAGATTTTGATTTTGGAATATGAGCGGGCATATCAGGAACTGGAGGTACAGCATCCCTTGGAGGCTCGCTTTTCTTCGAATTACTACGCATTGCCTTGATAGACTTTGACGAAAATGAACGTTTTCCAAATTTCTTGGGAGAGGTATTGGAGTCAGTAGAAGGTGAAGCAGCAGCTGGGGCCTCAGGAGCAACCGCAGCGGGAGGTTTTGGGGCTGGACGACTGGGGATGAACTGGTTGGAAGGTGTGACAACCAGCAGAGGGGTCTTTGGAAGTTGAGGCGTGGTTGGGCCTTGGCTAACTTGTGGTGTCTGCGAGTAGATCAGCGATTGGTTCAGAGGAGCTTGTGCAATTGGAGGGGTCAGATGGCCACTAACATTCGTGGTGGAGGTGTTTTCGTAGTGGAATTTGTGTAGCGCCTTTTCGTCGGCATCGGTGTTATCCTGGTAAAAAGCAACAATATCCATGACTGCTTGAGGGTGTTGCTCTTGTTCTCGTTTAGTGATTCCGCTCGCCGAAAGTAAACGCTCCCATTCGATGGGCAAGCCAGTGTACAGCCCGTTATCGTCAACACCCACATGAGCCACATGCTTGGCGTTGAACGGCGTAGATATCTTCATATTAATGGAGTTTTGCTCGGGTGAAACCGGTGCCGACAGTTTCTTGAAAAAGTTGTTGAACGCATTCTTCATTTTACCGCTTCGGCGCTTGGTCGACTTATTACTGCCAAGAGTTGTGTTTGGACTCGAGGCTGGTGACGCAAACCCACTTTGATTTATAACTGGAGTAACTGCAGACGTTGTATTATGGCTCTGGTTTTGCGTGGGAGGTGGTGGTGGACTACGAATAACCGAACCGTACGACACATTACGATCAGTAGGCGTAAAATTACGCTCTGAACGGTCATAGGAATTATTAGCCGATTTTTCGATTGGGTCAATGGAACGGTCTGAAATGGGGTCTTGGATGGTTGAGGCACCACTGCTGGGTGTCTGTGGATGAGCATCATTGGCAATCAGTGGTGTATAAGGAGCTACCTTGGGAGGAAAGGTTGAATCTTTCTTTTCCTTAACGGTAGAATGGCTTATGTCTCCCTCGTCGCTATCGATATTGTCTTCCGTGGTGCTTATCTTGTCCAAGGTGTCATTGATATTCAGCGACGACGAGTCGGATTGCGGGAGTTCAACACTGCTCTTGCTGGTGTTCTCATAAATCGGGTCTTGAAGAAGCGTCTCGATATTCACCTTGGTCGATGGCTTGCCGGGATCTAAAGTTGGGTGAGATGCAATCGCCGGGGAATTGGCAGCAGAAATCACTGGAGAAGCTCTGGGAGACGGAGCTGGAGATGGGTTTTCCAACGAACGCTTTTCTTGCATTTCGTCCAGGGAATCCGTCGCCTGCGACCTGTCCAGCCTTCTTTCCACCGAAACATTTTTGGTGTTCTCAGCGTCGCCATTGGCCTCCTCTTCGGTCTCACCATTGGCCTCTTCTTCGGTTTCGGCGTCTCCTTCAGCTTCTTGCCGGTGGTTCATAGACTCCGTCAATTCTATGTACAGACCCTCGTCGCTCTTCAAGCCGTTGACATCAAATGTTCCTGGCATTCTGGGGAGTGAGCCACCCGTGCGGTTAGACTCCACATCCACGTCGTCGAGCTGTGGCGACGCTGGGGGATTTTCGGTTATTGGCGACCCTAATTTTGACGACTCTAATTTCGGAGACCCTAATTTTGGAGACCCTATTTTTGGGGACTCTAAAGGAGACCCTGGTTTAGGACTTGTCATATTGAATTTTTATAAGTTTATGGTGGGTGATGTCAAATTTATCGACAATCGAGTTTCTTCTATTAATTTAACCCCAGATCAAAATACTCGAGGAATCGGTAATGTGAATTTTTATCGTTGAAATGGATCCAGAACAATCAGAAATGTGAAGCCGGGGGAATAAAAGCTGATATTAGCGCCGAAAAGAAAGGACGTCGAATTTCGACCGATTAACTGTGATCGTTAGTTTAACGATCTCGCTTCGAATTATTCCTCATTGGGGGATTTACTTGAAAACAATGGGGGTTACCCGGCGCCGCATGGGATTCACCTCGCCATATCGTGGGCGGCTCGGTTCCTGCACAGGCAACTGCAAAATTAGGGTAATGCAACTTGTATTACTTTCGTTTACCATAAACCGCATAACTACCCCCGTCGTCATCGTAGGCGTACCTCTCCAGATCCAAGAGCTTCCGGACTTGGATTTTCACCTGAGAAACTCCATTTTTTGAATGGATTCCTCGTCCGGTGATAACTCGTAATGGCCCAGCAAACACCGTAGACACTCCGAATTTGGACAATTGTCCATGAGTGTGCCTCTGTTCGGTCTCGTATGCCCACCAGGCACCGAGTACTTCGCGCGCAGCTTCAAGAGCGGAAGGAACCAGAAGTCCGTGGAGATCTAGACTCAGCGAATTGAAAGCGGCATCGATAGCTCGCTGCTTTCGATCTTCCTCTTCCGACGCAATCGATTGCCAAAATTGGCGCCGAGATTCCTTGAGGACTTCACGGTAGTGGTCCTTGGTACCAGTTGACGTTTGGTTGGTGATTCTTTGTCTGAGAACGTTGTACATTGCACGGTACTTTTCTGAAGATTGACTCGACAAGTCTATAACTGGGTTTGTGGACACAACAGTTTTTTGTGCATTTGTGGCAGGTTCCATCGAGTTGGGGTAGGTGAGCGGGGCCGCGCCGTGGTCGAGAACGAGCATAATCACCTCAATTGTTCGATCGACATTGCCCCTAAAAAATGTCAATGCTGTATTCACAAACACCTCATTGATCGTTTTCATCTGCGGATTGGACAAGTAAAGTGCTCGTAATTCTTGTGCTTCGGAACTGTTGGGATTGAATTTATATGTGAATACCTTTTCAGAGCTTCCATTTCCTCGTCTAGACCCTCCCTTTGCTCCACCTCGTTGTACTCTTCCTCCGCGAGGTGGTTTATCATTTGTTGGTTGTGGTTCTGGTGCCTTATGCGTCGTGATAATCGCGATCAACGCATTGATAAACGTTCCTTGGCTTCGATGGAGGTACGATGAAGTGTGTGTTACAGGAAGACCGGTTATTTTACTCAATTGAGCGGAAAAATCACTGAACGTAGACCATGATGAATTCGTTGGTTTTTTCGGTTCTTTCTTTGGCACCGGTCTGCTTGGCGCCTTGTGTTCCCATCTGTTCAGAAGTATAGCTATTGTCGCGTTTTCAATGTTGCCGTCATTGGCATTTAGTTCTCGTTCAAGATCTTGTAGAGAATGTGATGGGAACATTTCATGGAGTCTATATGCGTCCAACGAATATTCTTCTATCAGGTTTCGTTCTTGTTCGGCAAACAATGTGTCGATAAGATACTCAATATCCTGCGATGATTGTAGCCTGGCTCTGAGTTCATCATGTTGAAGAGTGGGAAAGAGATCAGTTAAAGTATTCATGATTGCTTCAAAAGAATCTTGAGGATCAGGATCCTGAATCTCCGGGACCGTTGTGTTTTCTAGGATTGTTGAGTTCTCCAGTTGGAATGAAGAATCTTTGGTTGTCGTTTTGGTGGATTTGTCCTTTTCAGGTTCTGGAGAAGCTTTCTCCTCAAATTCAGCCATAAAATCTGAATCAAGCGACAGGAAAATCCCTTCAAAGGGATCCTTTCTCGTTTCCGATACTTTGGTCTCTTGGTCGTCTCCTTCTGATACTTTCATATAGGCAATGTCTCGTTGCAAATCGTCCAATACCTCCTCGTAAGTACACTTTTCCAAGCCTCCAACAAAATCTTTCATGAAGGTGGGATTACTCTCCATCAACTTGACATGCTGCGATAGCAACTGGGTTAGTAGCTTGAGGAAACCGAACGCATAAGTATCAAACTTCCTATCTATGGTTTCGAAAAATGGCAGGAAAAGATGAAACTTGGCGTCTTCAGCAGAAACATGCTGTACAGTCTTCAAGTACTTGGGAGTCAAGTAATCCATGAGAAGTATAGTGGGGCACTTTTCACGAATTTTACTAGCAAAAGACGGTAATGTTTCGCCGAGAAAACCGGCAAAATAAAAGGCCCATTCTGGCCAGCACGAGTAGTCTTTACCCAAATGATGACGGAACCGAAGAAAGCCATCAAACCCAATGTATCGTTTGGGTGTAATTCGAGGCTCAAAGTTCCGTATAAGTTCCTTAAGGTCATATATGGTGAGTGACCCATTATAGGAATTTTTTCGATATTCAAAGTCAAAGAAATCTTTGTCGTCTTCAAAATCGTCGTTAGGTTCTGTGTTGCCGGTTCCCAATCTGGAAAAGTTGTCTCGTAAAGAGATCACTGAATCGTTGCTGTCAGTGTCACAGTCGTTGTTCCAAAATTCTCCGGCACTGATCTCTGGTAGTTTATATTCGTTGTTGCTGGACATACTGGAGCTCGTCTCCAGCTTCGGTAGGCTTGGACCACAGTCTGTACAATTATGGTTGGTCATGGTTATAAGAAGGGCATGCTTTAGGTGTATGTAAATGTGGGACAAAACGAGCGCACCGCGATCGCGCGGAATATAACGGAAACAGCTGCGATGATAATGAATTGGAGTTCAATTGAAAGTTGGAATCAGCGACTAAAAATAGGGTTATGGGTTATAGTAGTGAATTGGAGTTTAGTTAGAGGAAGTACAGTCTGAAGAGAAACTAAGTTATCTGGGAAAAAGCTAACAATGGCAGAAAGCAGTCTGACATCATTATTACAAGTTGAGCTCAATCTGTCTGTTAAATGCATTCCTTATGAATACATGTATGAATACATGTATGAATGCTTGTACGAATGCTTGTATGAACCATACAATAACCACATATACTCTTTTCACTGCTCCTCTTCTTGTTTTCGCCTCGCACGACTCCACTATTTATTTTTCTGCGGAGAATTTTTCAGTGCTCTTCATAGTAAGTACCAATAAAGTGATTATAACGAGCCTCAGGCTCTATTATAAACCCAGCTCTTCGAGATTTGTGTATGAGACAAAACCTTAGATAGATGATTGTTGTGTACTAACCCAGCCATTCATGCTTCGTTTTCTAGTGCTTCTTTGATGACTCCCACTATGGCACTCGATTGGATCTTATCATTACCTCCTCTTGCAATTCCATATTCCACCTCTGATAGTCCTTTGAGAATGTCAATTCTGGTGGCAGGTTTCAATTCGTAGTTGTTTAGTATCTCCACTATACCGCTGATCAAGTCAATTAGTGCCAATCCTTTTTGTTTCTTGAGCTTCTCTATCGTGAGGTACGCAGTGGTCCACTCGTCTTTCAAGATGGAATCGAGAGCTCCCTCTATGTCCTGAGGCTGCGGTGCTCCGAGACAATCGTATATCATGGTCTCGTCTATCTCGTCACCATCCTTGGACAACGATGCCTTACACGCTTGTAACACATTCAATGCCTTTCTCATGTCTCCCTTCGACAATCGCAAGAGGGCGTCAACAGCACTTGGTTGTATGGATAAATGTTCCTTCACTATGACCGGCTGAAGGTTTTCTTTGATTGCCAGCTCGGATATTGGGTGGAATCTGAACCGCGTGCATCTTGATATGAGAGCAGGATTCAACTTGTGAGAGTAATTGGCAAGAATGCAGAACCGGGTGTTCTTGGTATATTTCTCAATAATTCTCCGAAGCGAGTTCTGTGCAACGGCAGTCATGGAGTCGGCTTCATCCAAGATGATCAATTTGAAACCTCGGCTGAAAATCTGCATCGTGGACGCAAAGTTCTTGATTTCATTTCTCACCACGTCAATTCCTCGATCGTCCGAAGCATTCAATTCCAATACCATGTTTTTGTAGTTGGGACCATATATCTCACGGGCCAATGCGATGATCGTAGAAGTTTTACCTGTTCCAGGAGGACCGTAAAAGAGTAAATGGGGCAATTTACCCTCGTGAACAAACTTGCGAACAGTTTCTACAATGTCCGATTGTCCATAGACATCATCCAAGCTGTGCGGACGGTACTTCTCGACCCTGAGATTAGTATGTGAAAGTTTGAACTAGTGAAAAAGTCTACTTACCAAGGAAGATTGGCCTTTGATTTCTCCATGAGTAGCAGACGCGGTTTGAATTACAACTCTTGATCTTTTGAAAAATCCATATGCAGGTCGTGTAGTATTCATAGCTTCTATAGGGTTATAATCAATGCCAGAATCATCAACATTATCATCCACCAGTTAAGAATGGCTCTGGTGGCAGCACTGACAGTGGCTATTACATCTCCCACATAATTACAGGTGGGAAATTCTCCACCGTCGTCCCAGTAATATGATAAGCTGATGCTGCCATTCTTAGTGGGACACAAGAAACCAAAATCCGCAGGGCAATCTCTTACTATGGCTTGACAGACATTCACACAAGGGAGAATTTCAAAGTATGGATCCAGTGGAGCAATTTCTTGGTTTATAAAGTCACTGCGTGAATTGTTAACTTCTCGTAACTTGTAGCCTTTGATATCTCGAGTACTGCAACGAGGAATCATCACTGAACAGAGCCAGTTTTTATAGGAGTTACGGCAATCATCGCAGGTTCGAACAGGCGAAAAAATGGCATCGTTGGTGGTTTCGCAGCTGATTTGGTCCATTGCCTTGGAAAAATTGGTATATACTTCTCGGGCATAGTTGTCATAGGTATCTCGTAATTTTTCTTTCGATTGGCCGTATGGCATAGGAACCGAGTATGCCACCTGGTCGCAGAAATCGAGGTCGTATAGGAGCAGGCACGGGCCTTCGTCCATAGTCTCGAATGTGAAAGGTTGATAGACTGCACCACCAAATTTGCTTCCACCGAAATTGGATACTAGATAAGCCACATATTTTGTTGAAGAATTTAGTCCTTCGACGTAAAACTGCTGCTGGAGCCCTCCTCCTCGAGTAGTATAGCTTCGCTGGAACTGAGAAGTAGACATCAACGCAGGTCCATTTTTAACGGCGCACCAACTATTATTAAGTTGCTTGAAAAGGTCCCGGTACTGATAGTCGTAAATGAACAAAGAGTACCGTGAGTGGGTTGCATTGGCGCTGGATGCATTGAAATCTTCTTTTGTGGTCAAATTACCAGTGACAATCAACGCAGAATGTGGATCCGTATCGACTAGTGATGCCCATGTTCTGTCGTCCCATTGGAAAACCAAGTCGTTTTGTGACACACCAATCTCATATGACCAAATTGCCAGGGTATTGGTGTTCTGAGGAGCTCTCACAGCGATATACAACACCAGATCATCACTCTCTGAATTGGCAGCCACGGGGACGTCTGCCAAGGCCTGGAAATAGCCGTTCTCATAAAGCACCATTTGTCCGATTTCAAAGTTGCTAAACATGCTCAGATTGAACGAGTAGTAGACAGCAAGACTGGTCTCGTTTTCCTTGACATTCAGTGGTTGGGAACATATATTTCCGGTAAGAAAAATCAAAAATTCGTAGTACTCTCCAAGTCCACTTGAAGTATTGACGTTAAATGAATAATATTGGGTTTGGCTCTGTCCAATAGTGTTTTGTATAGGCGTAAACTCGTGTAATCCCTTAGACTTATCGTCACGATCAACGCGTTGGAGAAAGGAGTCGATATGGCCCGATGGCTCGATGGCTTCATTGATGTCCAAATCAAAACCTACATCAAAAAAATTGGCATCTGAGAAATCCAAAGCCTGTGAATCAGCCCTGTGTTTTAATCCCGTACATAGTCTTACAAAAATAATAAATAGTAGGACGGGAAACATCAGATAGCATCATCAAAATCATTATTCATTTGGGGTTTCCTCGAGCTTATGTACAGGAATATCTACTTAAAGAGACTCCAGAGTTTACTTCTTTTCTTCTTCTTCTTGGGCTTGTCAGAGTTCTCCTTAGGAGACCCCGTCCCTGAAGACACGGCGTGGAGGTCAGGATGCGACTTGAGTGGCTCAAGCTTGGGTCTGACATTCAGATCAGACATATCGTGCGAAAGTGATTTCTTCAATAGAGTAAATGATTTTTCCTTTCTAGGAGGTTCTGGATCGACAAATTTGAGCGCTGAAGCTTTGGGCGCTTTTGTGTGGTCCTCTTCATGTTGCTCAACGTTAATTTCCGGCGGCTGGGAATTTGTCTTGAGATTTTTCATCATTTCTTTATAAGACAAGTTTTGCAGAGATTTGGCCTTTTCCGATGGTTCAAGTAGCGATTTTGTCTTATATGGAACTGTACCGAATGCATTAGATCCAGTTATAGCCCTGGCAAGCTTGGCACCACGACCGGAAAAATGTGGGTTAATATCTCTAATATCGTTGCAGAGATCAACAGACTTGTCGGACATCATAGTGAGAAAGTTGGCAAAGTAGGAATCTCCCATATCCTTCTTTTTGAGTGCTTGTAGTTTTTTGGTTATGGATTGACGATAATCTCCATAAATCTTGCTGATCTCATCATAAGACGAGTACGACTCGTCGGAATTTGTGGTACTGGACGAGACTTCGGAATTTATAGACGCACTATCACTGTCTTCGTTCCCAAGAACAGATGTTGTAGAGGCGGTGGAAACACCATGATCTTCCTCGTTGAGTCTACTTTGCAACGTAGTTTCAAATTTGTTCATGTTAACGGCAGGCACAACGACAACTGGAAGTGGGAAATTCTTCACAAGTCTATCACTGAGTCTGGATGAATTCCACGAACGAAGAGGTGCACTCGACTTTAAGTTGATCTTTGCACCTGTAGACACCATATTGGGCTCGTACAACTTGTACATCTCTTTCAAAACCTCCTTTGTTCCGCCGAGGGCCAATTCCACCGAAACCTTTGAGATGACTTGTGGATTTATCACCTGCATTGCGTAGCTCATGACATTCTTAGCTATCACCTTGGCGTATTCTGGACGATGGCGCTGTCTCATACGTGTGACGGGTGTTCTTGCATTTGGTGGTGGGGTTGGAGACCGGAAAGTAGACCGTCTTCTCGCAGGAAATTCACGAGGAATAGATGCAACTATGACAACCGAGTCTCCATGCTCAATATACTTGGACAAGATCCAGTCTAGTGCTACCCAAGTATGCTGGCGGCCGGAAATGTACACCAAGATAACTCTATGGGGTAGAACCGGCGCTATCTCCAAATTTCCCTGGTAGAGCTCTTCCCATTGACGGTGAATTTTGGTATATGTGCATCCACGGTGGGTAATAATGGGGCGAGTAGGGTAGTCTGTGCGTGGAGGAAGCCTGAATACACTGCTATCCATGGGCTGATCTCCAAGTGGGGACAACATTCGACGGGATGGAGAATGGAGAGGAGAATGCGAAGGTGATGGTGACCTATATCTGTTGCGGCCACGATTTCGATCCAGGAACTCGTATCTTCCCAAGAACTCTTCGTCATATTCGTCTTCGTCGTCGTCGTCGTCATAGGAAATATTGATGGTATCGAAGGAAATCCGTTTGTTGAAGTTGCGTTTACTCCGGGTCTGAAACTCGCCATTTACAGACGTTACATTAAAATGAATGTTGTGGTATGCTTCTGATTGCCTCTTCTCTAGCAAAGATAGGAGATCAGGGCCCTCAGAGTCCTCTGCCGGCGGGCTGGATGTGAATGAAGCCAGCTTGCTCTTTGTGGTGGCCATTTAAAAACAGAAGAAAACGAAACTTGAAAGACAATTGGGGTAGATTTAGTTGGAGATTGTGAGTGCTGACGAATGGAATAGTATAAAACGTGGCCGTTCTCTTACCAAAGGCCGTTGTTTCCACCAAATGTTTTGGGCAAAGATCGAGTGCAATTGCTTATCTCGTGCGACGTCGAATCTCAATAGATGAATTTCCTGCACAGATCTGGCGGTGCGGCGTTCGTAATGGAGCATATATATAGCAAAGTTCAGTCTAAGTACTAGCATTTAGTTTTTTCTTGGCATAGTCCTTGGCCTGCTGGTTGACGTAGCCGACGGTAGCAACGCCAATGACAAACGTAAGAAGGATAGTGATGACATTTACCGGAGTGGGATTCATGTCGAAATTCTCGTGGGTTACTTTATCCAAAAACGATTGGAGATAATTGAACACTCCTGAAGTACATATGATAGCTCCGTAGACAGTACCGAAGGTATCGAACCCAAAGACCTTGGCGCAGAAATCTGACACGGCAGTGTAGAAAAATGGCCTGTAAACGACAAAAAGACAGACATTGAGCACTCCAGTAATGTATGAGCCAAAGAGTCCCAATACGCCAATAGCAAGAGACACCGTCAAAAGCGACGCCAAAACCACCACAGTGGACATGTGGTCGAGAAACATCCCCACAAACGGGATCGAAAGCACTCCGCCGAGCGGCAAGGCAACATCGAAAAACCTGTTGAGCAGCTCGGCACGGCTAATTGAATGGAATAAGTATGTGTACTGAGTGTTGATTGTGGCAACAAAGTAGTTCAACCGTAACATCTGGATGGTAGCAAAACAGCACATGAGGTAAAACCAAGGCGTTTTCATCTGGAACTCGGCAGAGTAGCCATGCAAAATTCCAAACACTCCTCCTGACGTCTGCACCAAAACCTCCTCACCTTCATTGGCGTATGGCTGTTTCAAGGCGTCTCCGATAGAATCTCTTCTGTGGGGGTGGTTTGGTTCCACCAATGGAGTTATTTCCGAGTGCTCTGGTTCGGAAGCACCAAAATCATCGGCACCCGTTTCTGAAGTTGTCTTGTACGATTCGCCGGGCATGACGAAAATTTGAGCTAGGGTCATGAATACCGGCACCATCAAGTACATGCAAAAGAATTTTTCGATGGTAAAACCGCCGTTGGTGGCATCGTAAGCGAGCTTATAGATCAAGAAAACCGCCGAGGAAGCGTCGAAAGCGCCCGTAAGTAGCGCCAAAACTGTGCCACTTCTTTTGGGAAACGCATTGGACAATTGGAATGACGAAATAAACGAAAAAGGTCCACCGAGTGCCATCGCTCCGTAGCCAATCAAGTACGGGTCGAAGAAAGGAACGTCTTCAAGGGCATCGGAAAAGATAAACACAAAGCATGCCAAGTAGAGAAAACCTGCACCAACCAATCCGCAAACGCGAGGACCGTAAACGTCGAGAACACGACCAATGACAAAAGCCGAAACGTTGGTTAAAACCGCACCCACCGTGAACATCAAATTTAATCGAAGATCTTGAGCTGTGCACTTTGCTACAATACCGGATTTGGAGCTTTGGACCTCCTTCAGCACACCTAGAAACGACATCCATGGAGGATTGACCGAAACGTCACATTCACTCTCGTAAACTCCACCTTCAATCAAAACTGGTTTCAAGGCAGCAAACCCGAAAATCGGGCCCCCGGCTAGAAGACACCAGAAGATCGCACAGAAGCATTGGGCAAACCTGCGTCCGAAGGAAGCTTCTGTGGATAGCATTGCAAAGAATAGATGAAAAGATGTGGAAGTGGTGATATCGGCGAAAATATTCGCTACTGATAAGGTCGCAGATTCCTGCACTGGAGCAGGAGGGAGGGGGAAGAAGAGGGAAGACATATAGCACACCTAGCCAATTGGGTCAGATCAAATTATTCATTTTCAATCAATTTGACCGAACAATTTTCATTTTCTTCTTCTCATTTCTTGTTTTCCTCTTATATTTTATTTTCTTCTTCTTATTTTTTCTTCGTATTTTTTGTTCCTCCTCTATTTTTCATTGTTCCCGTAAGCGCATACGGCTTCCGTGGTGTTGGGTGCCATCGCCGTACTTAAAGGCTTAGTGTTGCTCGATCGAAAATTCTCCTCCTATGGCTCAGCTCTCATCTCAGGGTAGTAATGCCATCATATACCTAACGTATGCGTTTCTTCTCGCCACAGGGTTGGCCATTGCATATCGCTTCTATAAAGCGGATTCTTTTCTTTCGCACAATGGTTCTCAACGAGGAATACCATTGGCATTGAATTTTATCGCTTCTGGTAAGTAACCTGAGTACAGTTTTTTTCCTCTCATTTGCAACAGCGGGTGTCCTTACCTATCTCATTTTGATTCGCAAGGGCTGAGAATAAAACCGCCATCACCCGATCAAGTTCATACTTGCGTGGGGAAGTTGT